ATTCTAAAAGGAAAGGGATTCTTAATAGGCAAGTTTGACTTACAGGAGAAGAATTCTAAATGGAGAGGGATTCTTAATGGGCAAGTTTGTATGGTTATAAATAGGTGAAGTCTCTACAGGGTTAGGTATGAGAAAAAGATGTAAGAAAATTGTAGGGTTTTGTGGGATAGACACCCCATAGGAGTATTGGGGCTCTACGTCTTATGGGTGTGTATGTTTGTTTGTGAGTGGACTAGAAGAGACTGAGAGGGTCCACATAGGTATGATGTATGGGAGCATATGGGTATGTGTTTGGTTATGTTGAAAGAGTGTACAAGGGTTTGGGTTTGTGTTTGTTTGGGTTGAGAATACTTCATAGGACTAGAGGAGATTGAGAGTGTCTTATGAGTATTGATTGTTGAGTGAGGTTGATGATTTGATGTATGTTTGTAATTCTCTACAACTAGTGGATCTTTTTTCTCATCCGTGGATGTAGGTCAGTTGGACCGAACCACGTTAAATTGTTGTCTTTTGTGTGTTTGATTTATTGTTTGATTTCGCTTCCGTTGGTGTGATTGGATTGGAGGCTTTTAGCCCAATAAATGGTATCAGAGCTGTGGTGATCCTCAACAAATGGTATCAGCGCTGTGGTGATCCCAAACAAGTGGTATCAGAGCTGTGGTGATCCCTAACAAGTGTTATCAGAGCTGAACGTTCGAAACATGAGAAGAGTCGAATGTTCGAGATGTGAGAAGAGCTGATGGTTCGAGACATGGGAAGAGTTGACAGTTCGAGATATGGGAAAAGCTTGGTTTGAGATATGAGAAGAAGTAAGCTTAGAGGAGCTCGATTCAAGAGAAGAGTTCGAGTTCAAGTTTTGAGAATTGGTTTGTATGAAGCGTGAAGACACAAGAGAAAAAAAATGATTGTGAGACTTTTATTGCAGGTGGAGCCAAGCATGTCTAGCATGAAGACAGATGATTGATGAAATTTGAGTCAAGGTGGAGATTGTTGGGAATATTGACTCAAATCCCATAAAAGATTTGTTTGAGATTTGTTTGGGATTTGTCAGATATTGCTTGATGGACAAGAAGACTTGCAAAAGAAGAATTTCAAAAGAAAGAGGATTCTTAATAGGTAAGTTTGACTTGCAAGAGAAGAATTCTAAAAGGAAAGGGATTCTTAATAGGCAAGTTTAACTTACAGGAGAAGAATTCTAAATGGAGAGGGATTCTTAATGAGCAAGTTTGTATGGTTATAAATAGGTGAAGTCTCTACTGGGTTAGGTATGAGAAAAAGATGTAAGAAAATTGTAGGGTTTTGTGGGATAGACACCCCATAGGAGTATTGGGGCTCTACGTCTTATGGGTGTGTATGTTTGTTTGTGAGTGGACTAGAAGAGACTGAGAGGGTCCACATAGGTATGATGTATGGGAGCATATGGGTATGTGTTTGGTTATGTTGAAAGAATGCACAAGGGTTTGGGTTTGTGTTTGTTTGGGTTGAGAATACTTCATAGGACTAGAGGAGATTGAGAGTGTCTTATGAGTATTGATTGTTGAGTGAGGTTGATGATTTGATGTATGTTTGTAATTCTCTACAACTAGTGGATCTTTTTTCTCATCCGTGGATGTAGGTCAGTTGGACCAAACCACGTTAAATTATTATCTTTTGTGTGTTTGATTTATTGTTTGATTTCACTTCTGTCGATGTGATTGGATTGGAGGCTTTTAGCCCAACACAAGCAATCTCCCATATGCCAATTTTTGTCCCAACAATTATAGTCCTGTTTGATTAAATGTATATTCCATATTGTTAATATTTGTAATTTATTAAAATAATATTTATTTTACATCTAATAAATATTTAATTTTTTATAATTTTATATATAAATTAAAATTTTTTATTTATAATCAATTAATTTTAAATTAAATATATACTTAACAATATACGGTATAGAGATATTTTTGTTGTAGGATTAAATATCCCTCCACCGTATCAATATAAGACATGGTATGAAACCTAATAATTGTTTGTATCTCTGATTCTCTGTCAATTTCCAGGCATCTTCTTTGGTTTTTCTTTTGTTTTCTTTCCTATGACTTTCGGCAGGTGATTCTGAAATTATGTTTCAACGATGGAAATATCCGTTCCAAGTTGGACTTGAGAGATTCCCACTCACAGAAATTATCATATTTGATCATTGTTAAAGCATATGAACAAATGATCAGATGAATGTGATATTAACGTGTCAAATTAATAATCTGAGACTGTAAGCTCGATCATATATTTATAATTTATTTGTTTATTTTAAAAAATATTTGAATTTGATTCGTATTTAATAAAAAATATTTATTATATTTGTTTGAATTCAATTAATTTAAATAGTAAAATATTCGTGTTTGATTCGATTAAATTAAATAAATTTATTTATAAACGTTAAATGAATGTATTCATAATATATATAAATGAATATAATAATAAATAATAAATAAATTACAATGAAATAAATTTAAATAAATAAACAAATATAAATAATTTTAAAATAAAATTAAGATAAATGATAAAATATAATTTTATTATTGTTATTACAAATAAATAATAAATAAATAAATTTAAATTAATTTTAAATAAAATTATTTAAAATTATTTATTAAACTTAATAAACGAATAAAAATCAAATATACTTACGAAAGATTCATCAATAACTCTGTTTATTTAAATATTTAATTTACTATGTTGACTTAAACAGTGACAAGTCGAAAGAAGAAAAGGCTTGGCATTCCCTTGGCTAACATGTATACTACTAGTAATAGGATTCCTTTTCATTTTCCAAAGAACCAGCGAGAAAACAAGAAAGAAAACAGCCACAAGATCAAAATCATCTGCCCAAAAAATACAAATTATCAGAATCTTCAATCTTGTAAATGCAAAGGAATCGGAGAATCTCTTTGGAAAATAGCACCGTTGCTGTCAAACAATAAAAAATAAGACGGACCCGCGCTTTAACATGCTTTAGAGGATTTCGAGCTTCAAGTTATATCTAGTACGGGAACGGGTAACGGTCCCCCTCTTTCTTCCCGTTCTTTCAACGGCTCCAACAGAAGAATCCGGGAACAGCTAGCCGATTTTCGGATTTGCATACGTGGCATGATGTGGACCAATAGCAAATCAAAAATTTTCCCTGAAATTTCTTTTGTTTTTCTCGCAATAATCATTGCTGAAGTTTCTGGAATTCTCTTTTATTTTTTTTCCTTTCAATTTTGTGGGGAAAAGTAATTATATTAAATAACTATTAAATTTTAATTATTGTATTTAATATAATATTATTATAATCCATAATATTTATTTAATTCTGAAACATTCGTGAACTAAATTTGGGTATCGACCTAGCGGGTTGGCCTTGACGCGGACTAGTAACGGATAAAAAGATAAGCACATTGGTGGGACCGTTCCCGAATGTGCCATAACAGCATCCGTGATACTCTGTGCCAGCTGTTGCCACGTGATCTTTGATTAATCCGGTTACTCTGATAATGAAAGGCCCCACAAAGTACCCATGATTAAACCCAGAAGCAACGAACCGGTCTGGTTCTAATTTCAGAGAATGTTTAACCCCACCCTAGGATTTAGTTCCAACGAAATGACTACTTTACCATTGCATAATGAGAGTGGAAATCATTATAGCATAGGTCATTTTGGGAAGAAAAATAATTTATAGTCCGTGGAAGGAAAAGGACAAATCAATCAACATAAAAGGCAGACGATGATTATACCTTATCTAATAAAAATTTCGTGTTCACAAATGAAAATAAAACAAATTTTGGGAAATGGGCACTGATTTGTTTCTTTCTTTTCATTAATGATGCATTAACAACTAAAGTGTTTTATAATCATGCATGAATTGGCCATAATTGACCATTTTAAGCATCATTTTTTGTTTAACACCTAATCGCTATGAAAAAAAATTAAAATTTTTTGATAAAAATTGAATCAAAATAAACGTATTTGAATAACTTGAATCAAATCTTATCATCTAAAAGTATCATACGAATTTAATTCATTTTGTTTCAATCGAATGAATATATAATCAAAAGTTCATATGTAAATTTGCATTTTTAATATATATATATTTCTATTCTTATAAACGTAATAAATCTTGGTATGTAAATTTAGCAAGTTCAATGAGACAGTATGTTCAATTGAATAGACATTTCTTTCAATTTTGAGAATTAATTGGCTATTTGAGCATACACCTAATTTTAAGAATTAAATTATATACATAACTAGAAAGGAGTTTAAATGCTATTATCATGTGAATAAAGATATGCATAAAGATAGATGCGATAATTTAAAATTTAATATAGTAATATAATATAAATATAATATGAATAAAAATATAAAAATAATATAATTTATAATTTTAATAATAATTATATATAAATATAATAAAAAAATATATTTTATATTTTTATATCAATATAAATTATAATATATAAATTTTTATATAAAATATAATATAAATATATAAATTTTAATATTTTATATAATTCGAATATACAAATCAATCAAATTTATATGAAGTACAAATTAGGAAGAGAAGAGAGTTAATTTGAAGTTTTATATAATTACTAGTTGAATCTAAACTTTCCAAATGGTTTCATACCAAAGCCAATAATTTTTAACTTGGAAGCCAAGGGATATATGAAAACGAAATGACGGGTCAAGGGGGGGCCAATGGGGTTGCCCAAAATGGAGACAAGCAAGGGACAAAGTAGGAAATTCAGATAAAAATTTTTAAAACTAAAAAGGCAAAAAGAAGAGAAAAAAGGGACAAGATATAACCGTTTGTGGCGTGGCTTTGGTAGGTTGGAAGCCATTGCCAGGCTGACGCTTGAGCCCTACCGATGAGATGATTAGCCCTCACATGGTCTCGCTGTACAGCCTTTGGTCCCACTCTCTCCTCTCTCTCTCTCTCTCTCTGTAAACAAATCAATGTTTATTCTCGAAAGCACCCTTGGTTTGTCCTTAAATGCACAACCCCTCCTCCCCTTGAAACCAGTTTCTGAAAGGAGTGACCTGAGACTGCATTAGGTCCTCGCTGGAATAACACAAAAAACTCACAAGCTGAAGAAAGCTTGAGCCTTTGAAGCACAAGGGGTGTTTTTTTGTTGGTTGATTAAGTGAGAAAGGAAAAAAAATGTCAAAGGAAGTGAGTGAAGAAGGACAAAGTCGCAAGGACTATGTCGACCCTCCACCAGCACCACTGATTGACATGGCTGAGCTCAAGCTCTGGTCTTTTTACAGAGCCCTCATAGCTGAGTTCATAGCCACTCTACTTTTCCTCTATGTTACCGTGGCCACTGTAATTGGCCACAAGAAACAACAAGATGCATGTGATGGAGTTGGTCTCTTGGGTATTGCTTGGGCTTTTGGTGGCATGATCTTTATTCTTGTTTACTGCACTGCCGGTATCTCAGGTAAAAGAAACAAAAAAAAAAAACCTCTTTAACTCCCTTATATAGTATCATTTGCTTATTTTGGGTGGTTTACTCAAGGGTTTTGGTTTTTTTGGTTACAGGCGGTCACATTAACCCTGCAGTGACTTTTGGGTTGTTTTTGGCCCGGAAGGTGTCTTTGATAAGGGCTGTTGCTTACATGGTAGTTCAGTGTTTGGGTGCTATCTGTGGAGTTGGGTTGGTTAAAGCTTTCATGAAGCATGAGTACAACTCACAAGGTGGTGGTGCAAACTCTGTGGCTTCTGGCTACAACAAGGGAACTGCTTTGGGAGCTGAGATTATTGGCACTTTCGTACTTGTTTACACTGTTTTCTCAGCCACTGACCCTAAGAGGAGCGCCCGTGACTCGCACGTCCCAGTAAGTTTAACTTCTCTTCTGTTTTCTCCATGTTTTTATGCCATTTTATTGCTAGCTAGTTGCTCTTTAGTTAGGTTAAAGTTCTTATGCATTTTTTACCGCCGTTGAGCGTAGGTGTTGGCTCCCCTTCCTATTGGGTTTGCCGTGTTCATGGTTCACTTGGCTACAATCCCCATCACTGGCACTGGTATCAACCCTGCCAGGAGTTTCGGTGCTGCTGTTATCTACAACAACGAGAAAGCCTGGGATGACCATGTAAGTTATTACCCTACTGCTCATTTTACTGTGTTTTCTTTTACTAATTTAGTTTCTGAGTTAACACATGGGATATTGTGATCGACAGTGGATTTTCTGGGTTGGTCCTTTCGTTGGAGCTCTTGCAGCAGCTGCATACCATCAGTACATCCTTAGAGCTGCTGCTATCAAGGCTTTGGGATCCTTCCGCAGCAACCCTAGCAACTAAAGACTCATCGAAAACCAAAATAGCTTTGTCTCCACTTCTCTTTTCCTTCTTCATTTGTTTGTTTGTGTGTTTTTGTGTGTAATGAGAGGATAATTATGATGATGATGACCTTTTTTTGTTATTAGCATTTGCCCCTGTATCATTGTTCTTGAGTAGTGGTGTTGATTTTTTTTTCTTTTCATTGTTTGCAGTGGTTGCACTTTTAATCTTTTGGCATTAGATTCCTTGTCGAGTAATTTCCAATGCAATTTCCATTCAATCCCAAACTTGCAAACCACAAATTCGTTGGCTAGTAATTATATTGTCTTTGACTCATCGTGTGAGGTACAGTGAATGGCTACGTAACTATCCGATATCAATTTGTGTTATTATTTGTGTAAAATATTATATCATAATTTATGTAAATATAAAAATATAAAATATAAAATTTTAATTTTATTAAATTTATTTATAATTTTTTTAAAATTTTAAATTATATTATTTTTATAATTTTTAGTCTTATTAACGTGTTATCTTTTAAATTATTAAATTTATTATTTATAATTAAATGACATCTGTCCAGAAAGCATCAGGAAAAGACCAAAAGATGCTCCACTCCCAAGGAAAGGGTTTAAAACTTTAATCTGAGCCATGTTTCACCTCTCTGGAAAGGTCACTTTGGAACGCTGGCACTTCAATTGTAGATTCGTGCTTTTGAACCAGGGTCCATCCAATGGGTTTAACAGAACCAAAAGCAGAAAATGAAAGACCGTAGCCAATTCTATACGGCCACCCGTCATGGCATCATGGGATCCGATGGTCAAGAACTCACATGGGGGGGGGTAAGGTTGGGGGTTGTGTCTGTCTTATCCTTTCAAAATCGGCTTTACCCCAAAGGATAAAGCCAAAAACCGAGTACTAAAAAGAAAGGGAATTGCTTTTCCCCAGTACCAACCTGTAGTCTCGTCTTTTTACGAAAGGTACGTGGCCACGCCTGGAACGTGGCCTGATGGCGATTTGGAAATATGAAGCATGAAAAATCAGGCTGTAAACCTATCAAATCTTAAATCCGAGAAAAAATGGTTTAAAATTTTAATAAAAATAAAAAATAAAAAATAAAAAATATATTTTTATATTTATATAAATTATGAAATATTTTTATATAAAATAAAATAAAAATACATAAATTATTAATATTTTACATTATATAAATAAATACGTGAATCAGAAAATGCTTACCATAATGGTGTGGTCCACGGGGCCACAGCGGTTTGGTCACGAAGGGTGAGAGGTCTCTGTGGTTTACCTCCCAGCCTTGGATTCTTCAGAGAAGTAACTTTTCTGGTTAGGGTTCTTTACGGCTCTTTGGTCTTAATAGCCTGTTTATCCAATTATTTGGTAGCCACCAAAACAACAGATAGTTACCCTTCAACAGATAATTCCTTAATATTCTTTTTTTCTTTTGAAAATCACAAAATGCATAATGCTTTTAAACATACATAAAAGATATGCCACATGGCTTGGATGATAAGAAACAAAGTCGAGATCTTTCAGCATATCCTGATCTCTTAATCAGACAGCCTACGACACCACAACAAAGAGGTTCTCATCTAGCAAGACTATTATGCACTGCTTGAATTGTCTCCAATAATAATTTAAGTCACGCCAAAGAATTTCTGATCTCAATCACACAAATATCATGATAAGTTACCCATTTAAGAGGTTTGCAACCAACCACCCGACTCAATCAAAACAAATGACCATGCAAAGCATGAATAGGTTTAAATTTTGAATCAATGGTGTAATGGAGTTGGTTAACTTTTGTTAGCTATATTATGACATTAAATGTTGTTAGCTACAGCTAAATGAATCATAGGTAACATATGTGTTATGCCTGAAGCAATAATCACAATAATACAAAAGTAATAGATAACAATTAGTAATCAAAAACGCAGGAAAAATAAAGCACACCAAGATTTACGTAAAAAACCTTTTAGTGTAGAGAAAAAAAATCACGAACTACCAGAAAAATCTTCACTATCATATAATAGGTATACAAAGTTCTTCTCTAGCTAAAACTAGAGCTAAACAACAACTAGAGAAAATAATTGGAGAAATCTCACTAAATAAATGACTCAACAAATATACCATGGATTTGTTCTTAGAGAACTTCAAACCCGATTTTTACCGTTTAAAATGTAGAACTCTGAATCATAAACCTCCTGACAAGGTTTCAACTCAATCGGACCACGGATCGACTTTCATTCAACCAACTCTCCCTTCTCTTTTTTCTCTCTACTTTTTCTAGCTTTTTTTCTTTTCTCTACTTGATTTTCGACACACACATAAAACAACCTCACCTCTTTTTTATTAAGTAGTTAGGGTTCTGTGTAAAATAAAAGATCAGGCTTATGGCCTTTACTTGGTCCAAAACCACTTACATGAGGTTAGACCCCATTTTCCTAACAATCTCTCCCTTCAGCCCCATTATGAGGAGATTCATCACCATAGCAGTTTCATTTGGAACTTACCTTGGCCAAGAAACTCATTCCGACCAAGTTACTGCAAAGCTCAAGCTTTTTCTTGGGAAGTATCTTAGTCAATATATCTGCTACATTTTTATTAGTATGAACTTTTTTCAATAGCATCTGTTGTTCTTCAATCATTGAACGTAACCAATGATATCTAACATCAATGTGCTTTGTTCTAGCATGGTACATGACATTCTTACTCAAATCTAAAGCATTCTGGCTATCACAAAATATCATATACTCTTTCTGATTCAACCCCAATTCAAGAAAAAAAACGTTTCATCCAAAGCATTTCTTTACATGCTTCGATTGCTGCAATATACTCAGCCTCTGTAGTTGACAAAGCAACTCACTTCTGCAACTTAGATTACCAAAATATAGCTCCTCCTGCAAAAGTGAATAAATATCTTGAAGTAGATTTTTTACCATCAAGATCGCCTGTCATGTCAGCATCAGTAAATCTTTTTAGAACTAGTTGTGAAACTTCATAAGTCAAGCACATTTTTGAGGTACCCCTCAAATATCTAAAAATCCATTTCACTGTTTCTCAGTGAACCTTCTTCGGATTAAAAAGAAATCTGCTCATTACACCAACTGCATGAGCAATGTCAGACCTTGTACAAACTATAAGATATATTAAAAAACAGACTACAGAAGAATAAGAAATACTAGACATAGCTAGTTACTCTTCCTTAGACACTGGATAAGATTTTTTACTTAGATGAAAATGGTTGGCAAGTGAACTGCTAACTGATTTAGCATGTTGCATGTTGAATCTATCAAGCACTAGTTCAACATACTTTTTTTGTGACAACCACACTTTCCAGCTTTTCTATCTCGGATAACGTTTCACTACTGTTCTTTTATAGCTATGACTCACCATAAAAGAATCAAACTTCTTGTATCATTGTCACGGAGCTTGTTTCAAGCCATACAAGCTTTTCTTCAATTTACAAATTAAGTGCTTTTTCTCTTTCACTTCAAAACCCTCAGGCTGATTCATATAAATGTCCTCTTGTAAATCACCATGCAAAAATATAGTTTTAACATCAAGTTGCTCAAGCTTAATATTCAAACTAGCTGCTAATCTCAGTACCACTCGAATAGAACTCATCTTTACAACTGGAGCAAAGATCTCATTAAAATCGATACTTGATTTCTGAGAAAAACCTTTTACTATCAATCGAACTTTATACCTCACTAGTTTATCACTATCTTTTTTTAACTTGAACACCCATTTATTCTTTGATGGCCTCTTCCCTGTTGAAAGTTTAACAAGATCATAAGTACCATTCTTTCGTAATGACTCTATCTCTTCTTTCATTACTTTTAACCAGTGCTCTCTATTTGGAGTAATTTGCACATCTTGGAAGCATTCTGACTCCCCTTCACTGGTAACTAAAATAAAATCTAAACTTGGATACCTGGTAGATGACCTGCACTCTCTAGTAGATCTCTTGGGCCGAGACTCTACATCACTTAATGTCGAAGGTAGTTCTCCCTGCTCAACACTCTCAGGTAGAGAAGATTGTTTCCCCTACTCAAAACTAATTACATCTAACTTATCACCAACTGTGGCTGGATCATTCATATATTCAAGTTTTGTTTCTTGCTTATTTTCATCATTTGTGGCTATTTCCTGTGGAATCTGTGTCGGTGTTGAAACATCACACTTAACAGTAACCCATGTAGTTTCTCATTTTTCTCAAGGTCTGTTATGGTTTTTTTCATGAAAGACCATATCCCTACTTCTAATCATCTTTCTCTTTACTGGATCCCATACCCTGTAGCCAAATTTCTCATCACCATATCCTACAAACACACACTGTGTGACTTTACTGTCAAGCTTTGATCTCTGCTCTTTCGGTACATGCATGAATGTTTTACAACAAAAAACTTTCAAGTGAGAGTATAAAGTATCTTTTTCTGTCCACACTCTTTCTGAAATGTCAAAACCCAAAAAAACTGATGGTGACCTGTTAAGTAAATAACAAGCTGTGTTGACTGCTTCACCTCAGAATGGCTTTGGTAATTTTACCATTCCCAACATACATCTGACTTTTTTCATAATGGTATGATTCATTCTTTCAGCTATACCATTATGTTGCGATGTTTCAGGTTCTATCATCTCATGTCTGATCCCATACTTTGAACAATACTCTTCAAAGCCTTTAGATGTGTATTCTCTATCATTATCAGTTCGAATACACTTTAAGGATAACCCTGTCATCCTTTGAACCATGACATGAAATTTTAAAAATATTACAGTACTTGACTTTTGTATTTCAACATATACACTCAAGTCTTACGTGAAGCATCATTAATAAAAGTAACAAAATATCTACTATCACCTAATGACTCAACCTCAATGAGATCACATACATCAAAATAAATTAATTTCAATCTATTTTTTTTTCTCTGAAAACTTTTATAAAAAAAAACTCTATGATGCTTACCAAACAAACAATAATTACATGAATCGAGAGACATACCTTTGGTCAAGAGAATGAAAGACTGTCTTACCAAAATCTGTAACCATTTTTCACTCATGTATGCCCGCCTCTTATGCCACAAGTTTGCTGAAACATCATTTTCAACGGTATTTACCTGGCTACCATTCAATTGCATCCATATCTTATACATTGTGCAATATAGTTTTTCCCTTGCAACTACCATAGATCCTTTGAGAAGCTTCCACTGTCCATTCTTTTGTCGACTTTCATATCCCTCCTTATCAAGTACATTAATAGCAAGCAAGTTCATTCTCATATCTGGAATGTGTCTGACATCCCTCAAAGTTAACATGCAACCTGTATTAGTTTGTACAACAATATCACCAATCCCAACAATCTGTGACACACTCTTGTTTTCCATCTTGGTACAACTAAAATCTCCTGCTTTATAAGTTGTAAACAACTCTCTCTTAGGAACACAATGATATGTCGCTCCTGTGTCAACTATCCACTCAATGCCAGGATCACTAACATGATTACAATCACCATGTGTATAAATCAAAGTAACTGAATCACTATTTGAATTCACTGCTGTAACATTACCATCATCTGAATTCTTATCTTTCTCATCTTTTCGCTCTTGCTTCAAGATTCTACAGTTTCGTTTTATATGACCCGTCTTACCACAATAGAAACACTTCACTTTACCTCTAGACTTGGATTTATGTTTAGACTTACCACGACCTTTTGAGTCTTGACCCCTGTCGATATTTCTACCCCTGTTCTCTGTGATCAGAGCATGATTCTCAGGATCTACATCTTTTCACCTTGCTTCTTCATTAAGCATATTATCCTTTACCATCTCCAATGTCACCTTATAATTAGGAGCTGAATTAAGAACAGTTACAACTAGAGTATTCCAACTGTCTGGCAATGAACCCAAAAGAAATAACGCCTTCATTTCATCATCCATCTTAAGCTCTATAGTAGTCATCCGATTAAATATATCTTAAAAATTACTCAAGTGCTCTGTAACAGATCGTCCATCCCTGTACTGTAAAGTTGCAAGCTTTTTAACAAGCATAACTTTATTCATACCTGTTTTTCTCTCATACAATGTTGTCAATTTTTCTTAAACAATGTGAGCATCTGATTCTTACGCTACATGATGGAACACATTGATATCAACCTATTTTTTGATTGTAGCCAACGTCTTTTTACCTAGCTTCTTTTAGCTTTCATCTTTCATATCTGCTGGTTTAGTCGAATCACCCAATACTGACTCATACAAATCTTTGCAGTATAGATGATCCTTCATCATAGGCTTCTAAATTTAATAATTCGATGCTGTCAATTTTATAATGAAACCTGTATCACCTTCCATGATCTCAAACAGAATTTACTTCTATCCTGATCTGCTTCTGTATCGATGTCTCAAAATAACCTTCGCTCTGATACCACTTGTTGCGCCTGAAGCAATAATCACAATAATACAGAAGCAATAGACAACAATCAATAATCAAAGACGCAGAAAAAATAAAGCACACCAAGATTTACGTGAAAAACTGTCCAGTGTAGAGGAAAAAAATCACGGACCACCAGAAAAATCTTCACTATCAAATAATAGGTATACAAAGTTTTTCTCTAGCTAAAATTAGAGCTAAACAACAACTAGAGAGAACAAGTGGAGAAATCTCACCAAATAAGTGACTCAACAAATACACCATGGATTTGTTCCTACAGAGCTTCAAACTCGATCTTCACCGTTCAGAATGTAGAACTCTGAATCATAAACCTCCTGAGAAGGTTTCAATCCAATCGGACCACGGATCGACTTTCGTTCAACCAACTCTCCCTTCTTATTTTTTTCTCTGTTTTTTTTAGCTTTTCTTTTTTTCTCTACTTGGTTTTCGACACACACATAAAACAACCCCACCTCTTTTTTATTAAGTAGCTAGGGTTCTGTGTAAAATGAAAGATCAAGACCTATGACCTTTACTTGATCCAAAATCACTTACATGAGCTGGATTCCATTTTCCTAACAATACGCTTAACAATGCAAAATAAAGTCTTGCAAGAATAATCTGGATCTCAGCTCCCCACACAATCATTTCTGGACTAGTCCACGTCATGCTTCAGCCAAAAATGAAGCAATAATAGATTACCCAAAAGATGAGCATGAAATACATTGCCAGGTGTTCTTGTATCAGCATCAGATTCACTATAATCCAGTCAAACCAGATAGCCAAGTTGAGTATCTCTGAAACTAAATCAGATGGCCAATAGATTTATGAAGGCAAGGAAGCCGGGCTTAAGCATTTACTGCTTGCTCAATTACACAAAAGCATTCAAACAAAGCATAGCAATGACCAATATACCTTAGTCAGGCAATGCAGTTCCTCGTTCAAGATTATTTTTTATTTCCAGTATGTATTTTCCAAAGGCCCTCCCAATCTTCTTGTTGAAATGCTCATTTCGATCATTGATTGAATCAATATCCTTCTCTTCATGAAACTTCCTCCTCCGGCTAAACGAATGGCGCTTTTCTTCCCAGTTCTTAAGTTCCTTCACCATCTTCTCAATCTTATCTTCTGAAATCTTAGGTGCCTGCAACCAAAGAAACACCGTTCAATAATTTGAACAGGTTGGAAAGCTACCAGGAAAGAAACCTGCAACCTTTTTCCCTCTATTTTGTTCAAATAGACCATACCTTTCCATATTTGAGGCTTGAAGCTTCTCGATAGAACTCTGCATCTGCTTCTTTCATTTTGTTATATTCTTCTAGGTCAACATCAATGTTCTTTTTCCGCTTTTTGTATGCATTGTACAATGTCATTTGGTTGAAGACTGTCAAGTCACTCCATAAAAAGACATAGGTAGACTCATTGACAGAGATAAAAACTCTTTTTTTTGGCCATATATATACAATTTTGAAATTCAACAATGCCATGCTTCAACAAAGATGATAATGGATTGAAAAAGTTTTATGGGCCTATAATATCAGAAGTGGGATATATGTATGTACAAAATAGGTACTAATACATGAAAGTTGAAGCAACAAAAAGAAGCGACAGAATGAACCATGAAACACAATAATGAAGTAACCAAGATAATGGAAGAAAAGGAAAATTGAATAGGTAGCAGTTTGAAGCATACCATCCCAACCAAATGCAGTAGGATCCTTTTCCCATTTCTTATATTTTGCCTCTGCTGCCTCTTGCTATCAAGCATATACACTTTTGGCAAATCCAAACCATTAGCATCTATAAGTTTTCCTATCTTTTTCTTCCTTTCCTCGAGCCATTTTTGCTTAGAAATTCCTCTAGATTCTGGTGGAGCTTCCATTATTTTCTTTTTAGCCAACATTGCTGTTTGTTTGGCTTTTCTTGCCTCATTCTGGAAGCACATAATGCTTATTGATAATCAGTGTTTACTTTTAATGAAACTAAAAGTAAAGATAAAAGATGACTAAACAGAACAGCTTCTATTTGAAAGATTTAGAAAACTAATCATCTTTAGTCTCAACTCAAATAATTTTTTCTGCCTCCCTGTAAGTTTTGTAATGTCTCCTTCAATGTTCTCCTCAACAGGGTGGTCATTATCATCATCAGAATTTTCTTCTGGTTCTGGTGCTCCATGTTGCACATCTTGTTCTTGATAAGCAGCATCTGTAACAGGCTGGCCACGCACCTGTTGCACGTTTTCTTTTACATAGGAATTGAAAATGGATAGTAAATAAATGGATATATATTATTATTTGATCCGTTTGTATCAGATTTAGATAATTATAAATGAATAAGTAACAAATTAAGATAAATAATTTACTATTTATAAGGGATTTAAAATGGATACAAAATATTTTTAGATATTCAATATCCGAATTCATTTAAATTTTAATAAATAATAATGAATATTTTAATTTTTTCTGATTTAAAATATATAAGTATGCAAAATATATAAAATTTTGAACCTTAAAAAATAATTTTTATTTATTAATTAAGAATGGATTTGAATTTTAAATTAAATTTTTATTTATTTTATATTTTATCAAAAGATTTAAATAAATAAATATTTTAATGAATTTAGATAATTAAATGAATTTGAATTTAGATAATAATATTAAATTTATTTAAATATTTAAATAAATTTAAATATTATAAATATTAAATAGATTATGATAAAGACAGACTTAAAAAAAAAAGCCAAAATCATATTTCATTAACATTTTTTTATATATTCGATAAAATCAAAAGAAAATTGTGAACAATTATATTTTATTCTTTTAGCGAGAAAATTAAACAGAATTTTCATTGATGTAAAGCTTGCAATCATTAATTACCAAAATTAGGAGGCAATTGAAATTAATTAAAAAAATTATTGTTCAGTATTCACAAGTATCAAACTTGGCAATTCAGGCGATTATATTATATATCGTGTAACATGAAATTTTCCTTCAGCGTGATTTCTCAGCAACCAAACAAGAGTTAAGTGAACCCCAAACAAACCCTAGAAAAAATTAACTACGGATAATAACAGCAAGGGAAATTCTGAAAAAACGATAAAGGAGGATTGAAAAGAGCGAGAAACGAATCTGATTACAGAAATTGGTTCGATCGCTTCATGTTTTCCCCTTTGGCTAGGGTTTTGGTTGGGTGTTGGAAAAAGGTCGGGTCGGGTGGATGGTAGTTTAACTTGGGTCAAGTTGGGACCGAACTACCGAAGCCGAAGGCACCAAAATCCCCTAAGCCCCAAATCCAATTGCTTAAAAAAATTACTATTACTAATAATTTAATTTTGAAATAAGATTTAAATTTATCATTTTCCTATTTAAAAAAAAAACATTTCACTAAACGTATTGATAATAAAATTTAGTATTTATTTTTTGATGAGTATTATTCTATCATTATAGTTATTACTTCTATTTAAAAACAAAAATTAATAATAAAAAATTCATTAAAAATAATGAAATATTTTAATTTTTTATATTTAATAACCAAATTATAAATTTCAAAAACCAGTCTAATAATTTTAACATTTCTAATAAATCAACCTTTAATAAAAAGATCAATCTAACCATTCTCTTTATACTAATTTATTTTCATGCTTGATTTGAATGACAAACGATAAAAAATTTTTACTGCGTTATTACATCGTTTTATTGTGTATTATCCATTCTCAAATACTTTTAAAAAAATTCAAAAAAAAAAAAAAACACCCAGGCTTATGGCTAAGATCAAGGAGTCAAGGACTAATTGTCTTGACAGTTCAATTATTCCAGAAAAGCCTAATATCAGATTACATACTTTAAAACAAGTAACAAAGCCTAAGTATCAATTCCTCTACACAAACTACTTTCATGGCACTATCAAGTATCAAACAAAAAAGAAAATAACAACCCAGATTTCGTAATAGTAATGTTCTTGCTTTGCAAACGCCATTACAGGAGCTCATCTGCCAGAGATTTGCCCTGGAATTTTTCCATGATGGACGCTATGGATGAAATCGTTTTGTCCAATTGAGAACATTCATGCTCGATGTCATCCAAACGAGCCTTGGTTCCGGCAACTTGTTCCCGGGCATCAGCAGCTTCTTTCTCTTTCTGAGCTAGATCTTCGATTTGAGATTCCAGTTCTTTCTTTACTGATTCTATAGAACGATCGTACTCGGTCTTTTTTGCTTCCAAAGCTTGGCGTTGATTAACAAGCTCAATGGCTTCCGAGATTTCATTGAGTAGAGTACGCAGCCAACTAACATCTATATGTACCGATTCTACATCCTTAAGAACAGCAAACATTTCTTTTAGTTTTGCTTTGGTCAATTGCTTAAATGAAGTGGAATGCAACTCTTGAACTACAGCACACAAGCACTCTAAATAATAAGCACGCATGGAAGCTGATTCCAACTGACAGTTAGCCGCTATATCTCCATACTTGTCAATGATTGACTGTAGAATCGAGGAGATACTGGCTTTCACATGGTGTTTTCCAACAGATACACAGGAATCAGATATAACAGATTCGACCTCGTCTTCATCATCACTCCCTTCTAGAGCTTGGACAATCCCTAAGAAACTAAAATTGGAGCTAATGGGATCTTCTCTCCCATCCTCAGTATTTGCATCTGAACTTGCCCTGGGGGAGTTTTGAATCTTCTTTGCTTCTTCGAATTTGGTTGGTGTATCACCAGGAGACTGTCAGAGAGGAGGACATGAGAGATGATTTACATGGATGTCGTGTCCAAGTGTAAGTGTGACTGGTGTGAGTTCATCAGACACAGAGAGAGAGAGAGAGAGAGAGGGACCAACCGTGATTTTCCCAGACATAGGCAATGATTGAGAGTATTGAATTTGTGGCTTGTCAAAAGATTGATCTCGGGAATGAATGGCCTCAGTGTGTTGCTCGGAAGAAGCAGAAGACCCACCATTCTCTGCTTCCATCTCCTTCCTGGAAAAATGAGACCGAGGTGACCTAGGATCACCCTGGTAAACTGCACCTATGGCAGGGGTATTCTCAAGTGCTCGAAGGGACTTCGACTGAGACTCAGATCCCTTCTTTTTCCTCCCAAAGCTTCTGGAAACATCAAGAATTTTGGAACCTACAATAACAAACACAGCAGTCCTTATATGCTATCACTGACACAGATAAAATAAGAGCAAAAGGAGGAAGATGGGTTACCGAATTTCTTTTTATCCTTTTCTTTTCGTCCCTTGCCTTCAGCAATCTTTTCTAAGCAATAAACACCACATTCATGAAAGGAATTCCCAGCATTAACGCAATCCGGATGTACTCTTCCATTCTCATCCATCTTTTCTCCTTGTTTAGCTTCAGTTTTGCCTCTGTAAAACTCATAACCAATTAGCACAAACCCAATTCATTGAAAATTTTCTCATGCAGTTTAATAGTAAGCACAAAGAATTCTTACAATGAACCAAGTCTTTGATCTTTTATCTCTAAACCAAAATTTCTTTCCAAATTTATAAACAGAACAAAAATTCAATCCATAAGTTACATAAACATAACTTGAAATTACATACACAGGTAACAAGTATATTAAAATCTACTGAAACTGTTTAAGATGAACAGCCAAATTTGACCAAAAGCTTTTGTTAATTTCAAAACCAGAATTCACTAGTCAAGACGAACAAAGAATGACCAAAAGAGTTCTATCAAAAGAAAGAATGGACCAACAGAGTTAAAAGAAACTTTCTCTACGTTTTCCTACTCTTTCCCCCCTTCCAAACAGAGGATAGAAGTGCTAAAGAAACACATAAATAACAAAAAAAAAAGCGATGCAGCAACTTAGAAAAACATGTAGATAAATAAGATATAAGCAGTAGTAATGCACAAAATGAAATTGAGAAAAAGAAAAGGGTAGAATACCAGAAGGGAAGATAGAGATAGAGATAGAGAGAGAATCCAGAGGAGATGTGATCATAGACACAGATTTTATTGTTGAAAGTTTTTTATTTTTCTGTGTAATAAGTTTGACTAATGAACGTGTCTGAAAACTCAAAAAAAAGTCTTTGGGGTTGTCGTAGTTTGACCGTTGTGAGTCACTGGAACTTGCTTGTCTTTATATCGCAAAATCAAACATTTTTTTACAATGGTGTCCTTCGTAATTACGAAATGCAATTTGACTTAAGCCATACATAAATTTCAGACACGTGTCCTACTCTGATTTTTTATGAAATCTATATATATATTTTATTTATGCTTGTTATTTGGTTGGCGGTGAAACTGCCGAATTTGTGGTCCCAATTTTACATATTTTTTTATATATTATTTTATGGATTACAAAGGCATATGCTTTGTAAGCCCAACTGAGTACTTTTTGTACCTACGAGAGTCTGCCATTCTGGTTGCAAACACTGAGTTGAACCACTGAGTTATCGGTGCTATGATTTTCAGCGGCATAGCTCTTGTTCAAGCTTCTTATCACAAGCCTACCAACGATCATATCTGGTAAAAATCCTTCGTGAAAGCTCTCAGACTCACAATGGTATTTCTAATAACTCACCAGGTTAATGACTTCAAATGAAGCAGAAACTTAAATTACATAAGTTGTGTTACAGGCTTACAGCATCATATCTAATTATCTATAACAACAAGAAATAGAAAAGAATCCAAAAGGACCAAAACCCTGGAGACATCTTTTATAACAGATCCATAAGGAGCTAACAGGTCAACAGAGATATTGAAATCCACCACAACACCCAGTTGCCCAGTTGAGTCTGAAGTGGCAGCAACATAATCCCCATGTAAGAAACCACGATCAACAACAGTTCCATTCTTGATACTTTGAACTAGCTCAGTTTCATCCATCCAGAGCACTCGTATTTGATCACCTTGAAAATCACCACATAAGCATTTGATCAGTCTCATTAGAATTGCTATTGCTAACACCATCACTGCTTTCATCTTCACCATCCTTTTCATCATCATCATCTTCGTCATCTTCATCATCAGTCATGCTTCCATCTGAATCTGAGTCATCAGCAACTTCACTTGTATTACTCCTGACAAGTTACTGGAAGTCTTGGTTTGTTTACAAAGCAAGTTTCAAACAATCAAGCATTTTACTTCTAATTTACAAATCCTTTGTTCAACCTGACAATAATTTGAGGTTTTGCAATTCTTTTTTACTTGTTTCCTGCACCACAAGATAGCAAACTCAATATCAATGGAAGCATCTTAAACCAGTTCCTTCTACAATAGATAGTATAAATTATTAACTTCATACTAGTAAAATAAAATAAAACAAAAAGAATGAAATTAAAAAATAAAAATAAAAAATCAAAGGTGGTTAGCGTCCACGGAGCTATAATTTCAAGGATATGGTATAGATCGAGTGCCCATACCATATCTAACTACATTCGAGAACACCCGAAAACTTCTTATTCAATTAGCGCAAAAAACTGAGACTTCACTTCCAACAGTTAGAGAGAACAGAGCATCGAGGCAGAGCTTAGTGAAATCCAGAGAAAATGATCGTGTGTGTCACCGTCGTCGGCCATCAGGTACTCCCTACTCTTCCAACCGTTTTTCTTTCACGCATCACATCTTGATACGAAATCTTCTTTTCTTTTACCTGATGATCTGTTTTTCATCCATCATGATGGAACGAGCAGAACAATCCTCTTTACATACAGAGCTTCTCCGACGCCGATGATGCTCTCAAACTCCACCATATCGTCCATCGCTCCCTCGATGTCGTCGACGAGCGAGGTATTATCACTAATCTTTTAATCTAAGTTAGTATCTGGATCAGGTACATATAGGGAGAAAAATGTTAAAATATAATTTTTAATTCAAATTTCGTTTATGCTAATTTCGAATTACAGATTTTGAATATCTGATGTTTGATTATATTTAATTTTATATATTTATAGTGAATAATCTAAAAAAATCTGAGCCGACATTGAATGAAACCTGCTGAAAATTATGAAGTGTAAGAAGTTAATTTTACACTCCATTTTTTTTTTTTTTACATTTGATTTGAAATTCTCAACGTTGCTGTGATTTGTAATTATTGGAATATTGAACTTGTTGTCTATGGCTGTGTTATTTATGGTTGTTTGACTAACACAAAGGTGAAGTTCATTTTGGTGACGACAGATATAGATGTTAGAGATGCCGATGTCAGAAATGTAAGTGTCGCTGTACCCGATAATGAATTGGATTGTAGGAGTAAGGATTGTATCATAAGTCTATAAATCTATCATTTCTATTTTGATTCTTTATCCACTGGAGGTAGACAATGTTGATGTGCAATAATGCATGTTTCTAGTACTATCTTTATTTTCGCCTCTCCATCTTTGGTCTTTCAATACTATGGGTCTATAGCTATATCAATAAGTGAACCTTTATTCAATTTTAAGCCCTAGATGAAGTGTCTGGGAAGCGTGCTTGAACTAGTAGTGGCACTGAGTTTATCTTGGTAATGAAAGAATGTTTAGCTGAGTTTTCTCGTTATATTCAGTCAAGAACTCTGTCTAAGCTTTAGCCATATTCTTAATTAATATAAGGTTATAGTCTTGGACAATGACAATCTATTGAATCAGTAAAGGGGAAATCCGGAGAGGGGTAAATCGTGAGTAAATTTCTTGATTTTTTTTTTTTTAGATTTGCTGGTTGATCCAGATACATGGATGGGACTTAGGAGTTAGACCTGCTTATATGGAAATATAGAAAATTTTGTTGGTTGTTTCTGCTGAAATCAAACATATTTTAGCCATGCATATTTGTTGGTATCCTAGCTTGTGACATTTTGTTCTGTTGTAAATTTTCCTGTTTGGAATTCTATTATTTTTTATTGTTTCAGATGATTTGGTTGAGAGTTCCGCATAGAACTGTAGGTTTGGTTCTTCCATCCACGTCCACTAGATGATCTAGGTGTTGCCAACTGATATTGCCCCTGCTCCACCAACTGCACACTTAAACCAACTTTATAAGCATAAAATTGAGACCAATGTTTTGAGGTGTTGCTTTACTAGTGGGTTAGACAAATGGCTAATTCCTCCTGTAGCTTTTTATTTTTTTACTTTGAAAAAAAGAGGACATTATTGTCTATATTTTGAATGGATGCTGTAAACGTTATCTGGCATCTGACTTGTTCTTGCTCTACAATTTTGCTGTATTTTATGTATAGTTTTTCAGGAGGTTCCATGCTGCATATGTTGATACCGTCTCAAACCCATTTCACGCACCTGGTAAAAGAATTACATCCAGAACTTTTGCAGAAAGAGTGAGCACCATAGTCAAGTCATTTGGGGTGAGTTCAGCTTGATGAAAGCATCATATGGTGGATTAATTGCACTTTGCACGTAACTGAGTTAAAACTTATCGTCATCTTCCTCTGCAATGTGCTTTGCAATCTCTTGCTCTTGTTGTTGTCTTTCTCTCCTCTTGTCAGCACTTTCTTTCTCCTTGTGCGAGTTTGGTGGGAACGAAAGTGCACGCACTGCCTCATTATGCATATTGAGGCAGAAAGCAATCCTCGAGTTGAAAGCCATGTGAGGCTTAGTTGTAGAGCAGACGTCTCCCGTCTCCTTTGACAGCATGCATCAATTTGCATGATCCAATGTTGCATCAATTGATCCATCTCTAATTGCCTTGGCTACCATGCTCTCAGCATCAGCAACAGAGTCCAATCTAAGCTTCTTGGCAACATCAACGAGTAAGATGAGCGAATATGAGATACTTCTGTTGCTTAACTCACATTCGTTAGTTCAAAGTACGGCCTTAATGCCTTCTTCATGCCTTTCTTCATAAACAGTCCTCTCAGGGATTTCTCCAAGCGGTAATCGAACGATGATTGCCAATTTGTTGCATCGAACCCAGAAACCATGGGCCAAAGCATGGGCTTACCTAAGCAGCTTGGAGGAGACATGCCTTGGCATCTGTACATTGGGCCAATGTTTGGTGCTCCTTGATTTTGCCAAGGATGTTGGTTTTCCTGAGCCTGAACGCCATGTACGGGCCTGGGCCGTTTCCAATTTTGTTTTATCTTGTTCTAAATTTTTGATTATGTAATTACAATAGCATAATCCACCAAGAACATTGTTTGTTCTAGCACATGAGTCCATTATATGCATTATTTTATTTAGTTAATCATGCAAATTTTCATGCTTACTTTTTCTGGATTTATTTTTTATATTTTCTTGGTGATTTTCCCATATAATTAGGATGTGATCAGCTAGCAAATAACCAAGAAAAATATTCATGTTTTTTCGACGATGTTTCTTTGCCTACTTAATTTTGATCAATTATTTATCTAAAATCAAAGTTTAATTTAATTAATTCAAATAATGAGATGACATAAAACAAGTTTAAGATTTAAATTTTAAAACGTATAAATTTTTCATTTTTTGATGATTTAAAAAAAAATTAGCAGATTTTGACTAAGATTAATGATTGACAAATCAGACTAATCAATGGGGTGGGTTTGGCAGATAGGATTAGGAAAGTTTTGGGGGGACCTAAAATGCAGCCCCAAAAGATTGAAGAATCAATGGAATTTAGTGGGTAAAATAAATGTTCAAATTGAGGGAATGAACGTTTGAACTTTGAACCAAACAGTGATGAAACAGACAGGGAGGAGAAAAATTATGCAAATCATTCTCGGTTGAATATGGCTTAGAATGTGGATAAGATTCACTTTGGATTAACAAATTCATATCTGGGACAGATCGTTACTATCTCCTTCAAACGAAAGGAAGCTTCCTAAATAATGTATAAATTCAAAGTCATGGGTCAACTTGATGTAAAATTAACCTAATATATCTCTCTCAAGTCAATAACGAGGACTCCGTCAACAGACGGTTTATTTACAAGCTTTATTCCATAGTTGTTTTGGCAAAAAGATTCAAGAACGAAGACTGGAAACCAACAAAAAAAAATTAAAGAAAGCTGGAAATATAGCTTTCAATGTGGTCATCATCTTTGCAAATTCCAAGTGAGTGGTCAAAAAAAATGAAAAGGAAAGGAATATATTTTAACCCCAAAAACCAAGTGCCCCAAATAGAAACTACACTTCATAGTTGTTTTTTACAGTAAAGATTCAAATCAAAAGCTCTTACTAAGGAAGGCTTTTGCTAATATTATCTTTTAATAAATTTAAGATTCAAATTTTAATAATTACAATATTTTTTTATATTTTTAAATTACGACATTCTTCGATAAAATAAAAGAAAAAACAAAGTGATAGATGAATTTCATATTTTCAAACAAGAACTATTCTTAAGCAAAATTTTATAATTTAAACAGTTGAATTCCAAAATTTTGATATATAATAATAGGATAATAAATTTTATTTTCATCATCTTCCCTGTCAAAGAAGAGATGGTCCACTGCACTAATGTTACTACAAAACCTAGACTAAGTACATTACATTCAATTTTGAGAGTTGAAGATAGATTTGGTATTCGATATATTTGTATAATATAAAATAATAAATTTTATATATTTATATTATATTTTATATAAAAATTATATGATATAATTTATGTTAATATAAAAAAATAAAATATATTTTTTTATTATATTAAATTTATATATAATTATTATTAAAATTTTAAATTGTATCATTTTTATTTATTTTTATCATGTTTAAATTATCAGCCATAGCTGAGCGACATGACTTTTTAATTTAGATTTTACAATTTTTTTACTATCTGTATATTTGGATTTAACCTCAAAAGTGTTTCTGAAAGATATTGTAATGGTTGAACTTGAAAGTCCATGACCAAGTTCAATGTCAGCTCTTGACACCAGAAACCAGGAAAGTCGAAGGGTTAAAACAATAACAAGACCAACAATGCTATTATTTATTAATTGAATATTGAACTCTTAATTTCAATTATCATAATTTAATCTCGGTAATTTCAAATAAAAAAATAACCCATTGTTTGAGAAGAGATGACAAGTTTGCTGCCAATAGAGGATAAATACAGGGAAATGAAAATGAAATGACAATCTGTTTTCAATTTTTTTTTTCTGACGGATTTTAACTCTTTTATGCCATTGCTCTATCGCTCTCTTGCAGAGATAGAGCAGGCTAGTCATGATTCACGACAACAATGTGCTGGAATTTTGGAACACGCATTGGCCATGGAGAATCCATCAAATACAATGCATTGCATTCATATGCCTTTATCTTCGCCAACAACAATGATAGTCAATTCATCACTGCCCCTTCCTTTAAACCTCACAGTTAACAATACCATCACAGATGAAACACAAAGCTTCTTCTTTCTGAGCATTTGATGTGTATGGATGCAGAAATATTTATTCTTCTGGTGAAAATTTTAATCATTGAAACTAAAATTTCAACATTCAACCATAAGATCACGTGTTAGCTCTAATTCAGCTCTTTGAGCATATATAAACCAATCATTGAATAAAATGTTTGCAACGTGTTTGATTGTAAATTTTAAGGCTAAAAGATATTGACAGAATCTAATTATCGATGAGTTATTGCTGCAAAACATTCATATGTAGATGATCCAATCATGGATTATGAACTCCATTTAAATTGTCTTTGTCTACAGTAACGATTAGTAGTATTATTTTAGTCCAATAAGTAGAAGAGGACGGCCATTGCAAATAAAGTGGAATCAACCAAAGCTTGGATTTTGAATGAAGGCGAGCAGAAAATGATAAAATGGAAGAAGTTTTTTAATGTAAAAAAAAAAAAGGGTCAATGGATTTATTATAGATTAAGCAAAAGATGGAAAGAAAATAAGAAATGAGAAGTTAGAACAAGGCAAAACCAGTGGTTCCACCTCCAACAATGGTGCACAAATCCACTAAAGAGAATAAAGAGCGAAGACCAAATGGACCCAACAGTAGTTCCACCATTGGAGACCTAACATTACACTGTTGGGTGGAGAATGGGTCCCTACCAAATTACCCAAAAACCAATAAATCAACCATTTCATATTTGATACTGATTTTATCATACACTACTTTATTTTTTTTTTTAATTTAGAGTAAGAGAAATTATCTTATCTTTAAGATAAACAAGCTGTCATCTTACAAAAAAATTTATAAATTTTTTGAAAATTTTCGAACTTACAAATTCGTTATCAATTAAAGATCGTAAAATCCGTTACCAACAAAAAATAGTGAGGTTTTGAATCTAAATGTTTTGTATCCGTACTATAAACTTCAATCATTTGCGTCGATCTCTTGGCTGCACTGCTCTCTTTAGTTGTCCACAATGCATGCTTTCCGGTGAGATGCTCTGAATTTCAAGATTAAAGCAAATGTTCATTTTCATATGATGATATTCTATAAAGGGTTGCGACTTAATCTTGATTGACGAAATTGTTTTGGAAAATTCTCTTCGAAATATGAAATTTTGGAGCTTGGAATTGAAGTTATGGTACATAGGCATAATTGGATTAAGGAAAACAAAGTATCCACTATGGATGGATGGACGGAGTAGGATCGATCCACCACAAGATTCCCTAAAGAACCTATCTAAGCCATTCTTTTTTTGCCAATTTTATAGGGATATGGGAATTCATTCCCTTTGGGTTTTTTTTTTAAAATTTTTTATTTTATTATTTATTTAATTAAAAAAAATTATATGTATAAATTTTCTTGAATCTATAATCTTTAAATGTCAACTTTTTTAGTTACATTAAAAGAATAAAGCCTTAACACAAGTAAAAAGAAATGGGAAGTCTGATTCAAAACCAAACCTTTAATGTCTCCTTAAATATTTTTAACTACTAGATCAAGGGCTCGAGAAAGATTAATTGATTCAAGAAATAATTGATATTCATTTCCCTTGATATTGGAATCTAAAACTGACCTTTAAAATGTTCATATATTCATCTTAATGTTAGTGTTATGGGTCGATACTTAAGCTTTGAACTTGCACGATTTCGAGACTCAAACATCCACTCATCTAACGTTTCAGATCAGCTTACCTGTCACGGTTCACACTCTTGTAAAGTATTATCCACTTTGATCTTCTGAACTCACGGTTTCATCCTATAAAAGATGACTCACAAGGAAGAGAAGGTATAAACTCTTTTTATACCCCAATAACCTTCATTTTATATTCGATGTAGGATTCATGAATTCTCCTTAGGTCCGTGACACTCTCCCTTACCTAACCTCGTAACACCCTCATCACGGAGGCTGACCACCCTGCCTACCTCTCTCGAGACACTTGACGTAAATCAAACGGTTTAAGATTAACTCTGATAGCACTTGTTATGGACCTAAAAAGGAGTCTTGAATCCCACATTAAATCAGAGTCATTGGGGTATAAAATGGTTCACACCATCTTTTTATTATGAAGTATTTTTTGTAAGATAAAATCGTGAGGTCAAGAGATCAGAGCGGATAATACTTCATAAGGATATGAATCGTGACAGATAAATTAATCTGAGACATCGGATGAGCAGATGCTCGAATCTCAGAATTACGAATTCAAAGCTTAAGTCTCGACTCGTGACATTAATCTCTATTAATAACTTTTAACTACTTTCAAACAATTTCTTAATCTTCCTATAATACGTGTTTGGATTGTCTTTCTACGTATGAAAAATCCATATAGTTTTATTAATTCTTAAATTTAATAAAAATTGAATTTGGATATAATTCAAATGACGCATTGATTTTCTAAAATTTTCTTTAGTAATGTAATAAAATCTTCTTTCGTTTTGTCGTAATATTTTTAAAAAACTTTCATCACGTGTAAAAATTTTTAAATTCTTTCCACGCTTTGACCTTTTTATAAAAAAAATAAATAAATAATCAAAAATCAAAAGAACTTGGACGTTTTCAGATGTTAGACGTGTTAATATGATCGATGGCTACTAGCATTACGTTAAATACGAATGCTTGTATTCCAAATCATTCTCCAAGACTTTGAAAATTAAAATGAAATTAAAATAAAAACTTCATATATTTTTTAATATGGAAACAATGTTTCATTCTTCTTACATTTTTATCATAAAATATAAATTTGATAATTCATATATTTGTATTATATGAAATATTAATAATTTATATATTTATTTTATATTTTATATAAAAATTATGTATTATAATTTATACTTATATGAAAATATAAAATATATATTTTTTATTTTATTAAATTTATTTATAAATTTTATTAAAATTTTAAATTATGTTATTTTTATATATATTTTTCGTATAAATTTTATATCGTATCATTATATCATATTTGATATTATCTAATTTAATATTAAAATAATAACAAAATTCTTAATTTAATTCAAAGCTTTACAATTATGTAAAATTTCAGTTTTTTTGCCATTTCCACATCTTGAAGTATGGCATCCTAGGCATCATGTTGGCTCCTTCTAGAAACAACCTACGCCAGTGAAATATATACACAAACAAAACCCCTTAAATTTTAACATTTGAAAATTTATTGAATTCGAACTTAATTTAATTATTTATTTAATTATTTTTAAAAATATAGAAAAACGAAGCCTCTTTAATTTTAACATTTTAAAATTTTTTGAACTTGAAATTAATTTAATTATTTGTTAATTATTTTTAAAATGATGTTTAATAATTTTATAATTTTTTTATCTCAAATTACTACGCATTAAAAAAAAAAAATTGTAATACCACCGCCGTCAAATACACAAGATTTCATCCTACTTTACACAACCTAACACGCGTAACAACACAGTGGATCAAGATGAAAGCACCGGTAAAAATAGGGTTCGTGCCAAACAATATATGTTGCCACGTGTAATCGCATTAATGTGGTGATGTAGAATATCATAGACCCATAAAACTGGATTTCATTGACTCTCTGTAAGTCTATAGCTTTTCTCTTTTGATTTTTTTTTTCCTATTAACATAGGGGTGTGGAGCCCAAGACCGGACCTTTACTTCGTTGGCTTCAAGCTCGCCATCGTTGGTCTTTTGTGGGTCTTGTTTGCTGAGACGTAGAGGGAGAAGCAAAGGATACAGATAGAAAAGAGAGTTTTTATAAGTTGTTATGTGCCAAAAGCCAAAATCTTTCACATAAAAGGACTTCTCTTTTCCATTTCATTTCTGTACTATTTTGTTCTTTTCTTCTTCTTCTTCAATTATCTCATGAGTTGTTGAAATCAACCAAATCAAAAACCAAAATCTAAACTTTTTTTCTATCTCTCTGACTTGATTGATTCATAGATCTACTAATTCCAATTTCTTTCCCACATGAAGTTTTTTCCTTTTCTAGTTCCAGATCCTTCTTTTCAAGTATAAAGCCAAGTGCTCAAATCAAAAGGTAAGCTTCTTCTTCTTTTATTGTGGGAAATACAAGTTGAATTATGATGATTAATGGGTCTAAAGGGATATGCAAAAAGTGGGTTTTTTTTTTCAAAGTTGTCAATTTGAAACATTAGACCTTCTGGATATCCTAATGGCTGACCAACTACTTTGTTAGAAAAAAAGAAGAAACTGAGCTTTGACCGATTCCCTTGTTTTTGAAAACCCTTCCTTCGTGTTTGTGTTGATTTTTCAGCATAAGGAGTCATGGTTCCTGCTTTAAGAGGGAACAATTTCTGTTTGAGCTTAATATTAATAACTAAAACAAACTGAGAAGTTGGCTTCTTGTACATCAGTCATTGATCTGCTAGTTATTGATTATATAGTTATCAAACTTATTGTCCTTTCTGATTGATGCTGTTAAATATCCCCTGAGGAGTAGTGGAAGATTCTAATTTGTGGCTGAGTTTTCGTTGGTTTAGTTGCTTTTGACCCGTTATTGCACATTGCACTATTGCTAACCTTTTGGTGTGCTTTGTTGTTGGTGTTGCTATAGTGTTCCATTATTGTGTTGAGAAGCAGAGGATACGGTTCACGTTTCATGTTTCTAGAGCCTAGTTGTGTTAAGTGGTTATTTAGATGTGCATAATTTGGAGGGTTTTTGGGATGAGATGAGGGATGTTATCTGGGTTGATGAACTTTTTGAGGGCCTGTTTTTGGCCAAGGTCGGTTCACACAAGTTCGGATGCTGGAGGTGGCCAAGATGGGCTTTTGTGGTACAAGGACACGGGGCAGCACGTTAATGGTGAGTTCTCAATGGCAGTGGTTCAGGCCAATAATTTACTTGAGGATCAGAGCCAGCTTGAGTCTGGTTGTCTGAGTTCACATGAGTCGGGTCCCTATGGTACTTTTGTTGGCGTATATGATGGGCATGGGGGCCCAGAGACCTCACGCTACATCAATGATCATCTCTTTCAACATCTCAAGCGTAAGTACAAAGCCTTTGCGAGGGTTAATTTTTTTGTTGCCCTTTTTTTACTGATTAAAGGAAGTATAGGAAAGAAATATTCAGTAAGGAATTATTATGGATAGGATTAAATGATTGAAAAGGAATTATTGTGGTGAACTTGTTGCAGCCATAGTCAAGGGTTTGTTGTTCTGAGTTCGAACAGTTATAAGTTCCTGAGTATCACTTTTGTTATTTTGTATCTCACTGCTTATTTGTAACACTAGTTCTAGGGCCAGGTATTTAACTTATACCTTTTTTTTTCATTCACTTTTGTATCGGTGATGTTTGTTATTCTGAATTAGTTGTTATATTCAGGGCTTACTTCAGAGCAACAGACAATGTCGGTTGACGTAATACGAAAAGCGTATCAAGCAACAGAAGAGGGTTTTTTGTCTCTTGTTACTAAACAGTGGCCTATGAAACCACAAATTGCAGCTGTTGGATCCTGCTGCCTGGTTGGTGTCATCTGTGGTGGAACCCTTTATGTTGCTAACCTTGGTGATTCCCGTGCTGTTTTGGGGAGAGCTGTGAAGGCAACAGGAGAGGTTCTAGCCATTCAGCTGTCAGCTGAGCATAATGTGTGCATAGAGTCTGTAAGACAGGAGCTGCAGTCGTTGCACCCTGATGACCCACAAATTGTAGTTTTGAAGCACAATGTATGGCGTGTAAAAGGTCTCATACAGGTAAGTTTCACTATGCACAATTTTTTTTTAATAGTTACTCAACTGCTAAGAGGGGTAGATATTAGGTAATGATACCATTTTATAAATGGCAATGCTTTTGCATAGATGTGATAAGTGGTTGGGGAAAAAATCAATGAAAGGAACTGAAACTTGCTTCTGTCTGTGGCTTATATTACTTTTGTCTACAAGAATAACCATGCGAAAAAAGGAGCAAGTACCACTTTCAGTCTTTGCTGCAGACATTTAGACAGCTTGAGCCAGTTCTTGTCCAAGTTGAGCTCTATAGAGCATGCTTTTATGATATTTGAAAAGTTTGTTTTAGGTAGTTTGGTTTACACTAAATTCTTTGAGAAAGGCATGGACGTTAGGCAGTGTTTCGTCTACTCATGCATACTTTTTGAAAATAAAAACCAGAAAAGGGTCTTTAATGTTTTTGGAGTGAAAATGTATTTATATGATTAGAATTCCATGGCAATGTTTGATTTGTTAGAAAGAAAGATTTATATAAGCTGCATGGCATGTTCTCCTCCTATGTGGTAAAGATAGGGTGAAGCCATGACGAGGAATGATGCCCATCATAATTCCAGTTGGATGCATGGGTTTATCTGCAAAGCTAAAAGAGAAAGGGAAATGAGAAAAACTTTTGACTATGAGAGAACTTAGAAATTAACAAAGATGAAGGGATAAAACAGTGCTACTGGTTGTTGCATAAAGCTTTGAATCTAAAAAATTTGTTGGATTGTGTGTTGATCTCATGGCAAGGAAGTGATTTGACGGTTATCCATTGATATGGCCTGTATCCATATATATTCCCAGGTCAGGCAGTAATAAGCTCAGTGGTGATCCTGGAGTAGGTTACGTGTAAACTTCGGGCTTTATTATTGGAATAGGATTAGTTGTATGACTTTTCAGCTCTATACATGTGTATAAGGTTTGTTTCTAAAGAGTTTTGGTGAACGAAATATCCTAATGTGCTAGGTTTTAATTACCTTGTGTTTCATAGTTATGTGGTTTCCAGGTTTTACTGAGAGAATAAACTATAAATGATTAAATTCTGATCTGCTCAGTCACGATGGCTTTGGAAGACGATCATAGCCACCTCTTGACAAAATGAACCCTCTTCCAAGGAAGAAGGGTGGATATTGAGATTAAAGAATAGTTCTTTTACAATGGCCGATAAGTACATCTTATTTCAAATTCAAATGACTGATACTAGTACTTTCCAGGTTTACTAACTTTAGATTAAGAATCTATATCTAGGCTATGAAATCCACCAACTCACCTTTGAACTCCTTAAGTGATGGTTTAAAGAGGTTTCTGATGCTTGGTCAAATTGGTTGAGAAACTTCCAAGCAAGTTCCCACATGTCAATATGAAATCCTTAAAAATATTGTAAAGTTCTAAAAAAAACTATGAAATCTTTAAAAATATTGTAAAGTTTTAAAAAAACTATGTACACCTAGAAGTACAACTAATTTCATGGATTTCTTATGTGAAGAGATTTTATTGCTGTCATGAGCAATTATCCTTTATGTACAAATTTCTTGCCACAACTGCTTATCCTTTTGTCTAACCTTGAACTTGACCCCTAATGCGTGCACTGCCTTAATTTCTGTCCAGCGGCACAAGATTGTAATTTCCTTTATATGGTTTTCTGGTACCTCTTACTTTTTGAAAGTGTTTATTGATAGATTTCTCTACCTTTCAGGTTTCCAGATCTATCGGTGATGTATATTTAAAAAAGGCTGAGTTCAACAGGGAGCCTTTATATGCCAAATTTCGTCTTCGTGAACCTTTCAAAAAGCCAATATTGAGTGCAGACCCATCAATATCATCACACCCGCTGCAGCCACATGATCAATTTGTGATATTTGCATCTGATGGACTATGGGAGCACCTAAGCAATCAAGAAGCTGTTGATATTGTTCAAAATCATTCACGAAGTGTAAGTTTATACCTCATTGTTAAATACCATTCATCTTATTATGAACACTACGTTTGTCTCTTATCCTTCTTAAAGTTTCATTTGGTTAGAGTATGAAAGCCATTTCTAGTAGGTCGCTGATAATAGATTTGGAATTCAAGTTCTTAATGAAGGTTTGCTTGGTTCTCTTGAGAATATTTCCTTTGTCATGTGAGCTATGGCATCCCACTTGAAGACCCATGACTTTGCAGCTGCTGCTTGTTCAATTTTTTCCATCCTATTACAGCTGCTTGACAATTACCATTTAATTCGTAAGCAAAATACCTCAATTGGAACATGTCAACCAGTACAAACACAAGCATGAGCATAACACAAGTGCATGCTCATGCAGGAAGGCTGGACAATGTTCCTGTTTCCTTTCTGTTTGTTTATTTTGTATTCCTTGTCTTCTGATTTTGAGGTACAAATTCATTCACATTCATTGTGTTGACGGCATGAAGTTCATCTTAAAATAAGGTACCAATAGAACAGAGGAAATTAACTTTCTTGTTTTGGACTTCATGCAGGGAAGTGCGAGGAGGTTGATAAAAACTGCTCTACAAGAAGCAGCAAAGAAGAGAGAAATGAGGTATTCTGACTTGAAGAAGATTGACCGCGGAGTCCGTCGGCATTTCCATGACGACATCACAGTAATTGTGGTGTTTCTTGACTCAAATCTCGTGAGCAGGGCTTCCTCAGTAAAAGGTCCTAATCTATCTGTTAGAGGGGGAGGACTTAACTTGCCTCCTAATACACTGGCTCCATGTTCCACGCCAACAGAAGCTGGCGGTACCTGATCATTCTGTAATTTATGTTTTTCTTTGTTGTATCATTTTCTTGTATGAATACGTGGTAGCTTCTGAAAACAACAAGAGGAGCAAGCCTTCAATTCTTTAATGTACCCTGCAGCTTTTAACTGGAAACTACCTGCATTTAGCTTCTGTGCCGAAAAAAAGTAGAGAAAGTACAAGGTGACGATTATTATAGTCAATTACCTGGTATAGTCACCTTAGTCTTTATATAAAAGCCTCCTTTTGTTCTTCAGTTGCTGCATTTGTCACTTTTGATTATGCAGTTAACATTTCACTTTCTTGTTGGATTTACACGCTTAGAGAAATGCTTAAAACAGTAACACTCTTTACTGATACGTGTAATAGTGCGGGGCAGAGTGCTGAACAGAAGCAAATGACAACAACGTTGGAAGCAACTATGTTATGGTCGTTGTAATATGCGTAGTTAAATGATAATTCTTAAACCCTTTACCATAGGTGTTCAAAGTTTATGTGGAAATTATCTCGTGCTGGGCTTCTACAAAACAAATGGGTGATAAATTAGACCTGGGTGAAATCCCCCATTCGTCGCTTTACTTGTTGAATCTTATTGTCATTTCTATACACAGCGGTAGGTAGTATGATCAAGACAATTGACAGCTTCAGTTTCGGATTCTTCGGATAATAAAATCTTGACAATATTATCTGGTATTATTTCAACAGCGTGTAGATCGATCAACTTGTTAAGATAATATCAACCATAAGTGTTTCATAGATCAAACATATAATCAAGGTATTTTAGTCGGTGTTCAAGACTCTAACGCATTTTTGGCTTAACGTCGAACTGGGAGTCTAACTTTTATGAAGATATGTCTTTCATTATAGTAACTTACTATTAGTATGAACTTGGGTTAGTATAACTTTTTTTGGCTGAAAGAAATAGATCAATAATCTGTTTAACAGTTTAACAAGAATTTCTGATGCAGAGGATCCATAATATTATGACAAATGCAGAGCACACTCAACTTGTATCACTGCAAACTATGAAATAGCTTGAAAAAAAACATGAAGCTAAAAGCTTTAACTATGGAAGAAGGAAGATGGAATTACCAAAAGAGAAGAAAGGTTTTTTAACCAAACATATTTTATAAAGAAAAGTTTGTTACAACGGATATTTTGGAGAAGTCTTGATCAGTTTTTCTTGATACCTTTTTGAAGAAGTAGCATCCTATTTATAGAAGGAAAAAGTAAATGAATAGTAACCTAATAGGACAAAGCTAGGACAAAGCATAATTACAACTTTACAAGTAGCTTGATATAAAGTTAAAGTAAGGTGACTCATCACTATGACTAATCACTTATTTGACATAAAGTAAAGATGACTCATAAAGTAAACATGACTTGACTTAGACATAAAGTTGATAAAGACTTCACATAAAATTGTCTTGATGTGGAGGCATCATAATAAACTCTTTGGTGAATACAGACAACTCCAATTTCTTCAATGCCCAACAATCACAGAAGCTGTCTCTCAATTTGCAGCAATCTTTTGTGGACAAAAAACTCACATATTGAAAAAGATCATAGAACAATTCTTCAAACTAAAATGCTGTTCTCTCCATCTAAAAGACCTTGACAGACATTATTAACAATTCTCCCAGTATTTTTACATACTTAGTGGATTTGATGATGTCAATTTAAAGCAAGCCTTTTTCAATTCTGTTTCAGAAGAACTTGCATAACAAACAAGACCCAATTGAACTTCAGATCTCTTGATGTTAGATCTATGACCCTTGGAGATATCTACAAGATGATGTTGAAAGCACTTGATAAGATTTGCAAAGAACATAAATACATCAAAACCTTGGTGCATAACTCCAAAAAGTTAAAAAAGCCATGCTCTTACTCCTCCTCAGGCTTTCAAATCAAATGTTCTTCCAAAGATTCCACATGTTTTTGCAGCAACAAGAAAAAGAAGCATTTCAGAAGATTCAGACCTTCTAGACATCCAATCTTTTCCCGACCCAGACATAAGAAGCTCTTCAGATATGCTGATAAGCCCAAAAGATTTCAAAGATTCAAATTTACAAGAAAAAAAAAAGATCCAAAGATCAAAAGTTCAAAATATTTTTTTTGTGAAAAATTACGACATTTTTCAAAGAATTGCCCAAAATTAGACAAAAAATCAATCAAGTTGATCCAAGACATTGCTAATATCTCTGGTATCAATCTCTCAGATGATGATCTTGAATCAGTTTTCTCCCTTGATGATGAGCAGAATAAAAGATCCATGTTTATGATCAAACGGTTTGATGATGTCGAGTTTACAGATTTAGACTACTTAGATGACTTCACAGATGATCAATGTTATGAGTATATGTCAGTCCAAAAACTTCAAAAAATTCAAACTTTCCAACCTTCAAAATTGCCCTTAGCTCTAATTCAGATCTTTTCTCACAAACATTCCCCTCTTATAACAGTCAATTTTTTTTGACACTAGTGCAGCCCAAACCATAGCAAACCCCCTCGTCTTACCCATAAACCTTTGGACAAAACAGAAAACCTTCTTCAAAATCGTTGATAAAAATGTATTTTCTACAGACTTTATCAACAACTCTGTTATCCTTCAAATCTTTCCAAGTTGTCAAATAACTCAAAAAATTTTAAGGATATCTACTCCCTCATAAAGACCTTGTTATTCGTTTTGATATCATTACCAGTATACCAAGTTTAAAGCTTAGTGAAAAAGGTATCAAGTTTGAAAGTTATTTTAGACCTTAAAAAAACCTTCTCAATCTCTTCACCCTAACCATTCAACCAGATGTTTTTCAAAAATTTAGACAAAAGTTCATTCATTTTTTTTGTGCAAAAAATCATTCAGACTTTCTCCAAAAATGTGACCACCCACTTTGAAAAACCCTTGATGAAAATGCTAATCCCATAAAAGTTAGTCATTCAGGCATGAACCCAGATCATCTCAAGCAAGCAATCCAAGAATGTTCACTTCTCTAGGCTCAAAGATTAATTGAACCAACCTCATCTCCATGGGCATGTGAAGCGTTTTATGTCAACAAACGTTCAGAACAAGTTCGTGAAAAATTAAGATTGGTAATTAATTACAAGCCTCTAAACATTTTCCTTGCAGATGATAAGTTCTCCTTTTCAGACAGAAAAACTTTGTTTGCAAATTTGACAAATGCGAAAGTCTTCTCAAAGTTTGACCTCAAAGTAAGATTTTGATAACTAGGTATACATCCACAAGACAAATACAAAATGACGTTTTGCATTCCTCAACACCATTTCTAGTGGACAATAATATCTTTTGGATTAAAAGTTACTCCTTTACTGTTTCAAAAAGCAATGACAAAGATATTTGCTCTAATTCTTGATAATGCTTTGATTTACATTGATGATATCTTACTGTTCTCTCCAGATGTCACATCTCATACATAGTTATTGGATAAGTTTCAGCAAATTATTCAACAGTATGAGATAATGCTCTAAGAGAAAAAGATGATCATTAGTGCTTCAAAAATTGATTTCTTAGGCATGCATATAAAAGATGGTCAGTACATAGCTCAACATCACATTGCTCAAACACTTACAAATTTCTTTGATGAGAATTTTTCAAAAAAGCAAATCCATCAATTTCTCGACATAGTCAATTACATGAGTGAATTTCTCTCAGATCTTACACAGTTAACTCATCCTCTCAGACAAATGCTAAAAAAAAATCACCCACGTGATCTCAAAAATAGACAAATGCAGTACAAATCTTGAAAATAAAAGTAAAGTCACTTTCAACTTTAAAGATTCTTTCTGATGAAAAAAAAATATTACAGACAGATGCAAATGAACAGTTTTGGTCAGCAATTCTTTTAAAAAAAAAAAATGAAAACAGACAAATCTGTGGTACAAAAGTAAAAAATTTAAAGATTCGAAACTCCATTATTACTCTATACTAAAAGAAATTTTAGCTGTAAAATATGAAATCCAAATATTTGAATTTTACCTCATTGGATATCATTTTCTTGTGGAATTAGATATGCCAGCCTTTGATCAGATGTTCAATTTCAAAAAGAAAAAAATATCAAATGCACAGTTACTCAAGCTATCATAGTGATTCTCACAATACTCCTTCACCACAGCACATATAAAAGGCAAAAATAACCTCATTTCAGACATGCTCAGAAGACCTCCTTCAAAACTTCTTTAAAAAATCTTGCAGATTATTTCAGTCATTTTTATGATGAACCCAACACTTTTTTCACAAGCCTCATCCTAAAAAACCCTCTTTTCCCTTCTTCTCAAAAACCTCAGCTTAATGATGAATTTGATTTACCTGATGAATTTCTTAACCTTTCAGTGAAAAATCTTCTTCCAGAGTTACCAAGACTTCTTGCCACTCAAACCCTTGACCAAAAAGCCTCCCACCTTTTGCTCAAATACCAATCCAAAATACTCAGAAAGTTTGAAGATACCTCCATTCAATCTCTTGGTATACACCCTAACTATCCCTTCATCCATCTCTTTAAATTCCCTGAACCACTTTGTTTTTCGAAAAAAATTGTTTGTTTTATGTGATACCTTTGTCACCTTCACTATATTACGATGTAGAATTCTCACTCCCAAAGCTCAAAACCCTTCTTCACCTTTTTCAACAGTCAACCATCAACCCTACCAAACACCAGTTAGACCCAGTCAACATCTCAAGTTTTTCTTCACCTGATTCAAACCCATTCCTATTTGGATTCAATGGATTGAAACCTATGAGAGATATACAAAAGTTTTTCCTGACCCTTATATTGTTTTAATCTTTCACAGATCTTGCAATTGTTTGACAAAAGACCTCCAGTATTTTTCCTATGCAGCAATTTATAGCTCCCAAAGATATTCACTGTTTGATTCACAATTTGATCACCTCGTTGAATACACTGAATTTCAGAGACAAATTTGTGAAATGAATCACAAAATTCTCAAGCAAAATTGGCCCGAGCTCCAAGATGAAATTTCATGAGAAAACTATCCTTTAAAATATAATTTTCAGCTTAAAATTGATAAAAAGATTTATGAAACTAAACTTGATGGTGCTTGGACAAAACCCCTTTCTGACACTACCAGATTTAAACTTGACCATGCAAAACCAGTGGAATGAAATTTTTACTGAAAACCTCTTAAAGTTCTACCACAAATGGAATGACAAAAATCTCAAGACCCTTTTGAAGATTTTGATCCAGATCAATGTTAGAAACCATAAGTTATGATTTCACACCAGGAGCAGATAACTCACACCTCAACCTCTCTTCAGAACACACTTATCATTCTCTCAAATGATGCTCATAAAAAAAAGACACTCATGGTGCTTTAAGATAAAAGATCACATGTTCCAGTCCAATAATGTATATAATTACATCTGATAATTTTAGTTTCTCTAGAAGACTCCAAAGAATTGATTATGATGCCTCCACATCAAGACAACTTTATTTCATGTCTTCATCAACTTTATGTCTAAGTCAAGTCATGTTTACTTTATGAGTCACTTTACTTTATGTCAAATAAGTGATGAGTCATAGTGATAAGTCACTTTACTTTAACTTTATGTCAAGCCACTTGTAAAGTTATAATTATGCTTTCTCCTAGCTTTGTCTTATTAAGTTACTATTTTTTTACTTTTTTCTTATATAATATGATGCTACTTCTTCAAAAAAGCATCAAGAAAAATTGATCAAGACTTCTTTAAAAAATCTCTTGTAACAAACCTTTTTTTATAAAATATATTTGGCTAAAAAACCTTTATTCTCTTTTGGTAATTTTATCTTCTTTCGTTCATAATTAAAGCTTTTAGCTTCATGTTTTTCTTCAAACTATTTCATAGTTAGCAGTGATACAAGTTGAGTATGCTCTACAGTTGCCATAATATTATGGATCCTCTGCATCATAAATTCTTGTTAAATTGTTAAACAGATTATTGATCAATTTCTCTCAACCAAAGAAAAGTTATACTAACCCAAGAGCATACTAATAATAAGTTACTATAGTGAAAGACATATCTCCATAAAAGTCAGGCCTCCAATTCGACGTTAAACCAAAAAGGCACCAGAGTCTTGAACATCACCTAGAATACTTTGATTATATGTCTAATTTATGAAACGCTTATGGTTGATATTATCTTGATAAATTGATCGATCTACACGCTGTTGAAATAGCACCAAATAGTATTGTTAGAACTCTACTATCCGAAAAGCCCGAAACTGAAGTCGTCAGTTGCCAAAGCCTTGATCGTACTACTAGTTGCCAGAACCTTTACCGTACTACTTGTCGCTGTGTATAGAAATGGTATTGGAGCTTGAAGCTTGCCAAGATAGTGATAAGAGAATATGTTTCTAAGCCTTGATCATTGAAGTTGAAAAAAAAAAGCCAAAAAAGAGTCATTTTCATGGATTTATCAACTCTTAATAACTCTAGTTCTCAACTTTCTTCTTCTAGATTTTTTTTTAATTTATCTTCTCCTTTCTCCTGTACTTAAAAAGTCTTCCTCTTCTAAGTTTAAGTTCTTATATGAAGTAGATTATATCCCAAAAGAAAAGAAAACCCAACAAACAGTTCTTCCCCTTGTAAATCTTTATACATCTTTCTCAAACTCCTCCCCTTCTCTTACTAGATCTTTAAAAACTTTTTTAAAACCCAAATATCAAGCTCCAAAAAAATATGTTCAAACCACAAATTTTGATAAATGTATTCTTCTAGCAGGACCTCAAGAGCAGTTTATTACTCTTCAGATCTCAGAAAAATTTTTTCAACAGTGATCAAAACAAAAATACACTCATATTCACTTTGGGGCTATCAGAATAACCTTAATCTTTCATGGCAAAAATGAAACTTATGTATGTACCAAAATGACCTTGTTGAACACAAGATTTAAAGAATACAAGCATGCAGTCCTAAGCATAGTTGAGACAACACTTAATACAAAAACTGTCTTCTTCAAGGTCTTCCCAAATTATAATATCTCTTCATAATCTAATCCTGTTAGATGCTTTAAAAGTTCAAGTCCAAATCGTAGGCACAGAAGTGAAAGGACTCCAGGCAATCCTTCACTACCAGATGACATATAGAGTTCAAGATCATGCCATTAACTTGCCTCTTTCACACTCTAATGATGCTATTTTTGTCAAAATGAAAGCAGTAGATAGAACTCCTAGATATGTTCATATTTCAAAGCATATATTAAATGAAGAACTTGCCACCCTTCTCCCAAAGAAATGGATGACAAGTTATCAAAAGATTTGAAAGCAAAATGAATCAATTGAACATTTTGATCCAACCTACAAGACAAATCAGGATGATACTATCACAATTACGTTTGATCACAACAAAAGAAAAGATGTTCATCCTCCAATAATCTTTTCAACACAATTTATCACACGTAATTATACCATTTCTATACACAGCGACAGGTAGTACAATCAAAACTCTAACAACTGACGATTTCAGTTTCAAGCTTTTCGGATAGTAAAATTCTGACAATACTATCTGATACTATTTTAATAACGTGTAGATCAGTCAACTTGTCAAAATAATACCAACCATAAGCGTTCTATAAATCAAACATATAACCAAGATAATCTAATCAGTGTTAAAGACTCTGACGCCTTCTTGACTTAACGTCGAACTGACTTTTATAAAGATATATCTTTCACTATAGTAACTTACTATTAGTATAATCTTGGGTCAGTATAACTTTTTTTTAGCTAAAAGAAGGATCAATAATCTGTTTAACAAGAATTTTTGATACAGAGAATCCATAATATTATGACAATTACAGAGCATACTCAACTTGTATCACTGTAAACTATGAAATAGCTTGAAGAAAAACATGAAGCTAAATGCTTTAACTATGAAAGAAGGAGGATGAAATTACTAAAAGAAAAGAAAGATTTTTTAACCAAACATATTTTATAAAGAAAGGTTTGTTACAAGAGATTTTTTGGAGAAGTCTTGATCAGTTTTTCTTGATGCTTTTTTAAAGAAGTAGCATCCTATTTATACAAGAAAAAAATAAGAGAATAGTAACCTAATAGGACAAAACTAAGACAAAACATAATTACAACTTTACAAGTGACTTGACATAGAGTTAAAGTAAAGTGACTCATCATTATGACTCATCACTTATTTGACATAAAATAAAGGTGACTCATAAAGTAAACATGACTTGACTTAGACATAAAGTTGATGAAGACTTGACATAGAGTGATCTTGATGTGGAAGCATCATAATCAACTCTTTGGAGTCTTTTAGAGAAACTAAAATTATCACACATAATTATATATTATTGAACTGGAATAGAGGATCTTCTGTCTTGGAGCACCATGAGTGTCCTTCTTTTATGAGCAATATTTGAGAGAATGATAAGTGTGTTTTGGAGAGAGGTTGATGTATGAGTTGTCTGCTCCTAGTGTGAAATCATACCCTATGATTTCTAACCATTGATATGGATCAAAATCTTTAAAAGGGTCTTGAGATTCTTGCCATTCCATTTGTGGTAGAACTTCAAGAGATTTTTAGTAAGAATTTTATTCTACTGGTCCTGCATGGTCAAATTCAAATCTAGTAATATCAGAAAGAGATTCTGTCCAAGCACCATTAAGTCTGATTTCATAAATCTTTTTATCAATTTTAAGCTGGTAATTATATTCTAAAGGATAGTTTTCCCATAAAACTTCATCTTGGAGCTCGAGCCAATTTTGCTTGAAAATTTTGTGATTCATTTCATAAATTTATCTCTGAAATTCAGTGTATTCAACGAGGTGATCAAACTGTGAATCAAACAATGAATATCCTTGAGAAACTATAAATTACTGCATAGAAAAAATACTGGAGGTCTTTTGTCAAACAACTATAAGATTTGTGAAAAATTAAAACAATATGAGGGTCAGAAAAAACTTTTATATATCTCTCATAGGTTTTAATCCATTGAATCCAAATGAGAATGGCTCTGAACCAGGTGAAGAAAAACTTGAGATGTTGTTAACTGACGTCCAACTGATATTTAATAAGGTTGATGGTTGACTGCTGAAAAATGTGGAGAAGAATTTTGAGCTTTGAGAGTGAAAATTCTACAGCAATATAGTGAAGGTGACAAAGGTACCACATAAAACAAACTGTTTCTTTCAAAAAAAAAATGGTTCAAGGAATTTAAAGGGATGGATGAAAAGATAGTCAAGTTGTATACCAAGAGATTGAATGGAGGTGTCTTCAAACTTTCTGAGTGTTTTGAACTGATATTTGAGCAAGAGGTGAGACGCTTTTTGGTCAAAGATTTGAGTGACAAGAAGTATTGATAACTCTGGAGGAAGATTTTTCACTAGAAGGTTAAGAAATTCATCAGGTAAATTAAATTAATCATCAAGCTGAGATTTTTAAGAAGAAGAGAAAATATGATTTTTTAAGGATGAGGCTTGTGAAGAAGAAGGTGTTGAGTTCATCATAAAAATGACTAAAATAATCTACAAGGTGTTTGAAGAAAGTCTTGAAGGAGAGCTTGTGAGCATGTCTGAAATGAGATTATCTTTGCATTTTATGTGCTATGGTGAAAGAGTACTGTAAGAACCACTGTGATAACCTGAATAATTGTGCATTTGACATTTTTTTTTTTGAAATTGCACATCTGATCAAAGACGGACATATCTAATTTCACAAGTGATATCCAATGAGGTAAAATTAAAATATTTGAATTTCATACTTTATAGCGAAAATTTCTTTTAGTGTAAAGTTATAATGGAGTTTCAAATATTTGAATTTTTCACTCTTGTAACCACAGATTTATTTATTTTCATCTTTTTTTTCTAAAAAAATTACTGATCAAAACTGTTCATTTACATCTGTCTGCAATATTCTTTTTTCATCAAAGGAAATCTTTAAAATTGAAAGTGATTTTGCTTTTATCTTCAAGGTTTGTACTGCATTTGTTTGTTTCTGAGATCACGTGAATGACTCTTTCTTGAGCATTTGTCTGAGAAGATGAGTTAACTGTGCAAGATCTGAAAAAAATTCATTCATGTAATTGACTATGCCAAAAAATTGCTTGATTTACTTCTTTGAAAAATTTTCATCAGAGAAATCTGCAAGTGTCTGAGTAATGTGAAATTGAGCTATGTACTGACTATCTTTTATATGCATGCCTAAGAATCTGAAGCACCAATGATCATCTTTTTCTCTAAGAGCATTATCCTATACTGTTGAATAATTTGCTAAAACTTATCTAATAATTGTGTATGAGATGTGACATCTGAAGAGAACAATAAGATATCATTAATATAAATCAAGGCATTATCAAGAATTGAAGCAAATATCTTTGTCATTGCTTTTTGGAACAGTGAAAGAGCAACTTTTAATCCAAAAGGCATTACTGTCCACTGAAAATGGTGTTGAGGAATGCAAAACGTCCTTTTGTATCTGTCCTGTGAAGGTATACCTAGTTATCAAAATCTTACTTTGAGAAGACTTTCGCATTTGCCAAATTTACAAACAAAGTTTTTTTGTCTAAAAAAGGAAACTTATCATCTGTAAGAAAAAAATTTAGAGGGTTGTAATTAATTACCAATCTTAATTTTTCACGAACTTGTTCTGAACGTTTGTTGACATAAAACGCTTCACATACCCATGGAGAAAAGGTTGGTTCAATTAATCCTTGAGCTTGGAAAAGTGAACATTCTTGGATTGCTTGCTTGAGATGATCTGGGTTCATGCCTGAATGACTAGCTTTTATGGGATTGGTATTTTCATCTCTTTTGAAGGGAAGGAAAATGAAAAATTCAAGATTTTTTCAAAGTGGGTGGTCACATTTATGGAGAAAGTCTGAATGATTTTCTTCACAAGAAAAGTGAATGAACTTTTGTTTAAATTCTTGAAAAACATTTGGTTGAATGGTTAGGGTGAAGAGATTGGGAAGGTTTTTCCAAGGTCTAAAATAACTTTCAAACTTGATACCTTTTCCACTAAGCTTTAAACCTGGTATACTGGTAATGATATCAAAACCAATAACAAGGTCTTTCTACGGAAGTAGAGATCCTAAAATTTTTTGAGTTATTTGACAACCTGAAAAGATATGAAGGGTAACATGATTGCTGACAAAGTCTGTAGAAAATACATTCTCATCAGCAATTTTGAAGAAGGTTTTCTGTTTTGTTCAAAGGTTTTTGGGTAAGACGAAGGGGTTTGCTATGATTTGGGCTACACCAGTGTCAAAAAAAACTGTGACTGTTATAAGAGGGAAATGTTTGTAAGAGAAGATCTGAACTAGAACTAAGGGCAATTTTGGAGGTTGGAGAGTTTGGATTTTTTGGAGTTCTTGGACTGACATATACTCATAACATTGATCATCTGTGAAGTCATGCTGAAAAAAAAGGGAACACAGTGAAAATGCTGCTCATGAGGTGAACATATTCCCAGGATGAGGAAAATGGCAGCAGATGACATAAAAACGAACGAGTTTGAGAATCTGAGGTTCATGGTTTCTGTAGTTTACTTGTATTATTAATATTACATTATGCCGAAGCAGCTCACGGAGACAAATTTATTTGTGTCTCCATGTTTCAATGTCCTGCTCTTTTTGGCTAGGACTGATTATAAATGAGAGGGTTTTGTTGGAGTAACGAATCTCTTGGGATAGCAAAAAGTAATCGTATAAGGAGACAGGCATTTTCCATCCTAGTACATAAGAACGATCGGTTTCCACAAATCAATTCATAAGATAACGATATGGCTTGTTCTACTATTCATACTTTGCCTGCAAAAACAATCTGGGAGTATGAAAAGGACTCAATACAAAAGGGTATGAATTCATGCTTAACTTTGATGAAAAGTTTAGGATGATTTAAATGTTATCATACCAGGTTATGGCACTGTTTCTGACTGTCACAGTACCTTGTTCTAGAAAGGGTAGGTTACTACTCTATGGACTTTGGCATGGCAGAAGTATTATCTGAGATTGCTAAAGATGGCAAAATTCCAAGAGGCGAACAGGTTTCCTTTGACGCAGTCCGGACAGCAAAATTTCATTTCACTCTGCCACTAGCTAAGAATAATTCCACAATGCATGAATGCAATCCAATACCAAAGTTCATTGCTACTATACATTAGCTAAAGGGAATTTTTTATAGTAGGAACCAGGAATGCATGAAAGTAATAGGGCCGCCAGTGCCAATTTAACAAAGGAACTTTACATGTCCGAACATAGTTTTTGATCAGATTTTCATAGGGATTGAAGTTTCACTATCTTCTGTTTGTAGTTTTACAACATGCAATGATATACATCCTAAAAAAGCTTGGTTATGATCATGCAAATGAATAATTACAGGTTTTACAATTAAAATTACAATAACATCAAAATTACAATAACATCCTCTTATTCCTACCTTAGATACAGAGAGACCAAGAATTGAGAGAAGAGTATAAATTCACTAACCACAGTAGCCGGGGTGTGTATTCCAAAAAATGGGACTATGTCTACCTGCAACCAGTTTTCAACAGCTGATCCCACCACTGCACCAGCAACAATCCCCCCTATAGTTATTATTGTAGCTTTACCTGCAAAGAGAGAAAAAAATGGAAATAACTTCAGATACTTTGATCAAACTGAAGTTCAAACAAATTTGAAGTTCGCACAACATATGCAGTCTAAAATATGGGTATGATTTGGCAGAAAGTGTCATAAAACCCCAATGACTTCCTTCTGCTTTAGAGGACTTCAATAGCAAAGCCTCATTTCAAGTTATGGAAAAATGTAAAGAAGGTTAGCTCAAACAGAAAAATGAACCAGAAATTCTGTCAAATCGCATGACAGGGAAGCAGAACCAGTGTCAGCAATACAGAATAATTATATAAGCACTAGAAATCTTCCTCTATACAAGATTGAAGGAAATTCAAAATTCTTCTAATTATAAAATTTTACAAGCATACCCTACATAAACAGCTGAATAAAATTAAATCACTTAAAACAATCAGCAATTTGACCTGGACTACAACAACATTTATAGTAAAATTGCCAGCATCATTTACATTTCACCATAATATACAATGTTCTCACTAAGTAAAAGGAAGCAGCACCCTCTCCCCTACAGGGCTTTTCTGCTCTTCTCTTACTCCTCATTCTTTAATTAAGATGAAAAAACAACCTAACTAGCAATTGCTGGACTTTTTTTTTTTTTGGATAATTGAAACTGCTGGACTTTCATATTCAACAAAAGTAAAATATAATCAAAGTTCTATTGCAAGCAATAATATATATGCAAGAAAACTCATTACCTAACTTCACCTTCTTTCTGGTCATGAAATATAACGAAGCTCCAAAGCTACTTGCTAAGATAAGCCCAGGAACATCAGGACCAGCATAAGGAACCCCAGATGATGTAGAAGCTCCGTTCATGTAAGTCAAAACCATAAGAGCTCCATATACTCCAGCTTGTGTGCCCAATTCACCTGTAGAAGGTGTTTCAATTGAAACAGGTAAATTCTTCACAGTTGTCTGCACCCACCGAGACATTGATCCCATCCCAGGAGGATTAACAGGTTTAACATCTGCATATCGAACACTTCTGTCCATGACTTTTCCTGCTTGTCGTTGAGTTAAGCTCCGCATAAGCAACATGTCATATGCAGCCTCAACCTAAAACACAATCCATATTCCTAAGAAAACAAAACTAAAGAAAATCTTATAAGAGTCAATTTGCTCACTGGAAAAATAAATAATAGCAACAACAACAAAAACAAAGTTGATATTTATCCAAAACACAACCACCTGACAGTCTTCACTGAGAGGATAGATAAACAGCCATAAGCATCATAATTCCACTTCATTGAACAATACACAACACTTGTTTAATCTAAAAATTGGAAATGTCCACTAGGCACTATCCTAGAAGATTAACAAGTGGGAAATCACTTGCTATAAAGAACAATTATTTGAAATTGACACATCAAAATCAAGTCTAGCTAATGGAATACAAAGTAAAAACTAGAACCCATATTTGAAAACAGAGAGAAATTTCAAAATTTACAAATCATATATAACAGATTACAAAAGCTATCAAGTTCAGGAAACTTTTAATAAACTCATGCAACAGTTCAACACTCAGGAGCCAAAATTCAAAATTTTCGTTACTAAATTCATTAGTATCCAAAGTCATCATCCAAACCATCAAATTTTACTTGAAACTCTATTAGTTCAAAACCCAGAAGCAAAATTATCAACATTTACACAAAAAGGTTCAAAATTTATCACCTAAATCTTATTAATTCACAAAATTTTTTAAATCGAAAAAGAAAGGGGCAAGGAATCAACCTGCGCAATAGCTTCCTGGTCATCCTTCATAGAGGCAACTATCGAATTCTTGGCGTGAAGAATATCATCAAAAGAAGCGCTTTCGGAGACTCCGAGGAGCTTGAGCGCGTTTTCAACAGACATCTCGAAGGGAGCCGAGTCATCAGCCCGTGAACCGGCTCGAGCGGCTAATGTTCGCCGGCAGTGAACGATTGTTGCGGCTCTCCACGGCTCGGCTTTTACGAGTTTTAAAGAAGGGTGGGATTGGTTAGAGAGATGGAACAGCGGTCTGGGTATAGGGGAGCCGGAAGTGAGACGGTTGGGCCGGACGGAAAGTGTGGCTGCAGCCATTTTGGAACAAAGTGAGAAAGCTGTGATATTTTCTGGACTTGAATGTAAAGTGAATTTAATCAGGCCATGAGCGCTTGTGCTTCGCGAGTATGCTTTCTTTTGGTGGGGACGCTGATTGATTCTTGCGTGTAAATTTTATAACTTTCTCTTTTTTTGTTTTGTTTTGCAGTAATTTTTTGAGAAAAACATTAAAATCACACAAAAAAAAAACCAAAATTTGTGGCCAAGAGAGTAGCAAACAGGAAGCACTGTGTCCACGTCTGTATTTTCAGGACAGTCAGTCCTGGGGCAGGGTAGTGACTAGCTAGGCAGTCGAAGGACATTTGCTTGTAAAGCCATCGAGGAACGACATCCGCAGAAACATGTTAGCTATGGCTATGACTAAATGGTTCACTTTGACACCTTCTATATCAAACAGGCATAGTAAGATAGTTGGGTTTTGGAAGAAGAAGAAAGTTGTTGTAGTCGGCTTGGGTTGTGCTGGTTTTGATGCAGCTCAACATCTCCGCAGTCAGGTTTTTAACTCTTGTCTTTACTTGAACTACTTTCAGTTTAGGTGAAATGTGAGTTGTTGGGTTGGGATTTGATGTTACTGTTCTTGACGTTGGTGATGGTCTTGGCATTCAACTTTTATTTTGGTCATCTCTGTCATGTTCAACTTATACAATGTAAGCAAATGACAAAATCCGCATTCTAATTACTTGGAGATAAACTGCTATTGCCTGGTAGATACGAAAAAGATACCACAAAAGGCATGGCTTTTCCATTTATAAGAGCGCGTTGATGCTGAGCTTATAACTGTGAACATTGTTTCACATGAACCCTATTATCTTGGGCTATCCAAACCAAAATTTTCTTTGTCCCCAAGTTTGAGGACATAGCCGACATGGGTCGTATAGCATCAGATCAAAATATTTTCCTTAAAATTAATTCTATAATGTGCGGTATATGATTTATGTTGCTCCTACGATAACGACGGATCCAGTTGAAATATATTTTTATTCATTTTTAATTTTAATTGATTTAAAATTAATAAAATATTATTTTTAATATAAATATAAAATTATATAAATAAATAATTAAAAAATATTATATATATTAGATAGGATTAAATTGGCTTAAAATTTAATTTCAACTTATTTTGACATGAAATTTGATTTTCAAAAAAAAAAATTTTGACCTTAAATCAAATCAAATCAAAATCTATCGAAAGTAAATTTAGCTGTCAACCCTAGTTGGTCCTCAATATTCAATAATAATTTGCTTGTTAGATTCTTTGATTGGAGATTGAAGCCTGATCTCCTGTATTAACCTTTTTTTTTACTTCCTTCTTTTTTTTGGTTAGGCTTTTGGTATCCCTATCAAAATATATTTTGCCTTGTCGATGAGTTTGGGTATCAAGCCCTTCACCAGCCGGACAAGATCTGCATGGTATTCAGGAGAGGGTTTGGAGGTATTTACTTTTAGTTTGCCTTCTGTGCTGAACAAACAAGTCATTCCAACTAATTTAAGAGTTGTTATAATCGCATCCTTCAATAATTTCTAGTATCTGTGTGGAACTGAGCTTGCAAAATAGAGCAAGAATTTGCTCGTCATTGTTAGAAGAATAATTATGAATGGTAAAAGCTCAAAAAGAAAGATATTTCTTGCATTGGAAAAACCTTGGAAAGATAAATAATTATGAGGCTCCGAAAAGTTGCTCTTGGCTGTCTAAACCGATCCAGGATCATTCTGCAGGTTGAATTTCCTGCATACCAGGAACTCCCTCAATTGCCAACTCCATTGGGAGACTTATACTACACTCAACCATATACAGCAAAACTCCCATTCCTGTCACATGTAGTTGAAAAGATTCTTGATCTTTGTTTTATATTCATACTTTCATAATCTCATTTATGTCAAAATCTCCCTTCCTTTTGCATTGTCATTCTGATATTTTATCTTTCTTTTACTCAAATTGACTCTTGTAAAGTTTTATATTATGGATGGTTATAGAAACATTTCTATTTAGTATTTTGTCGAGAGACCACTAAGGAGAAGATTTTTGAGCCATGGGTGTAGTCACTGGAGGCTAAAGGTTGTGAAGTGCTGGAGGATAAAAAGGTGACAGATTTCATATTCCATTAGGAAACAGTGTAATTAAAAAATGAACTCAAAGTATAATTGGTTCGAACATGTTTTCTTTTATTCCTTGCATAATAGGAGAAATATTATGTGACGGCACTTGAAGCTGCAAACCGAGTGGTAGATTATCTTGAAGAAGGGAGCTTTGCCAGAGTGACTCCTGTTGAGGAAGAAGAGCCTCACATTGAAGCACTTGGCAACTTAAATAGGAGGCTGAACGAGATTATCAGCCAAGTTTCATTGTCTAGTTATGTTCATCAATAAATCCAATACATATAATATAAACAAATTCACACGTCTATCCAGAAGAATGTACCTACGAATGTTTATGTAAGGCTGAAAATAATTACTACTTTCAATATGAAGTCATGTTATGGAAACAATTTCCTTTCTCTTCCATCAATTATACAAAAGTTTACAAGGGTATACGTGTTTGACGAAGCAGGGATAGATCCGTAAAAGAAATCATTTGATAATCCTTTCAAGTTCGAAAGATGATCAAGATTGCTTATAATGACCATCAGCCTGCTTTTGATGTTCTTACCACCGAAGGCAGGATAACTGAATCAAGTTTCTTAGGATAAGGAGTCCACAAGCCAAATCCACCTCTACTCTCTTTCATGCTACTACCACTTCCCTTAAACTCACTCAAACTTTTCACCCACTCTACTTTAGACGAATGCTCCCGAGTATGCAGGTGCAAGACAAAAAGTGAATTGTACTCGCAATTTGGAAACATAAAGAACTTAAACAAGCCCCTTAACCTGTATACAACGTAGCCAAAGCTCAGCTGGTCTCTTGGTGTGAAGAGATTGACCTCATTGAACCATAAGCAGTTAAACAAGTTATTCATCGCAGTATGTTCCCTTATAATTATGGCTCCCTCCGGCACATCTGCATTTGGTTTTAGAGTTAGTAACATGAAAAAAAAATTGCATCAACAGAACTATAACAAGAGTATTATACATCCTTTAGCAATTCATTGCAAGGGCATGGACTTCGCTACTTAAAAAGAGACAATACTTCTATAATTGTATCAGAATACTACATCTCCCTTCATACCGCTTTTAGTATTTTTCTTCAAACTCCATGGCTCCATTCCCTCGTAGTAATATATCTTCATGTGGAGATCGATAAGAGGTCTGGCATATCGCTTTCTCCGCTTGTTTGCATCAGCCTCCTCATATATACTCCGATGATGTTTGTGCTGAGCAATAGCGTAAGTGTGCTTATCACGCCACAAGTATCTGTTAATAGAAAATAATTCATATAATCTAACTGTTTCTGCAACAGGATAATAATTCAAACTTCATGTGGTCAGGAAAAAAAGTAGCAAGTCCTAACCAGGAAGGTTCTTCGTTGAATATTTGCCATCAAACAGGTAAAATTTATATTGTATCAAATGTTCATGATGCATGCTTTAATCAATATAAAGTAATTGCATTTCCTTTCATTCATTCACAGGGAAAAAATATGTAAGCTGCAAAGATAATAATTCAATAACATTAGACTATACCTAATTTATAAATATCCATGTTCATGATACATGCTTTAATAAATCAAAACAGATTGTCTTTCCTCTCATCCATTAACTGGAAAAATTAAGGCAAAAGCAAAGTTCTTAACAATTTATTAACACGTCAATATACCTTTCAAGAATGAGCAATGGATCAACTATCAACTCCATTTTACCATCAATCCAAATACTGTACCGTGCTTGAGGGAATAACCTATGGGTTAAAATCTTGGGAACCTTCCCATTCCTTCTGGGCTCATCATAAGGTGGATGCTTCAATGGTATAAGACGCCATATGCCCACCCACATCCCCTTGTCATTATCCTTCCTAATGGTCACATTTTTTTTAATAAATTTGAGAGATACTTCATCAACAACCATCAGAAAGCAGAAGAGTTTCTTAGAACGAGCACTTATATTTGATGGCTGATGCGGCATATCATATCCATCAAAAATCCCAGATGCAACCACAAACCTACAATTCTTGACATATTCAATATCCACAGGATTCATGTCAGCACCGCCATTTTGCAGAAATCCACAGTGCACCTGAAAGGAAAAATATAATACACAATAAAGTCATTGAATTTTATTTTCAGCCATGTAAAATAGGTAAGGATAGGTGAGGGCAAACACAAGAGTGAGAAAATTTTCATCCCCAAAATATATGAAACCTAACAACTAAATAGGGGAAAAAACCTTTTTTATTCCCAGACCATCATTTGCCTTGTTATGATACCCATATGAATAAAAGCTGGGGACAAATAGCAAATTAAATATGTTCTACCTTCATGCTAGGCTTCAATTTAAAACTCTCTTCTCTTTGCAGCCAGCTTTGGTTGCCTCCAAATAATGGGAGGTACTGAGATCCATTTTTAACCAAATCCTCCTCCTCAATATAGGTTAGATCTTTAACGATTACATCTGGTGTTCTTCCCTCTGGAATAACTATTTTGTCAGGATCACCAGCTATTGGAATTGGACAACCTATTTGATTAATTTACAATCAATATCACTCGTATAAAAACACAGAGATCAGCATTTTGAAAAAGAAGAGTCTGCATGATCTTACGATGTGCTTTTGGAGCAAATCCTATCAAGTCCATTGTGATAAATACCTTGCCCTCTTTGTTACAATTAGCTGCATGTGAAGAGAAAAGTATATTGTCTCAAACCATGACAAAACATGGTTGCAATTGCAAACTAAAAATTTTAGATTGCACAGGACATTTTCACTAAGCATGGATGTAACCTTTATAAATGATAAACCATGACAACAACAAGAATTAGTGGGCACACTAAAACAGAAAGCAAAAGCAACTTCTGAATTGTTTAGAAACCTCGCTAATACAGAAAAGCCACCAATCTTTTTCTCAGTCTTACCAGATTAATTAATTAACAAATACAAAAGATGTCACTACGCCAAACAATGTCGTAGCATAGATGTTGAAGTAACAGCATTCTTGAAATAGTATAAGTGCACTTAAGGTCTATGTTGAAACATAAATTTCAATCAACTCTACAATGATCGGTTGCTGGATTTAGCACACTGAAGGAGCTTTACATCATTCAGGTTTTAGGACCCAACACAAGACCACCAATCTGAGCCTAGTTCACTCATTGGGCTCCTTAGGAACTAGATCAGTAAGATATTAAACTCAGAGTTCATTCTCCTAACTCAGTTTTTTCCAGGAACCAAGTAGAAAGGCTGACAATTTAAATCCAAACGAACATAAACATACAGATATACCAAAGTAAACACAGACAAAAAAAAAGTATTGAAAGTACCTGAAAAGAAAGAAAATGAAGATTGACAAGACCAAACATGAAATAATAATACAATAAGAATAAGTAAAATCCATAGAATGCCAGCTACAAGAACCAATCTAATAAAGCCCTGCTTCCACACAAACTTCATTGGATTATCTTGTGGCAACCTCACTGAAGAAAATAAAACACCTCCATCATCTGCATCAAAACAATCAAAATCCGGGAAACAACATCTCATCAACCAATCCCAAAATCATAATCCATAAAACAAACAGTTAACATATACAAATTACCCTCCATTTTAAAATATACAAAGATATACTACTACACAACATAAACCAATGCCATAATAAGTACATCGAGGGATGTGAAAATTTTATAGATATTGCTTACCTTTAGCAAATGGGCGTTGATTAGTAAGGTCTCCCCTACGGCTTAACCGAAAAGAAACAGACCGTTGCAGCTCATTATACATTATATCCCCACTTTCACCTCATCACCAATCAAAAACTTCAAAAAGCTCTACAAAAAGATTGAAATTGAACAATGAAAGTTACTAATCAACTACGCTTGTATTAAATCCAAACAAAAACCGAAACTTTAACCCAATGTATCAAAAAATAAGGATCCCAAGAAACCATAAAACAAAAAAAAAAAAGATTTTTGAGTGGGAAAAGTGTACGAAACCAAAATATAAGGCATACCCAGGTCCGAGAAATTCATAGATTTCAGTTTGTTCGTTGGAGACAATGGCTGGCGCCTTTAGCAACGTAGAAAAAACAGGAAAAAGAGAAAGAAAATACAGGCAAAAGAAGGAAGTTTGATGTTCTATTCAGACTCAAATATGAGAAGACAAACCAAGAAAAGATCCGAACAGTTAATGCTGTTCATGAATAATCATGAATGAAACTCTGAAAGAAACAATAACCACACGTATTCTATCCCATGAAGCTATGAAGTGAAGAGGGTCGGTGCTTCTTGCCTTGCATTGTTCCAAACTTGAAGCAATTTGGGTTCTGGGCTTTACGAACAAAATTCAACTTGGGTTAACCTAAAAAACTTAAATGACACTGTTTAATTCACACCCAGCCCATGAATAGGGCCCAGTTCAGACCCGATCTCTCTTTCCAAATCGGTTGGGATTTGGGAACAAAAAACTGCAATCCCTAACCCTAAACCCTTAACTTACTCCAACTCATTGATAATTCAATTCTCTGTATATTTTCTCAATTTGCTTTAAATTACTGATTTTGGTTTCTTTCGAATTAGAATCAGCGATGGACGTTGACCATTACAGCGTCCTGGGATTACCTTCTGGCGACGAAGGAGCCAATTTGACGACAAAAGAAATTACCAAAGCTTATAGAGAAAAAGCCCGCGATCTTCATCCCGACAAACGGAAAGACGATCCAAACGCCCATGAAAACTTCATAAAGCTCAAATCTTCCTACGAAATTCTCGTCGATGAAAAAGCCCGAAAGCTCTTCGATGATCTACTCCGCGTGAAACGTGACCAGCAACGCCGTTTTGCTCAGCAAGACTCCAAGCGACGGAAAATGATGTCGGATTTGGACGATAGAGAACGTGCCTCGTTTGCCCCTGATCCCATTGTCAAGGCTAAAGAGGAAGAGGAGAGAATTGCCAGGAAATTGAAGGATGAGATTGCGAGGATACGTGAAATGCACGCGAATAAAGGTGCGAGTATGGGGACAGGCTCGGGTTCGGGCTTGAATCAAGGGAATAGTGGGGGTGGGGGGTTGGATAAAGAGAAGGTTTTGAAGGTTTCTTGGGAGAAAATTGGGGACGATTATACCGCGGAGAAGTTAAGGGAATTGTTTTCCAGGTTTGGGGAAGTTGAGGATGTTGTAGTCAAGAGTTCAAAGAAAAAAGGGTCTGCTCTTGTTGTCATGGCTACTAAAGAGGCAGCTGTAAGTTCTGTTCTTTTGTATGATTTTATCATTTTTTTTTTTTGGTTTTATTTTCCTAACTTTCCTGTTTTTGCTTTTCAGGTTGCTGCCACAGGAAATGTTAGTGGGAGTCTATCCAATCCTTTGCTAGTTGTGCCCCTTAAACCGGCAATAGCCCCAGAGTTTCCAGCTATGCAGAAAGCCGAGGAAACTGATCGTTTCAGTAATTTGGTTGGGGCTGGTTACCAAGCTTTTGAAGATGCTGTTCTCCAGAAACTGAAAAAGGTATGATCTTGTTGTGTGATCTGTTTCTTTCTGTGTTGTTAGGAGTTTGGAGATTATTTCTTGAATTGGCAAGTCATTTTCCATTTATCAAATAACATTCAATGCTTTGTTGCACATGCATATATCGTATATGAGATTCCATGACCGAAATGTTAAGTCTGGTGACTGGACTGATGTTCATTTAGAACATTCATTTTACCTAAATAATGAATCAGAGTAACTTGGCATTTGCCATGGTCGAGTGAGGATTGGTACTTTCTGTTCTGCTGCACTGATATAGTCTTATGTGGCAAGGTATCTGGATTTAGCGACTTTCTATGGGATTTTTCCATGGCTCTTGTCTGTTGATTCCCTAGTAACTGAAATAGCAGCATGGAGAATCTAAGGACAGCTGATGTAAATTACTTAAGTATGGAAGTGGTGTTAGAGAAACTAATTTTTAACATGAATTACTATAAATGAAGAATTTCTGCATCTTCTATTCTACAGAAATGTGTTATTCACTAAGCTCAGTTTCTTTCTTTCTCTCTCTCTTTTTTTTGTTTTTGCTATTTTTGGTGTAGTTTGCTTCCCTTGGCTGTTAACTTTTGTTAGTGACATCTTCAGTTTATTCTCAATCCCACACCCGCAACCAAAATTAAAAGCTACCATGCAATTTTATTTTTCTTGAGGATAAGTAGAATTTATATTTGGTTAGGAGTTTCTTATGACTTTGGCTTTTATTTTGCTTTTGCTTTTTCCTCTCAAGTGGGTTGGGGAGTTGAAATCCTGAATGTAGATTGATCTAGGCATTAGCAATTAAATTTATTGTCACCTATATTTTTGCCATTGTAAGCATTAGATATTATAGCATGGGAAAGAAAGCTATGCATTGTAGATTCTTTTAAATCTTCTGTGGGTAGCAATTGGGTGTTCTAGCTGTTCTACATGATCAAGATGTGGTTGTGAATTGCATCTGTGAAGGATTAGTATTCTTAGAATCTATTATATCTTGCTTAAATGAGTTACTTGTCACTTTTGTGATAGTGGTATTTTGGTGTTTCTGATATACATGTAATTTGAATTTACACCATGTGTTAACAATCTGTTTCCCTTCTCCTATATTTTTCTTTTTCGTGCCTCACATTTAATTCTGAACAGGCTGCCGAAAAACAAAAAAAATGACAATTCAAATGCCTTTGGGTAGAAATTCTCTTATGCATCAGTGGCGTATGATCCACAGAAATTTTTATGTAAAGGTATTCCATGAAAAACATGATCCATGTGTTACTGTTTTATTTTCATTTGCAAATAAGGGAAGGTTAGTGTTTATTTTTGTTAGTAACTGGCAATGGTATTTCAGCTACTTATGCAAATCCTTGTCAACGTTTTGATCCACATGACAATGACACTTCGATGGGAGCACAGCTGTTTCTAAGGGCTCTCGAGGATCCCTTTCCTCGATACAAAGTTCACCTATATCCTATCTGATTTGGAATATATCACTCAGCTAATGAATTGTAAGTTCTTTGGCTCTAGAACCAACAGATCAACTGTCATCCTGGATAATTGCATTGTAGAAAATGTTCTAATGACCTTTTGTATAAAACATTATGCTTAATTCTTATATTGTAAAAAATTTAAGTAGTTTAATTGTCATGGTTATTCATATCTTTTTAGTTCGAAGGATTTGCCATTGGAATTTGTATCACCTGCTACATTTTCAACTCCAAGCTTCAATTGATGATTGATGCTCAATACTCGAAATTACTTGATTGTTATAATTGGGATTATTCAGGAATTTGCTTCCATTCCTATTTGATTAATCTGGTCATGTTGTTTTTCTTCTTGGGTAATCCTGTATATATTTATAGCCATTACTATATTATACCAGCAAAACACAAAGTCAGGATTGCATCATTCTTCAAACACCTCTTTAATAGGTGGACCAATATAAGGGTGTTAAAATTTTTTAGGGGTGACAATGTCTAGAGTTGCTCATAGTCCGGGTCAAGTCGGTTCGGGTCAAGTTTAGTATATTTTAATATTTTAAGCAAGTTCAAGTCTGACCCGGCTTAATTTTTCGGACTTCATTTTTTGTCCAAGCCTATTTTGACATGTAATAATAAAGTTCAAGTCCATCCAAAATGTTAATATTTAAAATTGAGAAAAATAATTGTTTTTATTTTTTAAATAAATTATTAATGTAATTAATTTTAATTGAATTTACGAATCATTTGAGTTTGGATTTAATTTAATTTTATTAAATGTAAATTAAATTAAATTATTGTTTTAATATTTTGCGTAAAAAAAATTGAGTTTTATCTTATTATAAGTAATAAAGTAAATGAATCTTGTCTATTATAAAAAAAAAAAATTATTATAATAAAAATACTTTTTAATTTTTAAATTGGGTCAAGTCTAAGCTTTAAATGTTGAAATTTAAGTTTGGTTTTATTTTTTAATTGAATCCTTTTTATTTGTTTAAATTCATTTAACGAATTTAATATTTATATTTAAATCTTTTAAAATTTTGAATGAACTTTTAAGTTCGGACGGACAATCCCAATGGCAACCGACTCTCCCAGCTGCGGCACTAGGCCGCCAACCCGCGAGGAAGACTAACCATCATCGTGGCTGCCCCCTAACCACACCTTTAGCTTCGATTATCATCGCTGTTGAAAGCAACTGTTTGGGTCAAAACATAAAATTAAACAATAAAAAATTTTCGATTTTTAGGTTTAAAAGCTAGATTTATCAATCCAAACCGCAAAGCTCCTCAAGATATGCTCAGTGATAAAAAAATATTTTTGGAATAAAAATCATTTTATTATCCTATATTTTTAATATTTATTATATTATACAAATGTTTTAGATATTTTAATTATTAATAATATTTTTTATAACAATATCATATAATTAAAATTTTTAACTATTTTTTTATTATACTTTTTAAACGTACTTTATTTTAATCCAAATTTTTGTCTTCTTGCTTTCCATGCAATGGTATGGTATTATTTTATAGTGCCCATCGGAAAAACATCTTTGATGGTCCTTCATGCTGAATCGAGCATTACACATCTAATATGGATATCACATCAGTATATATAATACTTTATCTTATATGATAATTGGACCTACTTTGGCATTACAAGGATATACAAAACAACAATTTTAATATCAGCCCGACAAATAGATAAAATCAATGTAATTCAGGTGATGGAATACATCGTCAATTGGTCTTTTTTATGCTTAAAAAGTTATATTTCTCAAGATTTCGACTCTTTTAAAAATTACTCAACACAATTTAGGTTTAATTATATTTATTTTTATGCAGTGAAAAGGGAAATACACTTTTAATTAAACCCAACTAATTTTTGAAATTACAAAAGTTTATTTTTTTCATTATTTTTTGTAATGATTTGGCACTTGAATTGTTGGATTGTTGCACTTTCTTTGGAATTGAATTAACCATATTAACTCTTTCAACTCCAATTTCAATAGTATTGTTAATTAATTTTAGATTTTTTTTTATTACGAATTGATAGCTTTCTAATTAATAGATAGATTCTATGGCTTTTTTGTTTTTTTGGGTAAAAGATGTAATAAGGCATTATTCATTAATAAAATGGTTAATATTATTAGATTTGGTGATTCATGTATTTGTATCGTAAAAAAAATTGATATTCGTGTATTTATATCATGTTTTACATAAAATTTATATATCACAACTCGTGTGGATACAAAAATATGAAATATATATTTTTTTTGTTAAACTCATATATAATTATTGTTAAAATTTTAAACTATCATTTTCGTATTTTTTATTTGTATTATATTATTATTATGTTATTATATCGTGTTTTTAATTATCATTTCTAAATATTATAAAGATAATAAAAGCATACGTAGTCATAAATAATAACAAAACTATTATCATGAATTGAATTTTAATTTATTAGATAAATTTTATTTTATCAAACAAATCACACAAGACAAAAGCATCAGAGCCTCATCTTTTATTTTAACCTCCAAATGTAACTGCTACGAGGAGTTGGACACAATTCAGACATCGACAACATGTTTCAGATCCCGACCACGAGCCTTGACAAACATGAACGGCCATCCATTGTCGCTAAGAACTAGACGTTGCAGGTCAAGTAAATTAGATGAAAATTTTCCAATCTCCATGCAACAACCTTGGCATGAGTCACAGACCGAAGGACAGAAAGCAAGTTTATAGATGAAAGTACCAGCCGGCCCACCGCTCCAAATCTGAAACCGACTACACCAAGCATTTGGATCGCCTTCCACCCCACCGGTTGTCAAAAACCATTTGTGAACCGATTCGTCGAACTTGTCCAGTTTCCACACCGTTGATTCGGAGCAACGTAGGGTTTTCTGATCAGGAATGAACTTGATGAACAGGTTAGATGATAAATGGATGAAATCATCTGTGGTTTCCATAGGAGAAAATGTCACCGGAATACCTTGCCGGTCGTCAAACTTTTCTTGGATTATATCATATGGGCAGGTTTGATTTCTACCCGGGCCTATATTTAACCCGCCACCACCGCACCATGTTGCTGACACAACGTAATATTAAACGCCGGGGCGGAGCACATCACCTTCGGTGTCAAGCACTAAATCAGTTGCTGAGATTTTGACAAGAACACAGAGAAGGGCCAATCGCATAGCTATCTTGGTGTTCATCATTGCCATTATTGAGAAGCAGCAAGCTCTTTAATTATTTGGGTACCGGATGCTTCTCGCTACTGGTTCAACTCAATTTATAGCACCCATCAGCACCTTAGATTGCACTCTTAATGATGAATGGCTTTTTTTTTATTATTATTATTTAAAACAGTTAAAAATTAAATTTAGTCATTGGAAAAAGTGTTAAATTATTGACAATAATGCAGGGCTCTTATATTCTAATTAATAAAATAATGCATTGTAATTAAAGTGAGGAAGAATATATTTGTAGGTAAAATTCTTTACATCAAGTTCATAAAGTTTTTTTTGTTAAAAATCAAATTAATATATTGATAAGATTTAATGAAAATATCAATATATAAAAAGTTAATTAAAATTATATAATGTTCACATAAATCAATATTTATTTAACTGTAAAAATCAAAACTTTCAAAAAAAATACATATCTAAATAAATTATCGCAAAAATACCAATAAAACAGAAGACATAAATATATTACTCCAATTCAATCACATCTTTTATTTACAGTTAGTTATCAAAAGGTAAAATAACATAAAAATTTTGAAAAAAAAGAAATAACGGTCGATTTTCGAAGAGACAATAATTATCTTCACGATATAATGTGATAATTTTAAATATGATATAATTATATAATATAAAAAAATATAAAAATAATACGACTAAAATTTTATACAAATTGTATATATATTTGATTAAAATAAAAAAAATTTTTATTTGATGTATCAATACGAATTAAATATAATAATTTTTATATTTTATACATAATTAACACAAAAGAAATATAATAAGAATATACAAATTATAAGATCTGCAAACCTTATCGGTGTGCATATCTTGTAACCTTGAAAGATAATATATATAGATTTGAATATTCAAAATAATTACAATGTTAAATATTATAATATATATAAATTTTTTTCGCAGCTTTTTGATTTAGAAATAACAACCACTCGCCTATTTCATTATAGTCCAATACCTAATATGGAGATTTGATCCTTTTTTTTTTATATGTTTGGAGGATCTGATCACTTTTGACATTAAAGGCATGGAAGACAAAAATTTTAATAACAATAAGACAATATAAAGAAACGCAGTATCATGTTTCAATACAAGAATAGTTTGGTTGGAAAAAGTTTGAGGAAAGTTGGCGAAGGAACTAATAATTCTAAATTTCATTTTAACCCTTCTAAAATATTTGGTTTAGGCAGACCAAATTAAAAGGAGCGATTGGGCTGATTGGAATAAATCAGTGTTTATTTTGGGCTTTGAGCCTAATCAAATTTCCTTGAAAGTCCAAGACCCGTCTGCCGTATCTTGAACTTAACGCTCTCTTTGGGTTGGGAATGTGGGTTAGTAAAAAATATATATTTCCGATCCAAACAGATGGAAACTACTTTGTTTTTTTTTTTTTAATAATTATTTATAAGTTGATAACAATTTGAATCGATCAAATTGATTGAATTTTCTTAATAATATATAATATTATAAAGTTTTAAATTTTAATTTAATTTAAATTAATTATTTTTGAAATCAATCCAAACCAAATAATATTTATTTAGCTAATCAATTTTTAAATTTTAATTTTTTTTGTTTTTTATATTTTATAAATTTAAATATAAAATAATTATTTTTATTTTATAAAAATTTTAAAAATATTTAAAAATTAACAAAAATAAATAATTATATTTGATTAATATTTTTATTTTTTAAGATTCAAACTATATTTAATTTATTTTTTTAATATTTAAATTTGAATTAAATCAAATAAAAAAATTTAAATCAAACTAAATAGTAATCAAATTTTGATTTTTTTAAATCCTGCCATCTCTAATTACACAATAATCAGAGTGTTGAATTTAGGCAGTGAGTAGAGTCGGCAATCCAACTCATTTCCGACAGGTTTTGACTCGATCCGACCATTAAAGTCGGGTAAGGTTAGAAAACAATTGGAATCGGACCGAGTTCGAGTTTTAGGCAAACCCGTCTCGACTCAATCTTATATAAAAAATTATTTTTTAATTAATTAATTTTTTATTTATATATATTTATATAATAATATTTTTAAATATTTATATCTAAAAAATAATATTTTATATTTTAAAAAATAATATTTTATATTTTAAAAAATAATATTTTATTAATTTCAGATCAAATCGGATTGGTATGATTTATATAGTATTGGGTCGAGATCGGGATCGAATATAAAAAAACAAAAAAAATTTCAAATAAAATCAAATTCAAATTTAATAACACATAAAACTAATTCAAATTCGAGCAAACAAAACCCGTTTCTCAACCCGACCCGCGACCCGACGCCAACCCTAGCAGTGAGGATGGTTTTTGGGTTCAATAATTCAAGGGCCCCACGCCCCACTCACACCCAAAACAGAAATTTACAAAACCAAACAATGATGAGAATCCAACGGTCCACAGTCCAACTTTTCGACAATGTCTAAAATCCCTAATCTAATCGCCATCTTATTATTACAATTTACAAGCCTCCGATCAAACTTAAGCTGTTAAGCAATCTCAAAAACCTCCTTTTATTAGTACTTTTGTTTTTTTATATATAAGCGAACCCCCTAGCGGCAATTCCTCTCCTCTTTCTTCTTTGCTGCTCCAAAACCCCTAAAAACAAAAAGACTGAAAACCCATTAATTTTGTTCTCTTTGAAAATCAATCTAAATCTCGGAATCGGAATCAGAGAATTTGAATTTTATTAGAATCAGAATCTGTTTAGGAATGGCGGCGACTGGGAGTGCTTCATGGCAGCCACAAGAAGAGGGGTTGAAGGAGATCTGTGGATTACTGGAGCAGCAGATATCGCCTTCGTCTTCCGCTGATAAGTCTCAGATTTGGCAACAGCTTCAGCACTACTCTCAGTTCCCTGATTTCAACAACTATCTCGTTTTTATCTTTGCACGAGCCGAGGTTTGCTACGTTTTCTCGTTCCTTTTGTCCCTTATAAAAAAACTAGTTTAGTAGAATTTTCTTTTCTGGTTGGATCTTAGTGTTTTTTGAGGAACTGGATTATGGGTTTTGATTGGATTATATGTTTATGGAGGTTTGTGGAATTTCTTTTTATTGGATTGATGTCTCTCTGGAGAATATTTGAATTTGGTCTTTGTAGGGTTTATAATTTTGTAATAGAATTTAAAAAGGTTTGTATTTCTTTGATGAACTGCATTCTATGTAGTGATTGGATTACATGTTTATGGAGGGAGTAATGTTTGAAACTGAATTTCCCTCTAACCACTGGATTCTGGATTGATTGGATAGTATTTTTTTTGGTTAAACAAGGATTTTGATGGGCAATGTTGGTCCTTGCATTTGATTGGGTAAACTGGGAATGCGGTTATTAGTCAGTTTCTTAGTTACTGCAGGGATTGATGTTTTTTGATCTAAACATTATTAGTATGATGTAGTTTTGCCCTTATGTTGGTGTCTAATGCAATGGATGATGTACTTGCCTTTCGATATATTATGAACGCCTGTTTGCTTTCATGTGCTAAATGAAACTTTGTTTCATTTTTTGAAATTTATGCAGGGTAAATCAGTAGAGATTCGGCAAGCTGCTGGTCTGCTGCTGAAAAATAATCTCAGAACTGCATATAAGTTAATGGCCCCTGCACACCAACAATATATAAAGTCAGAATTGTTACCCTGTTTAGGAGCAGCAGATAAACATATTAGGTCAACAGTTGGAACTATTGTAACTGTGGTTGTTCAACTAGGGGGAATTTTGGGGTGGCCTGAGCTGTTGCAAGCTCTAGTAAATTGTTTGGATAGCAATGACCTAAATCACATGGAAGGTGCTATGGATGCATTGTCAAAGGTATGTAGTGAGTGATCTTCTAATTTCTATCATCGTTGAATGTAAGTTGTCATATTATTATGGAGAAGCTTCCTTTTAGACTTTTAGTTGATTCAATGTAAAACCATGGTTTTATAATACTTTTAAATAGTTTAAACCATAAAATTTTGGAGGAGTCAATTAAAGCAATAAAAGCACGTGGCTTTAATTTAGTCCATAATTTATAAGCTATTTGAAAACATTCAGCATTAGTCGCATGAAGTTGGTATTGGCGTAAAATCTCTAGGGATGTAATATTCACTCCCCATATCATCTGGTGAGATCAAGCAGATTATTCTTTGGCCTTCAAGAACTAGATTCCCCTGCACATAAACAAGCATTGTCGGTGGAACAAGATTCTAGATTAAAATTGCCCCAGTATAGGGTGCCTACAAGTTCTACTTATTTATTTTCCTTGTTGCTGTCTTCTCTTCTCAATATGCATATAGCTTATATACAAAGTTTCCCTGGTGCAAAATCCATGATATTCTATGATATTGGAAACCTGTTTCAGATATTCTAGGTGCTTTTGTCACTTATACATGAATAGCAATGAATCCCTGGTGATTGTAAATGGGCAAAATTTCATGTGTTAATGTATATGATTATTTATATTGTTGATGGTCTTAGTGCATTTTGAGGATCAAACTTTTAATCTAGCTGACAAAAGCTCCCACAGCAAAGACACATTTAGATGCTAAGTTTTTACCAACTTAATTACACTTAATACATCAATCATTCTTTTGTAAAACAGATTTGTGAGGATATACCACAAGTGCTGGATTCAGATGTGCCTGGGTTAGCTGAAAGGCCCATCAATATATTCCTTCCTCGATTATTTCAGGTCAAATGCATTTCCTTTTAGTAAAATACTATCATGCATATATCAATTCTCAATTGTTTTTGCTAATTATGTTTTTTTTTTTTTTCTATGAGCAGTTTTTTCAGTCTCCACATACTTCTCTGAGAAAGCTTTCATTGGGTTCTGTAAATCAATACATTATGTTGATGCCTTCTGTAAGTTAACTTGAAAGTTCATATTCTTAATCGTAATGGATATCATTCTGATACTTTTGGGGCAGTGCTTGATATTATACATTAATACCTTGCAGGCTTTATATACATCTATGGATAAATACCTTCAGGGTTTGTTTGTCCTTGCTAATGACCCAGCTGCAGAAGTGCGGAAATTGGTGAATAGTTTCTCTTTTTCCTCTTGTATTATTATTTGTAATTATAATTCAGTCTTTTGGATTGGGTACTTAAATCTGCTATAAGTATTTGCTAATTTTCCTTATAAGTTACTGATTTTATAAAAGCTTGGTATGGGTCACTTTTCGTTTCTGATTTTCTGGTTTCATCATTGATTTAGAAGATGCAGTATTAGAGCTGGACATGTTTTTAATGTAGCCTTTGATGTTAATGGTGCAAGGGTTTTTCTGTCACGAGACTATAAAAATACTGAACACTGCTAGTATATGTATTAACTAGGATACTACAAAAGGAACTGTTTCTGTATCCTACCAAATTTCTTATGCATAACATTTGCAAATTCTTAGTATTATGAGTTAGTGATGAATTGGGAATGCTATCTTGTTTCTTGTAAGCTCGAGCATATTTAGATCATTTTCTTTTGCCAAATGATCAGGTTTGTGCAGCATTTGTTCAGCTAATTGAAGTCCACCCATCTTTTCTGGAGGTCGGTATATTTTGTTTGTTACATTTTAGTTTTCTCACATTCTCTTTTAATTGCATTGTATAGTGTCACTTTTTGTAGTCTCTATGTCATGCTCTTTTGTCTTTTTATGTCTACCCACAACTGACTTTTTCTTTTCTCTGATGTGATTTTCACTTTTTCACAGCCACATTTGAAGAATGTAATTGAATATATGTTGCAAGTCAATAAGGACACTGATGATGAAGTGGCACTTGAAGCATGTGAATTTTGGTAACTTTCTTCTTTATGCATTCCATGTCTGAATGTCGTATCTGCAGACTAAGAGGTCTTTTAAAACCGTACTTTTGATAGCTTTTGCAGATTGACAAGCTTCAAACTAATAGTGTGGAATGCAATGTCTCCTGAAATTAACCTTTTTTACTTTATCACCACTGATTGTGTCACATAATATGTGAGTTAAACATGTCATAAGTGTTGGAGGTTGCTTACCTCCGTGCCTCTGCCTCTATGTGCTATTATGTTGTAAATTGAACTGTAGTTGTCAAGATTTTGAATGTTATAGCCATCATATTCTTAATCCTTTCTGTTAGAAATATAGATTCATTTTATTGAATTTGGTCATGGACAGGAATGAAGGTCATACATTTAACTTTACAAGCATTTTACCCCCAGCTAATGTTTATGATTCAATATTGATCTTGATTGGCAGGTCTGCATATTGCGATGCACAGTTACCATCTGAGTATTTGAGAGAATATTTGCCACGTTTAATTCCAGTATGCTAATGCTCTGCTGAGTTTCATATTTTTAGTGTTTTTTTTTCCTTTTCTTTTTGCAGAACCATTTATAATATCTTTGTTCTTAGTTTTCATGTATCTGTTACTATTTTTTTTTTTGGGTAGATTTTGTTGTCAAACATGGTTTATGCTGATGACGATGAGTCACTTCTTGATGCTGAGGTTATGCCTTGTCAACTTTTTCTTTCGGATTATCTGAATTGGCAAGTATAATTGATAATTTACTTGGAATCATTCATTGTTGTAGGATGATGAGTCTCTTCCAGACAGAGATCAGGTTAATATTTTGTTTTTGATCATTGTGCTCCTAGTTTTCTGTAATTTGTCACATATCAGCATTCTGTCTTGCTGAATGTCCTTCCTGATATATTCTCTCATAATTCCTCTTCAGGATCTAAAACCTCGATTTCATACATCGCGATTTCATGGTTCTGATGATGCAGAAGATGATGTAAGTAATTTTTTTTATTTGCCAGTCAATCAGAGCCAACTAACATAGCTAAGTTCTATGTGTCTCTTAATTTTAGAAAAATGTGTTTCTAGTGGAACTTTTTCCTAAACAATAATTTTGGTACAGGATGACGACTCATACAATATATGGAACTTACGAAAATGCAGTGCAGCAGCTCTCGATGTTCTATCAAATGTTTTTGGAGATGAAATTCTTCCTAATTTGATGCCTATTATTCAGGTAACTCACCTATCAGGGATGTTAAAGTTTGATCATTGAAATTGTAACTGTTTTATTGTTTCTATTGATGTTGCTGGTCATCCAATAGGTTTGTTATGAGTTCATCTTGGCCAAAAGATATTAATTCAGTTCATTCCATGAGCATATCAGAATATCAGATTGTTTGATGCTGAAGAATCTACAAACTTAATTCATTTGTTATGATATAGCTATGCTAGTTTGAATCACAAATGTTTTTTTTTTTAATGCCTAACTTTTGTTGCATGTGTGCATGGAACTTAATTAGAGAAAATAGTGATCTTGAAAGTCAGTTGACTTGTGATAGGAGTTACATAAAAATTTATTCTTTTGGTGTTGTATTGTTTAAATGTTCTCAATTGTTGAATTTCTGCAGGCCAAGTTATCTGCTAGTGGTGATGAAGCCTGGAAAGATAGGGAAGCTGCGGTTTTGGCTCTTGGTGCAATTGGTGAAGGTTGCATTAATGGTCTTTATCCTCATTTATCTGAGGTAATTCTTGTTGTTTTGTACTGATGCACAAAGTTTTGAGGTTGATTACAAGGTGAAGAATAAATGGTACATATATACCATTAATCTGTTTTCCTTGAATCAAGTTATGCTCTTAAATTTATTATCGTTGCTTTTGGCAATGCTTTTACTTTATTCGTTTTTGCCATGCTTCTTGTTGAATTATTGGAAAAACATATTCAAATGTGCAGATTGTGGCATTTCTAATTCCCCTTTTAGATGATAAGTTTCCTCTCATAAGGAGTATTTCTTGTTGGACTCTTTCTCGATTCAGCAAATACATTGTTCAGGTATGGATTAAATTTGCTCCATCAGTTGTTTCTCCTCAAGACTATTAAGCCTCCTCTTTGATGCTGTTTGGCTTTTAATACCTTTTTTAAACCATTAAGGATAAATAACCACCATGGCCAAGAAAATAGTTTATATTTTTGCATCTTATTCAACTCATTTGTTGTTCTTGGCACATACCACTGATGAGCTTCAATTTATTGTTTTGTCTGTTGCATTGAATTCTTTGGTTGAGACTCTCATGTTTTATTTATCTCAGGATAGTGGTCACCAAAAAGGCTATGAGCAATTTGACACAGCCCTTATGGGTCTCCTGCGAAGGATTTTGGATACTAACAAGCGGGTTCAAGAGGCTGCTTGTTCGGCTTTTGCAACACTTGAAGAGGTTGTTATAAACCTGCTGCATGACTTGTTGCATTTCAGGATTTAAAATTCACATGAATTTCAACATCTGTTTTATTCATTCGCAGGAAGCCGCTGAAGAGTTGGCACCGAGGTTGGAAGTAATTTTACAGCATCTTATGTGTGCTTTTGGCAAGTATCAGGTTGTTTACTGGCCTCTGCATTATAATAAGCTCTTTTTAGTGTTGCAATTATGACTTATGAGACCGTGCACTGTCTGTAGTTACCTTTTTATTTCATATGCTGCTTCCCCTTCACTATTGAATAAAATTTTTTGCTCATTTTTATGTGTATAATCATTAACAGAGACGGAATCTCAGAATTGTTTATGATGCTATTGGAACTCTAGCAGATGCTGTTGGAGGGGAATTGAATCAGGTATATCATTGTGGTACTGCTAAAGATAATATAATAATGTTCCTCACACTTTTATCCCTTCCTTCTGATGTGTATTAGAGTCTTGTTATACCCAAAAGCTATTGGACTTTTGGTGGGTTTATTTGTTTGTGATAAAGATGATTCTCTCCATTGACTGGCTTTATCATTTGCAGCCTGTTTATCTTGAAATTTTGATGCCACCACTCATTGCAAAGTGGCAGCAGCTTTCAAACTCTGACAAAGATCTCTTTCCACTGCTTGAGTGCTTTACATCCATAGCACAGGTCAGTTAACTGTTCTTCTCACCTTTTCATTTGTTTATTTTTTCTTTTGGGAGGGGAGATGTGGTGGTGTTCTCTTTTATCCTTGATGTAGTGTTTGCTTTTAGCTTTTTATGTTTTTTCTCACTCTGAGGTCACCAAGTAGTTGGATACATCTAGCAATACTTTGGAAAGAAACTGCAAGCTGCTATAGAGTTAGTTGTAATTAAATTGTTCTTGCTATGTCGAACCATTTTGTCTTCTGTGAAGAGTTTAAATGCATACTGCAATAAAAGAGAACACGGTCTACAAGCGAAAAAATTATTTGTCTCAATTTGAGGGACTTGGGAATATGACACTGCGAACACCAAACCTGATACTTCTACGTGATAAGCTATATGAAATTGCAAAAAAGCTGCAATTCTGGATATGTTTATATGGTATGGGCTGGGGGAGGTGAATCTCAAAAAGACATGCTTCTTCTTTTCTAGCTTCATCTGTTGGTTGTTTTTTATCTACTCACTGAGCATCTGAACCTCGTCTCCCTTCAGAATGTAGTTACTGGCTATAACGGTTTTTACCTTTTTGTTTTTCTGCACAATATAATTTGGAAGATGGGTTAATAAAAATTGAAAGTGTATACAAGCAATCAATTTGCTTAATTCTTGTAACCTGCAGTCAGCTAAACACCATAGCTTTTTTAAACATTTTATTATCACAATATATCTATCCAGTTTTATGCATTTCTGAGTTATATTAGTCTTTATGCTGATAGTAGCAGATACATCTGTGGCTCCTACTTTTTCATGTAATCTTTTGTTTAATTAATTTGCTATATTTTTTGACGAGATGATGTCTGTGAAGAATTTTGTTAGAGTTACAACTAGGATTACTGTATGATGTCTGTAAAGAATTTTGGTAGAGTTACAACTAGGATTAATGTATTTTACTTTTTCAGGCATTGGGTACTGGATTCTCTCAATTTGCTCAGCCTGTTTTCCAGAGGTGCATAAATATCATCCAGACTCAACAATTGGCCAAGGTTTTGATAAATTTGACTCAATTCTCTACCAATCAACAATTTAGGTTGATTTTATTTTTCAATTTGAATTTGTTCATTTGTGCTTTCTGTCCTTCATGATTGGCTGATGCTTTTATAATATTTTGCACTCATCAATTAAGCAGCATATTGACTAGTGCCTTGCTTTATAAAATGACTTGTGCTCTGTTCTGTCATGTTGTTATCTTTAATTTTATCAGTGATAGAATGGTAGCATGTGTTAGTTTTTAATGTCTAGATGTTTAGTCAAGACCTGTGAAATTACATTGTATAGAATATATTAAGTACAGTACTTTTCTTTCAACTTGTGTCAGTTCTACCTTATTTGCTTTAACGATATATATATATATATATATATATATATATAGATATATAGATATAGATTCTAATCTATTTGATTTGAACGGCATAAAGATACTGTAGATGTTAAGATAAATCAAGTGCATCTATCTGCATTTTCATATATATCCAACAGCCGAAAAATTTTGCCTATTGCTGTAGTTAAAATCACTAGTTCTGATGAATATACCAGACAGTTACTACAAGATCTCTATCTTTGGAACCTTACCTCAAAGCAACTTAGCCTTTGTGATACTCCTCGCTAAATGATTTGTCATGCAATTGCTTTTATATTTGCATGCTAATGCTACTCCTACTCCATCAACCATTGTTTGTCAGACATATAAACATACATAGTTATAGTTTTTTGAAGACATTGATGGGAATTTCTATTGCAGGTTGATCCTGCTTCAGCTGGGGTTCAGTTTGATAAGGAGTTCATTGTATGCTCGCTTGATTTGCTCTCTGGAGTTACAGAGGGCCTTGGCAGTGGAATAGAGAGTTTGGTACTTGTTTTCTCCTTTGCTCTTGTGAAAAGAGACGTGATCCTCAACCTTCCCCTTCCCCTTCCCCTACCTCTTTGCCCCAGCCTTTTCTTTTTCCTATTCTGCTCCAAAGTGGGCAGTGCGGAAAGTTTCTATTTAATGAGAAATTCATGTGAAGCAAAATTGCCAGCAATCGTACTCTGTTTAGCCACAGTGGTTGTTGCAGAGAACCCATTGATGCTTGTTGGTTGAATGGCTAATTAGCCATTCAACAAAGATTCATAGAAACTTTCTAACACTATATTTCCTTTAAAATTTTATATCTCCTCATTTGATTTTTGAAAGATTAATCGTAATCATACCTAGGTTTTGATGACTTGTCCATTTGTTCCTGATATTGGTGTTGCAAACTGGATATTGCCATTAACTATTAAATTTGTGATTAGTTAAACATCTTATATTAAAATGTGAACTGGTATGTTTCATTTGTTCGCTTGGACTTGATATGCAGGTTGCACAGAGCAATTTGAGGGACCTGCTTCTGCAATGTTGCATGGATGATGCTTATGATGTTCGACAAAGTGCCTTTGCTCTAGTTGGGGACCTTGCAAAAGTATGTTAAAAATGAATCCACCGGTTGTTTTAGTTTAGAGCTATACGCTAATTTAAAATTTCTCCCTTCCCTCTTTTGCCATGATAAGGGGATTCTAGGGAAATGAAGCTTGTAGATCTCTTAATATATAAAGACTCAGGCATGGCCCCAGCTGATCCACTTTATTTATATGTTGAATTTGATTAGGTTTGCCCCATTCATTTGCATCCTCGTTTGTCTGAATTTCTCGATATTGCCGCCAAGGAATTGGTAAGGTCTCATTTTGGGATTCCAAATCTCAGTTTGCCATCTTTATAGTTTTACATAGCATATGTCCATGCAGAACACTCCCAAGTTAAAGGAAACCATTTCAGTAGCAAACAATGCGTGTTGGGCTATTGGAGAGCTAGCAATTAAGGTATGTGAGCTCTTCATTCTGCAGCTTGATGAAATTAGGTTAGTTATTGTTGATTGCCTTCGTGAGTTGACACCCCTTTGGCTGCTTTAATGTCACGTTTTCTTCTTTTATCATAACTGACTATTTGACTCTTTAAATTCAGGTTCGTGAAGAAATTTCTCCAATTGTCATGACAGTGATCACATGTTTGGTTCCAATCCTTCAGCATGCAGAGGTAATCTTCCCTTTCTGTTGGGGAAATTTATTGTGGCTTGCATGCCCATATAAGCATAACTGTGTGTTTGTGCATTAGTTCCTGTATGAGTCATTTTGATACCATAATCTCATCTGTGTATGATTAGCAGGGTCTCAACAAGTCCCTTGTTGAAAATAGTGCAATTACACTAGGGAGGCTTGCATGGGTCTGTCCAGATCTTGTATCACCACACATGGAGCATTTCATGCAATCATGGTGTATTTCTTTGTCTATGTAAGTATTAATTTATCTCCCTTACTAATAAATTATTTCTTGATGTACAGTTAAGCTACTGCTATGGTTAGATACATTTAGTTACACTTATTAGAGCAGAATTCTATTCTTATTTTGTTAGCATTGTCTTTATGTCAAATCATTTGACAAACAAATTGTGGCAGGATACGTGATGATATTGAGAAAGAAGATGCTTTTCGTGGTCTATGTGCATTGGTATGCATCTGCTTTTGTAATAGTTTTCATTAACAGTTGAATCAATAATCTAATTTGTGCTTGGATGATACTAAACTTTTTCAGGTCAGGACAAATCCGTCAGGGGCTCTGAGTTCACTTGTTTTCATGTGCAAAGCTATTGCAAGCTGGCATGTAAGGATGCTGTTATTTATTGTTTTTGAGGTTTTTATATATTAGACTAAAGTTTGAGCTTTTGAAATTGTTCTGTCTGTAGGAAATAAGGAGCGAAGAACTACATAATGAAGTTTGCCAGGTCTTGCATGGTTATAAACAGGTAGGGTGTTGTTGTCATAGGCTTTCCTTCTGTTGAACAATTACTTAAATGCTTATACATTAGAAAATTCTTCCTGCTGGAATTTTGTGGTTTGCTGATTGTTTTATCTTAATATATGTTAAAATGCTAAAAATCCTTAAATCTTGCTTATCGCACGCATTACTTCATTTTGGATATATATCTGCCAAAAACTCTCTTTTCAACAATTTTTTAGGTTATCTTAGTGCAGTGAATCTCTTGTTTAGTGCATTCTTATTGATTGAAAATTCATTTTCTTTTCCTTCTTTATTCTTATTCCTTTCTTTTTATTCATCCTATAAACAAGGGAACATGATAATTCATTGATGATTTATAATTTTGCTAGTAGTTATAGAAACAAAATTGTAACATGCATTAGACTAGGTTCATTCACTGAGTCAGTCAATAAATGTTCTTGCAGATGCTTGCAAATGGGGCATGGGACCAATGTATGTCTGCTTTGGAGCCACCTGTGAAGGACAAACTATCAAAGTACCAAGTATAAGATCTTGACTATCCATGCTTCAGTGTTCTACAGTATCTATGGTTCTTCAGAGATGTCTATCAGCATTGGTACCAACAGTATATTTTATGCCTTTTCCGACTAATATAGGAGCTGTGATTGATTTAAGTAAAGATCGGTATGTCGTCATGATTTTCCCGAGGCAAAGCATCAGTTTCTTGCCTTAATTCATTGAAGCAACTTTGCACCTCTTAAAAACTTAAAAACAAATTGGCTTTGCCCCCATGGTGCTTGGTTCGGGGCAGTTAAGCTGTTGACTCTTTGTGTATGGATTTAGCATGCAGGAATGCAGCCTCCCAAGCTTCAAGAGGGTGTTTTCTTTGGTGTTTTATTATTGAAGGATTTGTAAAGTATCTTGTTCAAGCATTGCATTCTTTGTTTTTGACTGATGAGATTTTTGCCTTATTTTGATTATTTAATTAGATAGGGTTTCAGTCTGTGATTCCCACAGATTTTTGTACAAGGGCTTTAGATGTTGATTATTAGAAGTTTTGGGTGTTATTTATGTATCATTCAAGGTCTGAAATATACTATTGGAGGGTGGAGCACCATAATTTTTTGCATTTTGCAGCAATGAGATTGGGGTTATAGGGACAATAAACGTGTCTTTAAGTCGCTGGAAATTGTACCTTTTTGGCCCTCAAGCAGAATTTTGGCTACTTTCGTTCTTTGAATGCCATCTTTCCTGTTCTCTTTTCTTCCTCGGGTATCATTTTCCTCGTGATCTTATCTTTACTGCTCTTGTAAACATCTTTGCATTGCTTGTTTTTCTTATTTTAAAGCTTTTCTTAGACTTCCTGCTTATTTTTCTACTTCCTCTTCAATCCTATCACTGCTATTTCTTTGGCACAAAATCCAGTCCAGACGCACAGGGTAATAAAAATCTATGGTGAAAAGGCGAGGCACAAATTTGCTCCAAAGCATCACAAATCTAACCCCCTGCGACCATTTGGAATGCCAAGGAAAACAAAAAATAATGCACTGCTTTTATGCCTTCTTCATTTTCCTTCAGAATCTAAAACTACATCAGACAAGACAGTATGCAAAACAAAATTATATTAGATCTATTATAAGGTACTCCCGATAACAATTTTCCAGTGTAGCTCATCCTTTCACGGTAAGCTCGCACTTCTTCCACAGGTGAAAGCTGATGGATTACCGTATGCAACATTCAAGGAATGTATATTCATTAAAGGTGTTGTTTTGAGAGTATAGTTCAATTATGACGGGGTTTTCCTGAGCAACAAAGCTAAAACATAGCAGAGGACAGAGTCAACTGATGATAGCGCAACGATGAGCACAGCTACAAGAACAAGAGTTAAAATAGCTGTCTTCAGCTGCAAAAATAAGTATATGAAGAAAATGAATTCCTTTGGGCATGCTAATCTGTTAGTTTTATACAAAAAATTAGTCTACTTTCAAGTGAAACTTAGTTTAGGGATACTTACAGTGCTTTGGAAGCTTGGCCACTCTATGTATTTCAGTTGACTAGGCTGCTCAACCAGAAATGCAAACAAAGATCTTAAACCCCTAAAAGCATCAAACACCGGTTACTCAACAATGGCAAATAATACACATATATGTATTTACTTATATATCACTCGATTACGATGCATATATCATCTACCAGAAGCAGCATAATCCATTACAGGCCTCTTAAAATACAAGATGCTAGAATAACAGGGGAAGGGTGGCAAGCGTATGCATAAAGCCGGAAACAAAAGGAGAAACAGAGACAGCATTTCTTAGAAGATTACCATATGGTTTCTCTAATTAGACTTAGCAAGAAAGGTTCCCCACGTAATTCATCATCAAAACTTGACTGATGACGATTACTTCCCACAGACATGACATGTCTGCTTGTATAAGGCTTCCTAACAAAACTTCCGCTTGAAATCTACATGAACAGATTCCAACATTAAATGAGCAATGCTACATTAACATTCTAATTGGATACAGTATTTATGACAATATAATAGATAAAGATTACCTTTTCGAAAACTGATTGATTAGGTTTATAATAATTAAATCGAGTTCTTTGGTATCTCAGAAGCTGAAAAGATGGCTTATTACAACTAGGATGAACCAAACCTACAAAAGTAAAATTAAAAAAAAAAATGAAAAGCAGAAATCAAAGCATCATAACATATTGAAAATCACAAAACCTAATAAACATTAAAAATGAAAAAAAGAAGAGAGGAACCTGAGCAATTTGCAGGGAACCTAGAAGCAATCACCATTATGACAAAGTTGATAGCTATAATAATCTTGTCTACTGCTCAAAAAAAGAAGAAACATACAGAAGACAATGTTAACCTAGAAATTTCTAAATAATTTCAATTGGACAACAAAAATCAACAACTGCACAGATAACAAAACCATGTTTTATTCACTTTTACCACTTCAATTTCCTTTTCCAGACGAACAAGATAAGTGAAAAAGGGTTCTGGGATTGAACTGCTTGTAATGTTATAAACACTTGACATTAATGTAAATCTTTGACCTGGTTTTTATGCTAAAAACAAGCAAATAAGAACCAGACAAGAACAACAAAGAGATAATGACTAAAAAGACATGAAATTACCAGAAAGCAACAGAGAAAGAGAACCCAGAAAGTAAAGCGAACAGGGAATTAGACAGTACCTTTCGTTTCGAAAGAGGAAGCTAGCTCGGGAGAGAGAGGTTTTAGCCTTCCTGGGATGATTTTCATTAGCTTCCAAATCCAAAATGGAAATATCCAGGGCATTGCATTAGGCCCATGAAATTGAGCCCATGCACATTTTTTATATCCGAAAAAAAACTTTAGTCATTAATTTTGACTGATAATGTGCATTTCAAGTTGCTTAATTACAGCAGATTAGAAATTACTTTAAAAAATCCAAAAATAAAAATTTGGGCTTTAGTTAGAAGGCATAAAGTCATAATTTCTCACTTCAAATTTACATTCCAAAGGAATTTTCCTGAGCCAATTGCAAGAATAGTAGCTTATTTCATCCAGAGTTTGAAACACATTGCCAATTGGCTTTGATATTTATGCGGTTTTACTGACCATGTGGTAGCTTCATACATACTCTATGGCCTAATCAACTGGTTTTCTGTTTTTCTATTTTCTTTAATTCGGTATTAATCAAATCTCTTCCAGTAAGATTCGAACTTATAATCAGTCCGATACAACGAACTACCACAGCTTGATAAGCATTTAAAAAAAATTCAAAGCATATACAAGTGAAGGCTCATTCACATTTCAGACGCAAAGAAAAATGAAAAAGAGAAAAATTGCAATTTCCAATCATGTTTCATTACACTAGTGATAGGCAGAATGAAAATCATGGAGGTCAGCATTCATGGAGAATCTGAACCATCTATTTTTCTCTGAATACCTCAAACAAGGCTCAACAACAAGCCCGATTATCACAGCTACCATGCTAATCACCATGACTTTGAGAGAAGCAAATGCTAAAACCACAAGAATTAACAGGGTAGGGGGGATACACATTAAAATTGCTCCAGCCGTGCCGACAGGTATCTTGAATGGCCTTGATTCTGCTGGACGGTCTATCCTTAGCTTCACAAATGCAATAAACTCCATGATCATTCCAAAACAGTATAAGAAGTTCTCTGCTGCTACTATCTCTTGAAAGCTCAACCATGACAGTAGTAAAACACCAGTTGCAGAGAATAAAATCCCAACCTGAGGGGTTCCATAGCGAGACCTCTTTGCAAAGAGCTCAGGAAGCATCCCTCGACATGCCATTCCCTCAAGCTGGAAAGAATCGCTACTCATTTCAGCAAGGAACATTCCCATGTTTGATAGAGCAGCTGCTGCTTGAATCCATGTTAGCAGCCAGACACCTCCAAGCATTTTACCAATGTCTGAGAAATATCCATCAGTCCAAAGCTGGCGATCAAGTGGAATTGCCCCCGTACCAATCAAAAGGGGGAAAAAGTATCCAAAAACAACTAAGATAACAGCATAAAAAAGGGCTTTTGGAAGAGTTTTACTTGGATTTTCCACCTCTCCCGCAAGAGTGCTAATGGAGTCCCAATAGTTCAGATTCCAAAAGAGAGTATTTAAGTATAAACCCCAGTCTATATTACCAAGTTCTACCATAAGCCACCTTGAAGGCTTCAGTTTGGGAATTGCAACAATTCCCATGAAAATAAAAGGGAGAAGTGAAAACACCCCTAGTAATATTGCCACCCAACCCACTATGGTTAAACCTCTGTAGCTCATATAAGTGAGAGCCAGGGTCAAAACCAACACTGCTATTGTCCTTGGCAGACCTCCTTCCAAAGCTGGGATCGCTGATTTCAGGTAGTCTAGAAATAAAACCGGGTACAAAGCATTATCAATAACCCCACTCAACCATTTCATCCAGCCTTGTTGGAAACCCCAATAAGGGCCCAAAGCTGATGATACCCAGACAACATAACCACCATTCTCTGGGAGCATTGTACCTAATTCTGCTGTTATTAACGCCTCTGGGATACTCCATATGAATGGAACCAGCAAAAATCCAAGAAGAGCTAAAAGGGGACCAGCTGCCTGGACACTATCTTCAACACCAAAAGGCCCCCCAGAGACCTCATAGAAGATCAAGAAAACAAGGGGTATAATAGAAACCTTTTGGTACTTATCTAGTTTGGGGGAAGAACGTTCTCCCAATTCCACATACTCAGCACTGCTTGGCTCCACCATCTCAGCCACGGTTTGCCTAGTTAGTAAGTTTCTCTGTTTCTGCAAGCAACATTCAAATCTAAACACACAGTTTGGGAAAACGTTGTACTTATAGGTTCAGATAATGATACAAGTCATTAATAACAACAGTGGCGTAACAAAAACCAAGACACCACAGCTGGTCGTCTTACATAATTCAGACAACACAAGTAATGAACAATGGAAGCAACAAACAATTCTAACATAAAGAAAAGTTAGCCATAGATTCGTAAAGTAAAAGTCCATGTCTTGTTTAACCCAATAGAGATATTAATGAACAGAAATTTATCAATGAATAAAATATACCTCTAAGTATTATGTAAATTGCTTTCTATAATCCCATTTCTGGCATAAAAATTCGACCTTAACCAAATTCTAATTCACAGCCAAAAAAAATTGAATTAATGAGAACAGCCCACGAGAATCCTTGAAATAGAAAGGACATGAACAAATTAGCAAAGAGAAAGACAGTTTGAAAAGAACAAAAAATGGAGTACCTTTATAACTCAAAGAACCCAGAGCGTCCAAGAATTATGAAATCAGAAAGCGCAAGACAATGAAACTAACCATGAAAAAAGAAGAAGGGATTGCAATTTCATCAGGCTTTTTCTGGTTAATTGATAAGAGTTAAGCTAAGCAGTAGTGAGTGTGTCAACATGAGAAGAACGTGGCAAAACGATTAGCCTACCACTTGTCCTCTCCTCTTGGACGTGTCTCTTTCGATTTCTACCAGAGACAAGAACCTAAGAGAAGCTACTATAAGATGGAATCATATCTCAACAAAAGCAAGTCTGGGTTTTGAAGAAACGATCTGATTTGACGGTTCTCGTGATGCTAAATAAACTATAAGATGAGAAGAACAGGCAGCACTGGATTTGTTTTCGACAAAGCAAAGCAACAGTCTTCTTTCTCAGAATTCCATGGCGGTTTGTTTATACATTTCTCCCTAAAATGAGCAATCACAATGGTTGAACGGAGTGTTCCAATTACTGTCTCCCAGAAGATAGGATTGCGTGAGTGAGAAGACTGAGAACGACATGACACCCATTTCGATTTTGTCGCGGTCTTTGATCAGAGTGACCGTTTCTTGTTTCCATTCGTGGATTCAGGATTGGGTTTTATTCTATTTTTGGAATGGAACAAGGATTGGGCTTAAGTTTTGATCGCAAGTGTGAGGGATATTTTTGATTCAAAAGGTAAAATGTTTTTATTAGATACTGTCAGCAAACAATCATGGTATTTATGATTTTTGAGTCGACTCTGATTTAATTTGAACAATATCACATCAATTCGTTTATTTCATCAACTTATCAAAGGGTCTCTTTAATGCTGATTTATATAATCTCTTCCTTCAAAATTATTCTTTCCCCTCTTAAATCTAAATTTCGTAGTTTAGGAAAGAATATGAAGAAAAACATTGATTAAGTAACTTTTGGGAATTAAGGAAAGAAGAGATTCCTCAAATCTTGATTTGAAGATTGGATTATCTTTCTCTTAATACTTATTGCCTAACCTAAATGGAAATGTTTTGCTGACTGTGCAAATTTAAGTTTATTGCTCACTAATCATGATCATTTAGGCTTTTTTCTTTGATAATTAAATAATTGAATTTGCTTAAAATTCTTGACATATCCCCTTCAGATTTATGACCTGTTCATATTTCATCCTGCTTGGTTTTGGATATAGGAAAGTAAATGAGGAACACACGAATACAGAATCAGCAACTAGCTTCTGCCACTGCCAGTTCGGTCACAAATACAACGTACCATGTTGTAATTCCAACAAGTCTTGATTTTCCTCCTAGCGCATAACAAGCGCTGCAAGTCCGACGATACTATGTTCGATAAATATTTTTAATTTTAAATTTGATAATTTAAAATATAATATAATAATATAATTTAAAATTTTTGTAAAATTTATATAAAAATATAACATATAATTTTTATATAAAATATTATATAAATATATAAATTATTCGTATTTTATATAATATGCATACACAAATTACCTGTATATAATTTAGTGATTATTTTAAACAAAAGTTCTGGCCTTAGCGCGTGGAATACCCGTTATTCTCTTCCCCACAGTAAATCACAATCACCTCCCGCTTCCCAAGAACAAAGGCAACAACCTTTGTAAGACAACCTTAAAGAATCAATCTTTGTCTCCGCCATTGCCAGAAATTTCTTGCAGATTAGTCTCTGCACAAAAAAAAAAAAAACCCTCAAATCTAGAGTATTAACTATTAAATATTATATCTAATCACCTGCTTAAACCACCCAAACCTCCAAATATAGCAAGCAGCAATTTCCTTTTATTGATTCATGGAGACACCTATGAAAAGAGCCAACCTAAATCTTGATCATCCCTCAATAAACTCTCATTCACCAACTTTTCTCTTGCACAACGGCTTCAGTTCATCTCAGGTTTCAGACATAGAGATGATCACGATACCATCGGTTTCTTACACGAGTTTGAAAGACTTGTTGCCTACGTCACCGCCAGCGGTCACTTCAGCAACACAAAATTCAAGTTGGCATGAAATTCCCATCAAGAATCCGCTTGTGAAGCACGCCGCGTTGGCTTATTTGCAGCCCATGTTGAGCCCACCGGAGGTCGGTGAAAAGGGTCTGTTTGGGAGGCTTAAAGAAATGTGTTCCGGTGAATGTGGGTGCGTTTTGTGGATATATGATGTCGTTTGGAGGAACGTCAAGGAGGCGTTTGCGGATAGGAGAGAAGAGTTTGATGATGATTATGATGATGATGATGATGATGAGGATGATTATGATGACAAAGTTGACTGAGACCGAGATGGCAGCTCCTTTCCGTTTTTCCGGTTTGACCGGTGGATTGGTTCAATTTGTAAATAGAGATTCTTTTTTGGGTTATCTGGATAGAGAAATATATATATTTTGGTTTTTTGCATGTGCAAGTACAGAAATAAAAGTTTTATCGAAATGATTCGCTGTTAAACAATTCAACACACTTGATTTGAGGAGAACGGAATTGTTGTTATTAATTATTAGGTTAGGTGAGTTTTATTCTGTTCTTGACATTTCATCTGTCGATATATAAAACCAATCAATTTGCTCCTAATTACAAGTACATAACTGGACAATTGACCGATAGTGTAGACTCTGGGTTTAGCTCATTAACCCAAAAAATTTCTTGTGGTTCATAATCTGAAATATCACTCTCAAGTTCTTCACTTTTACTATGTTGGGAGGAAGGTTTGGTGGTCGCCCAAGCCAAGCTATGTTGTCACACGTGTTCAAGCTACTAATTGATGGTTGTCCCAATTACACGTAAGTCAATATGCCACCAATTCATCCATGACGAAGACATTTTCATAACACAAAAATGAGAGATTTTTCTTAACAAATAGTGTAAGGAACACTTGTGCTTTATTTTAGCATTTGATTAGTTCTTTTTTTTTTTTCCCGGTTTTTCTTTAAAAAAATTATTTTCGGAAGTAGGTTTTTGCATAGAAGTTGCTTGGAGGATCAAAATCCCATGAATGTTAATAGATAGAATATGAGAAAAATAAAACATTTTTTATTTTTGTTTTTGAATTTTTATATTATATTTATTTTTTATCTATATTTAAAATATATTTTAAATTTAACCTATTTTCATCTTTATAAGTATTCAATAAATATAGACAATTATCGTCATAATTTTTTAAAAATATAAAAATTAAAATTTATTTTTTTTTTATTTTTTTGAATTTTTATCTTATATATTTAAATAATTTTTTACAAATATATATTAATATATTTTTAATAAAAATATATTAATTATAATTAATTTAAAATAATAATTTATATTATTTAATAAAAAATTTATTTATTAAATATATAAAAAAAATATATAATACAAATATAAGACAGATGTTATATTATCCGTTCACATTTTCGTATTTAATAAAAATTTAAACTCATAACTATCTCCATCTCCATACCTATAATATAATAATTTATTTTAATTTGAGTAAAAAATCAAACTCTTCATTGAATATGAATAAAATTGACATTCTTAACCACAGTAATTCAGCAAATCATCTTTGCAAGAACTATCGACTTGGTAATAGGAAAAAACAGCTAAAGGAGAGAAAATGGAACGAAAGGTTCATGGATGAATTCCTCCTTAGAACAGCCATTTGGACAAAGAAATGGCATTCTGTCTCTTCTAAGGAAGTAACCAATGGAATTAAATACTAATTTCATTTGATGACCAAATCCACATCTAAATAATAAAAATTGTAATCCTAAAATATTTAACTATGAACCGCAAATAACTAAAAATTTCTCAACAGCAAAGAAAGAAAATGAGGCTTTCATATCTAAAGCATGTACACTACAGTCAAAGACATCTTAGAAGCCATCATGATATACACACATATACCATGCAACACACTAACAAATGGAAAATAAATGGCAGAATAATATAGCCGCATAAATAAATAAATAAATGAGAAATAAGTTAAATATCTAATAACAGCAGTGAACATAAAAATTTGCAAAACCCAAGTCAATGTAATTTAACTTAAAGCCCTATGTAATGTACAATTACTAAACAGGGTTGCCACAACATGATCATTCAACTAAACAAGTCCTCTGGACCAGAGGCATCCCCTTCATCATCTGAAGAAGCATCACTATTGGCATTGAATAACATAAGTTGTACAAGTTCCCTGCCTGCCACTGATGAGTTTTCTCCATTCCGCTCCGGGCTACCATGCCGCAGTGAAAATAAATGCAACATCAGATCCTGTGGTGTAGTTACTCGGTACATCCAGCCCCCAGGTTTTGGTTTGAACTGGACACAGAAAGTGCAAAATTGCAATCATCATTAATTGTTAGCATCATCATAACTGCCAAGAAATATTTTAGCATTTTCATTGTTATTATCAACATCATTATCACCATCATCATTGCAATCCCTATCATCACCACTATCAACATCTTCATCACCATCATCGTCATCATCATCGTCATCGTCATCATCGTCGTCATCATCGATGTCATCATAAACATCATCATAATCATCATCACTATCATCTTCCCCATCATCATCATCATCATCATCAACATCAAAAAAAGTATAATCATCATCATCCTCGTTGAATGCAGCAAAGGTCAACAAATGGAAGAAGGCTGGTTTTGGAACCTTTTGCAAAAGATATAAGAGATCAGCTCCTCTGCTTCTCATACATCTTTAGAATTCGATATTGCCAACCAATCCGTGTGAATTTACACAATAAAGAACAGCAAGCCAATCTTGGCATTAAATTCAAACATTCCTGTGTTGCTAGTCGATAGATGATAAGCTACCTTGGCATCTATATAATACATGTCACATTTCCTACCATTCGCAGAATTACAAGTAGTACAAGAATATTTTAAGACAACAGGAAGGGTGGACTGAACGCAATTAATCAGTAGCTTATCTCAAAGAAAAGCTAAACAAGATACCCTTATAAAAGCCATTGGACCTTAGCTCACTCTGTCTCAAGTCAAAATCCAAAACCTTCTTCTCTCCTCTCACAACAGATTTTTTTTTTTTTAAAGTATTAAAGTAACAAAACCACATTTTAACAGGCACTTCTATATCTTGAGCCAAATTATAAATACTTGCCTATGTTGGAGAGATAAACAATATCGAAAAAGGGTGTGGGATGTTTCCAACATTTTATCCTAGTTTCAAGCAGCATGTTGATGAAGCAAAATGCATTTGATGTCTTGAGCTACCTCATTTATAACCCAAAAAGTAATACCAATAATATTCTTTTCTTCTTTTTCATATTTTTGTTTATATAAGATATTAGAAGAAGAAGGCATACCTTTTCAATGTTTGTTGGAAGAGGTGCTTTATCAATAGCCTTCGGAGTCCATATCTTGATGTCCTTCTCAATTCCACTGCTAGCAAGAACTGTGATATGAGGATGAGACTCAATACAGTTGACTACACGTTTATCTGCTTCCATAACACGAATGAGCTCTCCACCTTTCTTCTTCCAAATAAATATTCTGCCACAATCAGATCCACTAACCACATAATCAGATTTAGGTCCAAAAAAGCTCACACCCTTCACTGTCTTACAATTTCTATGTCCCTTATAAACTTGGGGAATAGCTTTCACATCAGTTTCCATAGCTGATGCTGACATAGCTGAGGGATCAAGTCCCATTTCACTTGCTTCACTACATGCAGACAATGGAGAAGATGGGACTGGATTGGGCCCCAGTCCCATATCCCGTGTAAAGAGATAGATGAACTCATCATTGTAGGAGACAAGAAGCTCGCTCTGATATGAAAAGGCCAAGCCTGTTATTCCAACATGATTATCACCAATCAAATGAGGGGGGCAAAAATAATCTGTAGGTTGACCAAAATCAGTTGAGCCATCCCACTTATATTTGCGAATATCATAAAGTCGAGTATACTCATCCGATCCTGCAATTGCAAAGAGATTTGGGTTCCTTGGATCAATTGCAATAGCATTGAGATTGACAACTGGCATGAAGGCTCTGCTATCATCAATTGGAGGGCATGTGAAAAGTTCTGTTGCTGCTGCAGTTCTAAGATCAATCTGAAATGCAATGCAACAAGGCGGTATAAGTCAGCTATGTTAAAATCCAGACAAAAAATCAGGTTATTAAACGAATGGTCATCATACAACACAAATACAAGAAGAATAACATGAGAATTATCAGGCAAACAGCCATTTGATAAGAAAAATAGGTAAAGAAACATAAGAGGACAAAATAAGAATCATTTGCAGACTATCTGATATCAAAATTGAACTTTTCAAATTGTTGTCCAACTCAGCCACGTATGACATAACAAAAGCTTTCTGTAAGCATCTGTTTTTGCTTCTTCAATCCCATAAATGATCATAAATTATCAACTAAAAGAATTTAAAAAGAAATAATGATGACTTAGCAGTTAAACACAACTTACATGCTGAACTAATCCATCTTCACCACAAGTGTAAAATACATGAGGGCTTCCTGGTTCAATGGCCAATTTATGAGCTCGTCCCTGATGTGTGGCCAGCAGCCTAGTTTTGACACCACGTTCCGAAATTTGAGCATGTCGAACCTACAATTTACATTAGTTAGAATAAAAACCTCTTAATTCACTATATAGAGGTCTTTGCTTAAGCACATGATACATGTTAGCAGTATAGCACACTTTTTTCGTTTAAGCCACATTTTCTTTCTAAACAGAAAAAGGCACAGAAAGTAGATGCAATAATGGTCATCCAGGAGGAAGATAAAAGTTATGCAGTTTAACACATAATTTAGTATTTTGTTTCTTTTCACCACATAATATATCATATAGAGTTGAAAGAATTCATAATATTGATATATCAAAACTTAACATCTTTTGCACGTAGAGAAAAATTGGACAAAAATCAGGAAAACGTAGCTTTTAACTTATTGCATTCAAAGAAAGGAAAAGATTAGTTGGACTTATTCAGAGCCAACTCATTCAAATTTAAGGACTTTGTAAACCAACTCAAGTGTTGTCATAATTAAGTATATAAATAAATACGAATCCTATATGCAATTTTATCTTTACAAAGTAAAATGACATAAAGTCTTTCATATTGTGTAATGAGGACTTGAAATGGAACTACTTCTACTTCTTGGCTCCCAAAAAAATTGTTTTATCAATTATCAACAGATGAATATCATATATGATTAAACCCCAACATTTGCTCTCAAAGGGACAAGATTCATCGAGAAAATTGGTCACTACCAGAAGAATTTTCTAAATTGGTCCTAACAAATTTTAAAAATGTCGCATGCCTAAATAAGAAATTCACCTGCCCATCTGCAGCACAAGTAACCAAGCTGCGATCATCTGTGTATGGCATGATTTTTGCTTGGAAAACATTGCTGACATGGCCTGAATGGAAAGAAAGCTTGACACGCCCAGTTTCCCAATCCCATAGAATAACCCGCTTGTCATCAGAGCCAGAGACTAAAATGTTACCATCAGCATTAAAGCTCACAGTGTTCACACAACCTCGGTGCTTTTCAAGTTTCTTGTAAATTTCAAGTCGAAGCAAAAGATCCTGGAACATAAAACAATTAACTAATCAAAACCAACTGCAACAAGAAAATTTGTAAAGGAACACGCTGCATTGTTGCACTTATATATTATACCCATATTAGCCAGCTAAAACAATATAGGAAGCATATCCAATCATTCAAAACATTAAGGAACAAGTTCACAGAAGGAACTAACGCTGATTAACAACAATTACATCAAATGACAGCCTAACAAAAATTACAATTGTTTACAAGAAACAAAAATCCAGACAATGGAATTTCTCAGGTAACTATACAGTTTCTAAAAGAATATATATATATATATATATATATAATTCAGTTTGAAGAATATTGTGACAGAAAAGGATCAAAATTTTCAATTTTCTGGTATAATCCCTGTAAAAGATTTTATCATTGCTTTTCCCATCATTAATTCACATGATTTGTCACCCATTATTTATTTTTACAATCCCACATCAAAGACAGTTACAGATCAGCACAATCAACTAAAAATCTACTCACCATCAATCAAAACTAACTTAAATCATATCACAGTAATAAATATAGTAACCCAGAACCAATTTCATAAAATAATAAGTTCTAATCATTCACCCTTTAAAAACAATTGGAAGACACCACAAATCAATAAAGATCTTATTAAGGGGAAAAAAAAAGACTGATTTTGAGGAAGAAGAAGAAAAGAGAGAAAATTGGGGATAACGTATCCAGGATAAGAAATAAAGCGCTAGACCTTGGAAGCGGCAAGTCGGTTGGCGAAATTCCTAGTCGAGAGTTCCCCGACTTCCCGTTGCCAAACATCAACCACCGCCTTGTGGACGCTCGTCCTTGCCCTTTTATTCCTCATCATCAATTAAAAAAAAGAAGAGTTTTTTGGAATTTTTTATATAAGAAAAAAAACAAAGAATTAAAAATCAATCAACTTTGATTCGCGATTGAAACCCAACAAGGGTTTTCTGTGTTGTTCGTGACTCAGTGAATAGGAGCTAGTAAATAGAGAAATCAGTTCCTCTCTTTTTTGTTGCAGTGTTGGTTTAAAGCCAAAGGCTTTTTCTCTGCTGTTTTATACATGTGTTCCTGTGTGTAGATTTCTGTGTGTTAATATACACCGACTACACGTACGTCATAATAAAGCTAAAGGAAGTTTCCTTTATAAAGGGTCTTGACATTCAATTAAGGATTGACACGTGGCTAACACTTGAACCATCTATCTTCTGATTTCATTATCCTTTTTTTTTTTTTTCCAAACAACAAATTATAATAATTTTATTTAACAATTTTAAGTAATCATATATATATATATATATATATTTTCACCGTATTGATTTAATGATTAAAAAAATCTTAAAAAGATATAAAATTGAGGTTCGATCCTAATCTCTTTTTTTTTATTGTAAGATTTTATCTTTCTTGAAACCAAAATATATATATATATTATTACAATAAACAATATTATCGAATAAAATTTAATTTTACGTACATAATTTATTTTGATAATGCATAAAATAATTTTAAATATGTAACAAAATAAACATTCAAGATTCAAAAATTTTAAAAATTAAATTAATTCAAATTTTTTAATCTATATATAAATTTTATTTTAATTTAAATCACATAATAAATATTTTAACTCATTCTTATCAATAATATATTAAATTTAAAATTCAAATACTAACTTTTAAAGGTCATATATTTTTCAGTTGAATAATTGTGGTTTTAATAATTTTTAACTATTTTTCAATATAATACTTTAACTATTTGGATTATTTATTTGTTTCAATTTATTTTAAGTATTATGTAATTAAACTATCATAAAATTGACAACTTTATGATGTCTTTTTTAAAATAGATTTTTCAATAATATATTTATATCTCTTTATTAAATTTGAAAATCTCATATATAATTTTAACTATTTATAGGTTTTCTATTAATCCTTTAATATTTTTTTTAATTCAAACATATTAAATATCACCCATTATATATTTTATTTATTTATTTAAAATCTAATTAAAAATAAAAAACTTCATGTATTTACTAGTATTTTTTACCTATAAGCAACATAAAATTTCTCATTGTAAACTGAAATTTAACTGCTTACTAGCATTTTAATATAATATTTTTTGTTTATTAGTAATATAATAAATTTTAATTAATAAATTTATAAATTTAAAATATTTTAATTAATAAATAAAATTAATCCTAACACTACTCGGGTCACAAATTAATTTTTTTAATATTTATCAAACAACTATGAGATAAGGTCATGGATTAAGAAGCTTCCATACAGAACAGAATGATGACTTCTGAAAATAACAAAAACCAGTGATCCATGGGAATTTTAACCTTAGAATGGAGGGCTTGTGACAAACAGAAAGAGGGGTCACTTTGAAAAAGAAAAAAAAACTTTCCCCCAGGTGTCTACTTGTAACATTACGGTGTCTTTATATGTTTAGGTTTGAGGAAAACTTCAAACAAACAAGGTTTTTAATCAAAGCAACATGGAATGAATCCATGTTTCTGAATTTCGAAACACTATGTCCCCATGTTTCAGAACATGACAAACAAAACCATAGACAAACTTGTGATGCAATTCAATTGAAATGGATAGAGCAGCATGTGACAGTCCAAAATTCAGAAACATTGCTGTGTAAGGAAGGAGATGAAGGAGAAAGGATGGAGCAGGTTCTAATCAAAGTCCCAGTCTCTGCCATGTCTTGAGCGAAAGTGAAACCCCAAGGTTGCAAGCAGTCACATTTGAACAGAAAATATAAGCTTTATGATTCCAAATAGCAAGCCCTTTAACAGTTAATGAATCGTGATGCAAAAATTTCTTCCTTGAGTTATAATATATGATGACAAAGTTCCTCATTTGATCCGTCAAGGGAGCCCAAGAACATGTTGCTGAGCACCAGATTGTAAAGCTGGAAAACTGTACCATAATACCATTCCAAGCCACAAAATGTAAGCCTATGTTAAAATTTGTCAACACAAATAATTGTGGGGTTGCCCACTTCATCATAATTAAACATAGAATTATCTTGCCTTCGATGTTGATCAGAATCTCCAAATATGTGTGGCAATAAAGTTTCCATGATCTGCTAATCAGGTTAGGATCATGTGCCTTCATCCTTCAACCAGCAGAGGGAAAGCCACAACTACTCCAGCACTTTGCTTCAAACTGTTGACAGTCCACTGCATGAATCAGATACAACATATTAGTCAAGGATTTACCCATGAAAATAATTGTAACTTTTATTGCATACACATTTTAAGAAAAGCCACATATATTTTCAGTGAAACAGCATCAAATAAGAACACAATGTTTAGTCTCCATGGTCTAATTGTTTCATACTTGTCAGATTCAAGTTGGTTCGCTTGACAAATTACAACCATGAATGAAGAAAAAACATGTGTTTAAACTACTTAAGAGTACTGGAAAATTTTCAACTTCTTTGACATAGTATATAAAACTACTCCTAATTTATCTATACATTTAAAAATTAACCTACTTGAATAATACTATTATTAATAGTTTGATGATTGCAATCATAGAATGCCATACAATTTTGGCAAAAACAGTTTCCTCAACAGCCAATTCTTGGCCTTCAAATAATGCGGAATGCCAAAATGAAATCATCCAATAAAACTAAAAATTCAAACCCATATGGCAGCATCTGCCAGTTGTCATGTCCAATAAACTTGAGAAGGGGAAAAGTATTGGATTCTGTCACAGAAAACAAGAACATAATGTTCAATTTAAACATATATCTTGACAGCTTGACTTCAATCATTCTATTCAAGGGCTAAATGCCTTGTCCATGGAAAGCTCAACAGGACAAAAATGACAATGAAAGGTAAATGCTTCAAGCCAGCTGGCCTGCTGATGTTATATTTTCCTCAATCTGCTAAGAATGATATCATCAAGTATGCTCATTGTTTTAATCCCGAAGGAAAGGAACATGTGCCTGAAAATCAAACATAAGTACATGAAGAACATGATAAAGAAAACACTTTTACATTCAGTTAGTCAGAATGAACAGCTGTGAATTAAATTTGGAGTGGCCAACTAATAAATGAATTCTTCTAATCAGTAATGAGAGGAATCTATCCAACTGTATGCTGCTTGCTTTCTGATATTGTTTCTTTCCATCATTTCTCTAACTTCCACAGCAGCATCCCACAGTCCCACATCAGCATACATATTGTACAGCAGTACATATGGGGCTGAGCTTTCAGGTTCCAGTCTCATCAATGCTTCAGCAGCAACTTGAGCCAACTCTACATTGTTATGTACCCTACAAGCCCCCAGTAATGCACCCCACACAGCCTTATCTGGATCAAATGGCATACTCTTGATCAAATCCATGGCTTCCTCAAGTTTCCCATGCCGGCCCAAATTGTCTACAAGGGAAGCATAATGTTCAACCCTTGGCTCAATGCCATATTCACTGACCATATCCTTAAAATATGCCCGGCCTTCGTCAACTAATCCTGCATGGGTACATGCACTCAGAACAGAAATAAATGTTATATAGGTCGGCTGAACCTTATTCCTCTTCATCAATTCAAAGAGTTCTAAAGCCTCCATAGCAAAGCCATGTGATGCATAGCCTCCAATCATTGCATTCCAAGTTACTACAACTTTTGGTGATTTCATCTCATCAAAAATTATCCGTGACTCAATTATTGCCCCGCATCTTGAATACATTGTAATGAGGGAGTTCTTTATAGGTACATCTGGAATTACTGTTTTTGAGACCAGCTGATGAATCTGCATGCCCAAGTGGAGATCCACAAGCCCAGCACACACGCTGAGAACTGCAGATAATGTATGTCTATCAGGTTTTTCACCTTCAGCTTGCATCTGTATGAAAAGCTTAATTGCTCCTTTATAATCCTTGTTTTTCTCATACCCTGCTATTATAGAGTTCCATGAAACTAAATTCTTCTGGGGCATCCTCTCAAAGTAATCACAAGCAAGTTCTAACCTACCCACCTGAGCAAACCCTGAGATCATTGAATTCCAAGACATGTTATCAGGCTTTGGCATCATATTAAAAAGATTTAAGGCCTCCTCCATATCTGATATTTGAACATAGCCATTAATCATGGTATTCCAAGAAATTATATCTCTTTCATTCATTTGGTCAAAGAGCTCCCTAGCAGAAAAAATATCTCCTGCCTTCACATAACACATGATCATTGAATTCCACGACACCACATTTTTTTCAAACTCCCCATTTCTCCCATCCCTGTGATTGCAGTTAAACGGGATTTGATCAAAAAGTCTTCGAGCATCATCCACCCTTCCCTCCTGACCATACCCTGCAATCAAAGTATTATAAGCTTGAACCAAATCCTTCCTCCGATTGCCCCTACTCCCATATTCAGTCAAAACCCTGGCAGCTTCATCCAATTGACCATTCTGAACTAAACCAGAAACAAATGCACTAACAGAAGTAGAATCCCGTTCAGGCATCCTCTCAAAATACTCGGTAGCACTTAGCATATCACCATTATGCAAAAACCCAGTGATCATAGCATTCCAAGAAACCACATTCCTCTCAGGCATACTCTCAAAAAGCCTTACAGCTTCATCCATCCTTCCATTCTTGGCATAACCGCTAATCATCGTATTCCATGAAACGAAATCTCTCCTTGGCATTTGGTCAAACAAATTTTTCGCTTCTTCAAGAAATTTGTACCCCAAACATGAAGCATAACCCGAAATCATCAAGTTCCAAGACACGATATCTCTTTCAGGCATTTCATCGAAAAGCTTTCGCGCCTTGGTGATTTCTCTTCGCTTTACATACCCATTTATCATTGAATTCCACGTCACCGTATTTCTTTGCTGCATTTTATCAAACATGGATTTGGCTTCGTTAAGCTTGCCTGTTCTTAATATATCGGAAAGCTTCTTGTTCAATGTGTACAAGTCCGTGGCTTTAGAAGAAGCTGCCTTGGATTTTAAAGTGGACGCAGATCGAAACGTACTGAAGATACAACGCCGCAAAGCCATGCTTCTAAAGGCCAAAGCGGCAACGTTCAATCTTCCCATTTTCGTTACTAGCAGCAAGCCATCATCGGACAGGCATAAGAGAGGTGCTCAATGCAACCAGCTTTTTCATTTCGTACCTCAGCTTTTGTTTTATTTTGTAAATAAAATTATTTAATTATTATTTTTTTACATAAATTGTGAAAATAAATTTTTAAAAAATTATTAATTTTTTCATAAATAAATTTTCAAAATATTATAATTCTTTACGAAAATAAATTTTAAATAAAAAAATCAAATAATTTTTTAAAAATTTATTTTCGAGAGGTAAAGTAATAAAAATTTAAAATATATTTTTAAAAAATTGTTTATTATCTCCTATTAAAGAAATAAATTTATAAAAAGTTATAAGTTTTTAAAAACTTTATTTTCAGAAAATTATATTTTTTTAAATTTTACTTTTAAAAATTATAAAAATTAATTAAATAATCACTCATAAAAAATTTTAAAAAATTGATACGTGACGAGAAAAATCAAGTGTTTTTAGCACCTCTCCAAGAATTATTGGAAGAGAAGAATCGTTCGGTCCGACGTGGCATGTCGACGTGTCGGTCCTTTCTTTTTTTTTTTTCAGAATAAAACGACACCGCTGAGGGTTTGTTCGTTGAGAGGATCAGATGATAGGAAGCTTAATGGTAACTATTCCATCGCCATGGAACCACCACCGCCTCCGCCTCCGCCCAACTCTACCCTTAATCAAATGTGAAAGTGGAGGAGTGCCACTAACAAAGCAAGGTCACCGCTTCCTCTCTTCATTAGTAGCAAACGCTGGCGTTAACGACCACGCAACCGCTAACCGGTTGATAAAGAAATTCGTAGCATCATCGCCCAAGTCTGTTGCTTTGAATGCGCTCTCTCATCTTCTCTCTCCCCGCAACTCTCAACCTAACCTCGCCGCTCTCGCCTTCCCCGTAAGACCCTTTCTTGCAAACACTATTTCCATGCAGCAAAGTTCACTTCTATTGAAATTCTGACATGTGGTCGTGGTTTTTTTTTTTTTTGAACAGTTGTACACTAAGATAAGTGAAACATCATGGTACAATTGGAACCCGAAGTTAGTTGCAGATTTGATTGCATTGCTATATAATCATGGGAATTACAATGAATCTGAAGGTTTAATTTCTCAAGCCGTTTCAAAACTTAAGTTCCGAGAGCGAGATCTTGTTCAGTTTTATTGTAATTTGATTGAGTCTTGCTCCAAACATGAGTCAAACCGAGGGTTTAATGATGCTTATGGTTACTTGTCTGAACTTGTTGGTAATTCTTCATCTGTGTATGTCAAACGCCAAGGTTATATATCAATGGTTGGTAGCTTATGTGAAATGGGTAGCCCTAATGAAGCTGTGAATGTTGTTGAAGAGATGAGAAAAGATGGGCTTAAGCCTTCATTGTTTGAGTTTAGGTCTATTTTATATGGGTATGGGAAATTGGGACTTTTTGAAGATATGGAGAGAATGGTATGTGCAATGGAGATTGAAGGATTTGAAGTGGATACAATTTGTTCAAACATGGTTCTTTCATCATATGGGGGTTTTAATGCACTTCCCAACATGGTTCCTTGGCTGCAAAAAATGAAGACTTTGCAAATCCCTTTCTCTGTAAGGACTTATAATTCTGTCTTGAATTCGTGTCCGGTGATCATGTCACTGGTACAAGGATCGGATGGTTTTCCGCTTTCACTCAGAGAGTTGGTCGAGGTTTTGACTGAGGATGAAGCATTGTTGGTAAAAGAATTGGTTGAATCATCTTCAGTCTTGGATGAGGCAATGGAATGGAATGGTTTAGAGGCAAAATTGGACTTGCATGGTATGCACCTGGGTTCAGCTTACTTGATAATGTTACAGTGGATTGAGGAGATGAAATGCAGGTTTAAAGTTGAAGAATGTGTGATTCCAGCACAAATTACTATTGTTTGTGGATCTGGAAAGCACAGTAGTGTTAGGGGAGAATCTCCTGTGAAAACCCTGATCAGAGAAATGATGGTTCAAATGAAAAGTCCAATGAAAATTGATAGGAAGAACATTGGTTGCTTTATAGCCAAAGGACAAGTTGTGAGGAATTGGCTATACCAGTTGTAGGAGAATCATTCATTTAGTGTCGGTTGAGAACAGACTTGAGTTTAAATATTTGATGGAGTTGAAATCTGCAAATGCCTCAGCTGAGTTAATAATATCTGCAAGTAAATGCCCGCCATTGTTGCATGCAACTGCCCTTCGCTTTGGCAGATCAGAAGAACACCATCTAGGTGCGGGCAAGGCAGGCCTTTCATGACCTTTCGAACGAGTATGAAATAACATGAGCCTTTTCTTTTTGTTTTGATTTAGTATGATCCTGCCGATGCTGGTTTGCAGTACTCTTGAGTTGGATATTAGAGAACATGGTTTTGGGTCTGAATTTCAAATAAAAATTAGATTTATCAATTTGTTTTTTCAATACAACAAGCAAAAGTATACAAAATATATATAACTTTTCAAGATATATACATGTTTTCAAAACCATGGCATCCACCATATATACATCTTTCCAAGGTTCTTGTGAGAGACAGCCTCTGCAATCAAACGACGAGCCTGACCTTCCACAGCTAGAGGTAGAGACGGTGCCGCCCCAACACCAACAACCACCCCTTGCAACCTTGCCTCGATATTACTTATGGCCCGCTGCAGTACTTAGACACTTGATTTAGTTGTTAGGCTATGAAGTATATCATTAAATAAACCTAAAAAAAAGGGGAGACAGATGATCCAAACCTTTGCATGTGGATTCTGAACTTCTACGTCACTGGATTTGTGAGATTTTGTCCACTCCACAAGAGGATCATGAATAAAAGTTTCAAGAATACTCATCAAGGTCTCCCTATGTGTCCTCAGAACCGAAAGCGTTATTTCACAAATCCTCAAAAAGATGCCCTCATATCCAGTGATGCCCAATCCATCAATCATGTTCTATGTGTTCCATATAAGAAAAAAAAGAAGTAACACATACATGAAAACCAAGGTTTCAGAAGCTTGTAATTTGAAATTACTATCAATGCACTACCATGTTCTTTAAAATACAGATCAGGAACAAGAATAAGAAGATTGTCATTCAACAATTTCAAATAATTTAGAATAAGTTGAAGTTTATGTAAAAATAGATTGGGGTATTTTTGAAACAACAAATTATATTTCTTACAATAAAAAAAAAAAGCTTGTTCCTGAAGGAAACAGAGCATAATTCTGGACAATGATACTGAAAAGTGCATGTATCCATAAGTAGCATTCTTACCTGGGTTAGCCTGAAAGGCACCAACTCAGGCTTCTCCAACTGCAACCCCTTATCAAATAAGCAACTGAAATCAACATGAACACAATCACCTGTGGTAGAATCAAAAAGAATGTTCTCACCATGTCGGTCACCCAGCCCCACAATATGCCCAACCATTGACCAAACAGCTGTTGTGTGAGCATAAGCAACTCGAGCCCTAAACCAAGCAGCAGGCTCTGAGAAAGTAGTTAAAAACCATTGGTGGAAAACTGGTGGGAACATCGGAAGAATCTTGTTCTTCAACACCTCATCTTCCGGTATTTTACCCTGGCATTGATCATACATCCGTTTAATTTGAGGATTTGTCTTCTGCCTGTCAAATTTGCCACATGTAATATATATGTCTTGAAGAATATGCCTGAGTCCTCGAGTATGGGGTACCCATTCCACCATACCACAGTCCTCGGTTAGAGGAATCACCGCAAATGTACGAATGTATAGCTTCCTCCTACGGCTTTCAGGGTACTTTGATAATAAGCGGTTTATCATTGCAGTGAACTCCATCATGCGAGCATCTTTCCTGAGGTCATCTTTGGGTTTGCAGAGGAATGGCCGTTCAATGCCATCACTGCCCAATAATACAATCTGAGAATACAAAATGGCATCAAGGTTACAAAGATTATGTATAACTTTTCACTATTTGGATGCTTCAGACAATTGATTGCGGGAATGTACTAGAGATCACATCCACAGATAAATGAGATATCATACAACTCTAAAAGATTTATGTAAAAAACAACTTGAAACACATAACCATCTAGTTTGGAGGTCTACCTAAAATAGAGTATTGAATTTAGACAAGGAAACAAATAACTACCTAACACATAACATTTGTCAAGGAAAGGGATGAAGTGGGCCACACTGGCATTTCAAACTCTGTATAAAATCCCCTGATAGTACAAATTTAGACAAATCTAATTTAAAATTTTAATGCTTTCTTAGACAACCTTATATGCAGGCTCTAGACACAGTTATGGCATGACATGAAAGTGATCGGTGATCCAGCTAAACTAAACAAGTAGAAGGAAATATATTAAAGAATATTTTTTCCCTCTATCAGAAAACCATGAAGCCTGAATCACATACTTTCTTAGGTCGCTGAAGAGATGAAAGAATCTCAGCCTCGTCAGCTATTCCAGATATTGTAGGAAGCTCCATACCAGAAAAAATATCAGAAGAAAGAGATTCACTGAGATTCATATCATAGGTTGGCAGAGTGACAGTAAGAGATTGTTGAATTGGCATGATAATTCCCAGAGGCATCATCCTTTTCAATGCACTGAATTCAGTTGAGATATTAATAGTCCTTGATTTTGGTTGGCCCGCGTGGAAACACAGCTTGATAAGATGATCAATCAGGCTAGCAACCTGCGCAAACAAATTGTTGCCACTGTTTCCTTGGCTAAACCCTTTTCTTGCAGCCTGAATGATTTCTGCAGCTGCTGCCCGCCTGGAAGGAACTGTGGACTTTGAAACTGCTGCCATAATCCAAAGTGCTTGCTGTGGATATTGCCGGACAACAGAAATGATGATATTTTTGACCAATTTAACAATTTCTTCATTTTGGTGGCAAATTCTAGAAACCAGCTGAGGCAATACAGTTAACCACTGATAGGTTGGCAAATCCTTCAAACAGCCTCGCATTATACTAGTTACCTTCCAAAAAATGAATCAAGAAAACAAAGACAATTATTAAGGAAAAAAGTGTCACCATTACTATAAGAAATAAAAGATAAAGTTCTTATGGAAGTGTTGTACCTACCTTCACTTGGACATTTTTCAAATCCTTACTAGAGGCTGCTGCACTTCTCTGATAAATGCTCCCAAAGTCAAACCACAGAGTTAACAACCTTGGAAGTGCTTGGACAAGATTCTTGTGACCCCGATGAAGCCCCTTTGCATAGAATAAAAGTACATCAGGGAGGTAAGACCACCAGTGTTTCTCAGTGTTTGAGTTTGAAGAAGCAGTAAGAGCAGAAGCTGAGGGAACTATCCTGGGACCTAGCTCAAAATTCTCTTCTTGACGTTTCCTGGCATCAACAAGTACTTCATCGCAATATTTAGCTGTATAAAAGTATCCTTTCTCCCACTTGGGTTGCAGTTCCCTCACCCTGGAATAAAGACATATCACATCCTCCTTCTGTTTCTGCCCAGTGTAATGAATCCACCTAGAGTATAGGAGCAGGGTCTTTGCAATCTCTTGGTTCTCATTCATAGCTTGAGTATCACCAGGTAAAGGTTGTGGGTTTAGTGGAACCAGTGAAAGGCTAGTAATTGATGATATTGCGGCAGAGCCTACAACCTCCACTGGCATGTTCAGAAGAGACTGCTGTAACTCGGCAATGGCACCATCAGAGCGCCTAGTACTCCAAAGAAGTTTAGCCTTTTCCATGTGAACATTAGGAGCACCAGAAGCTTGTGCCTCTAGAATTGCTTGGTTGGCTGTTTCATAATGACCTGCCAAACGACAGAGCTTTGCATACTGAAGCCAGCAGCTCCCAACTTGAGCACCAAGGCTACTGGCACCAAAAACCAATCTCCTGAAAGCCAACAATGGCTCCCTTGCCCAGAGTGATGGTTGTGTAAATCTGAGTCGATTTTCCCAGTTCTCCATGACTTTTGAGAATCCACAATCATCCAGATGAAATGATTTCTCCAAGAAAGATTCATCAATGAGAAGAGTATGGAAGTCCTCTAGCTCCCGTAGCAAGTGAAGTTTCACAATCATTGGATAAGCTCGCGTGTAGGAATCCATGCCTGCAGCAGCCAGAGGAGCAATAAGAGCTTGTCTAGATAATGCAATTTTCTCAGCAACTGAGAACTGATCCTTCTTAATCATTGCCTGCAGAATCTTTGCCACATCCAAGTCAAAAGAAGCATTACTTTCAGAGCTGCTGCATAGTAAGCCCTCTTCATCTGCCCCACTAAGGTACTCATTCATCAAGTCCCACCTTCCAAGCCTCCATGCAGCCTGCACGCCTTGCATGCACCATGTTTTCTTGTATTTGGGAACTCTAGAAATCAGGCCATCCACATGAGTAACCATGGCCTGAAGATGGCACATGTTTAATAAACAGTTAAGAACATCAGAATGCCTCTGAACAGAGGTGGGTTCCATCTGCAAGGCCTGCTCACAAGCAGTCAAAACTTCTGCCCAGTTTCCAGCCTTTTTGTTTATTAAGAGCTGATCTTGTAAACTTAGTGACTTACGTAAGCATGCTAAGCCTGACAATCCATCAGGCTCATCGAGACAGCTGTATATTTCCATTAAATATGAGATATCTTCATCTTCAAATATGCCACTCCTCTCAGCTGCCAGATTAAAGGAACCTGACTTCCCTTGCACATAAGATTCAAAGTACATTAAAGACCTAGCATAAGCCTGACACCTGAAGGAAGCCCTAGCAAGGGTAATCTTTGGAATCACACTTAAAAGCTCAGAAACATATTTACACTGTAAAATGAGTTGATCTTGACTTTCAGATAAAACAGAGTTTTGATCCTTTGACTTAGATGCCTGTTGCCTTGAAGCTGGTGATTGGAAAGACTGAGAGAGAGCAAGTTCTTGTTTGACATCATCCACCCACTGGCCAAGATTATCAAGAAGAGTAAACACTGCTTGAATGCAAACTTCACTCTGTCCACCAGTGACTCCATAAACTGCAGCCCCACTGTTCTCTGAAGCTGCAGCATTAAGAACTGATTGGATTTCTTCTGCAATACCATGGCGTGCCTCTTCTGTGCCATGACAGATAGCATTGAGGACTAAATATGGCAACAGATATATTG